CTTTGATGGGCATCATTTGCAATGAAACTCTTTATAAAAGAGAGGCAAAAATAAAATTTTATGTGAAAGTGGTACTGTTTTATAATCCTCTATTACTTTTTGATTTACTAGGCTGTAAATCCTGTGAGGCCGAGACTCTTGTCTGCTTCCTAGCGCCAGACTTGGTTGTTGAATGAAAGGCTGGTAGGGGAAGTGGAACACAATGGAGTTCATTAGATGTGCTTTTATGCTGCCTCTCTCACCTCTTTTCACTTTGGATAACCCCTCTCCGCACAGAATGTTTAAGAGCTGCCGCTCTTCTTTGAGGCAGGATATTACCGCATAGTGCAGGCTGGCCTTGAACTCTTGGCAATCCTCCTGCCTCAGCTTCCTGAGGGCCAAGAGCACAAGTGTGCACCACCGTGCCCAGCTGAGAGCTGCTTTTTTCTTTTTTAGACAAGATGTTGCTTAGTTCAGTCTAGCCTTGGACTTAAGGTGTTCAAATTTGGGGAGAACCTCCTGCCTCAGCTTCCTGAGTGCTGGGATTACAGGTGTGCACCACCACACCTGTTGTGGGAACTGCCTTGATCTACAAAACCCCAAAAAACTCTACACAGGCACAAAGGCACATTTAAGCTGCATTATGAATCTGAGAGCATCATGTCATAAACATGGAGATGAGACCCAATTACACAGTAGCCTGTTCCTCCCTTGCTCCCATCTCAGAGAAGGGCGCTACCCCAGCCAAAAGCCCGAGAGTTACCCCAGCTTCTCACTCCTGCTTTCCCACAGTCCACTGAGCTCCAGCCCAGCCTCTTCTGCTACCTCTGTTGTGACTCCCTTTGTTCCAACCATCAGCGACTCCCGCCTTTGTGACTAAGGTGGCCTCTAACCAGTTCCTCTGCCCTAGCCACTCTGTTCACCTCAAATCCTTCTGAGCGACAACGTGTTTTGAAGTTTTGTTTTGTTTTGTTTTGGTGCACTGGGATGAGCCCTTCTGCTTGCTGGGCCTGTGCCCTGCGCTGAGCTACGCCCCAGCCGGAGCTCGATGCCCCTCTCCACTCCTACCTTACCAAGAGCAGGTACAGCCCGGCTGACCTCTCCTGAGTTATGGTGCACGCCCTCCCTGTGCCAGAATTTCACAGCTGGCATTTGTCAGCCACCTCCCTCGGGCGTTTGCAGGAGTTGTGTCTTCTGTGGAAGGGAACGGGAGTGGGGAGACCACCTTTTCCATCTCCCACTTTGCTGTTGTTGAGATGGGGCCTTGATCTGTTCAGCTGGCCTGGAGGGCACTGTAGCCCAGGGTAGCCTTGAACCTGCAGCAGCCTCCTAGGTGCTGAGGTGCGGTACCATACCCACTGATCTGCCTCCGCCAGGCTGGCTCCTTCCCACCACTGCTGTCACAGTCACCTTCTTTCCTCCCTCTTTTCCTTGCCAAGAGCTTGATCAGTGCGCTCCTCCCGACTCCCACGGGTCCTGCACTTGTTACTTCTACTGTCCTCATTATTTACTTGGCAGCTTCCCTTAAGTTTTTCTGTCTAATGCACATCTAGCGCCCAGTGCTTAGAAGGGCTTCTGATGAATTCTGTGGAATGACTGAATGAGTAACGAATAAATAAAGTACCATGGGGTTACTATTTCTTAGTGCTTGTGTGTGTGTGTGTGTGTGGGGGGGTAGTTCTGTAGCAGGCCTGAGACCCTGGGTTTGATTCCCAGCACCAGAATGTCTAATGATGCTCCGAAGTGTTGGGTCTGCATGCCTGCAATCCCAGCACTCAGGAGGCTGAGGCAGGAGGGTTTGAGAGTTTGACGCCAGCTGGGGCTACAGAATGAATTCCAGGCCAGCCTGGTTTACTTGTTAGACTTTGTCTCAAAACATGACCAACCAAGCGTGGTGGCACATGCCTATAATCCCAGCACTCAAGCGATTGAGGCAGGAGGATCACTGTGAGTTCAAATCCAGTCTGAACTCCACAGTGCGACTCTGTCTACAAAACAAAACAAAAAACAAGGAAAAAAAAAAAAACCCAAATCAAATGAACATTTTAGGAGACTGAGGAAGGAGAGTAGCCAGTTTGAGTTTCTCTTGAGTAGCTTAGTGAAACTCTGCCTAAAATAAACATAAAAAGGGCTGGGAATGTTTTCACTGTGAAGACCCCAGTCCTCACTACTGTAAAAACAAAGCAAAATTCCAAAGTGGACAGAAAAAGGTTCCCTAAAAAGACTCAGGAGTTCTCCCAAAAAGGATATAATCATCTTATGACAATTCTGTGATTTAACACAGTGTGGAATTGACATGCAGGAGTGTGAGGTGAGTGTGCATCTGGGAACAGCGGTGGGCGGGTGGGCAGGAGGCGGTGGTGAGAGCCTTCTATACCATCTGTGCGTTTTACCACCAGCACTGCATGGCATCACTGCAGCCACCACTGTGCCAAGTAGCAGCAGACTGACTTTTTGATGGTCCTCACTCACACCTGCACCCGCACCCCACCCCCCAGGGCCTTGCACATAGTTTTCCTGCTTGTGATGCTGATGATGTACCCCCTCTTGCCAGCCCTTGGGGGGATTGCCCCCTCCCATTTAGTATGAGACGAGTAAGAAACCAGGGATTCTGCTCCTCTCCCACCTGTCCAGAGCTGGAATCCGGTTCCCAAAACTCTATGTCAAGGGCACCCTTTCCCAGAGCCAGGCCCATTGGCTTCCCTGCACCCAGTGCTTCTCTGCACCCTGTGGCTTCTCTGCTCCTCCTGGCTGCAGGCCGTGGGAAGGAGGCCTTCCTGCGCAGGAATGCAGGCCTCTGCATAGGATCCTACCTGACTGGGACTTAGTCCTGTCCTGGTCACTAACCCACCTCCAGGCTCCACCAGTTCCCAGGGCCTTCCTTTGCCCACCATAACACTTGAATGTTTGGTGAAGTGGGCCTCCGGTCCTTGCTGGGCTGAGGAGGACGCTAGCTGTGGGGATGAAGTTGCCTCTCAGGACCCCTCTTCCTGCTTTTCTCTAGTTGGATTGGATACACTGTCCCTAGGACTGGCTGGGTTGGGTCTGTCAGGCAGGAGGACAGAGGTAAGTCTGGACAGGTGGACAGAGGATCCTGGGCCCCAGGGTGGTGTGTGTGTGTGTGTGTGTGTGTGTGTGTGTGTGTGTGTGTATGTGTCATGGGGAGGATAGGCAGGAGTGGATCCCAGGCAAAGGTCAAGGATGGGAGAGGCGACTCCAGTAGGCCAGCTGCCTACAGTACTTGGTTACAGCCCTCAGGGACTGCAGGGATCCTTGCTGGACTGGGCAGGGTTATGGCTTCCCATCGGGCTGGGATTGCAGCTAGAGGGTGGAAGAGTCTTGAGGTGGGGTTACTTCTAGGTCGGGAGCCAAGGTGCCTTTCTGGGAAGGAAAGGTAGTGACATGAGATTAGGAGGGATCCAGGCAAGGTGATGGAAGGGCAGGTGACTATGTATCAGGGAGAATGAGGAGCCTCTTCCTTTGGCTGGCTTCTGAGGAAGGAAGGGAAACCCCGTAGCATCCGGCCCCTCTGTCAGAGAGAAAACCTCTTGTCAAAAGCCAGTGAAGAGGCTAGGATGCCCTGGGAGGCACGGCAGGGAGCCTGTGGCCCTCACCCAGAGTTTGGGGAATTCACAGCTGTGAAGGAAACCCTGGGACACTGGGCTTGAGTTAGGTTAGGGTTAGGTGCAGCTCTGCACCTCATTGGTTCCTCTGCGAACAATTATTCCTTAGTTTCTGCTCACCAAAAGGGGTCCAAAGACACAAGTGTTATCTGACTGGTCACCGGAGCCTGGGGAGTGTCCCTTATTGCAATTCCTTGCCATGTTCACAGCTGAAATTTGGGCAGAGTGGGGTGGAGAGGGGATCACCTGGCATCCAGTCTTCAGGGATTCCACACACCACTTGTTACACAAAGCCACCATTAAAAAATTAAACTATGTAAACATATAATTAAATTATTTAAAAAACAAAGGGAATATACAATCACTTCATAATTATTGCATTTTACTATTATCTGTACACTTCAAAGTATCGCTATCTACCGTGTCTTTAAAATAGGCTGTATAATGGTACACTGCTTACCACCTTCCTGTCAGGTGACATTACACTGTTCATCAGAAAACTGATCAACCACTTGTTTCGCTGACTGCGTGGAGGGGGAGCGGGCCGAATCCAGCCTGCAAAACTAAGAACTTTTTTTGATGCCTAGCCTGGGCTTAGATTTATGACCCTTTTGCCTCAGTTTACCGAGTATTTGGGATTGTGGGACCGTGGCACGGCACCCAGTTTGTAATAAAGGTTTAATCAAGCAGGTCCTGGTGGAGCACATCTGAAACCCCAGTTCTCGGGAAGCTGAGGTAGGAGAATTTCAGGGAGTTCCAGGCCAGCCTGGGCTACACAGTGATAACCTGACTCAAGAAAACAAAAACGTTTTTATCACAACATGAATCTGTTTTTTTACTTATATACTGTCCACAGCTGCTTCATACCGCACTGGTGCAGAGCAGTAGTTACGATAGAGACTATATGATTCACAAAGCCTGAAATATTTGCTGCCTTTTTTTCCCCTCAGACTCCTTTCTTTCCTTCATATTTATTGTTGTTACAAAAAAAGTGATCTAGATAGACATGGTGACACACCTGTAATTTTAGTACTCTGGGACGCTGAGACAGGAGGATTTGCAAGTTTGAGCACTGCCTGGGCAATTTAATAGGACCCTCTCAAAGAAAAGGAATTTTAAAAGGGCTAGAGTTGTAGCTTTGTGAGAAGGGCTTGGTCTCAACCCCAGTATTACAATTAAAAAAAAGAATCCTTGGTCTAGACTTAGGAAAGTAATAAAGAAAAATGTTAACAATGTGTACAGATTAAACTTACAGTGTGTGAAGTGTCTACAGCCATCATATTGTGACTAGCACAAAATATATTCTTTCAATACTTGAAAACTCCTGTTTCTGTCTTACTATTTAATGTAAATGAAAATAGCAATCATGACATGAGTCAATCAAGACATGACTCTGAATTGAATAGTAATCAAACATTTATTCATGGTCTTCTTTTTTACAAAGCTTATGAATTACAACCAGACATTGGCTGCAGATACAGAGTTGGCAAAAATCAAAGAAAGCAAGCCAGTGTACATGGCTGAGGCAAGAGGGTTGCCACGAGTTTGAGGCTACTGAGTGAGCCCAAAGCCAACCTGAGCTACATAGTGAGATCTTCACTTAACCAATGAAAAACAAAAACAAAAAAATCAGAGAAAGCCTTCTACAGAGCAATTGATTCTAAAATTTACAATAAAGAACATGCTGGGTATTGTGGTGCACACCTGTAATCTTAACAGAAGAGGCTAAGGCAGGAGGATCTCCATGAGTTCAAGACCAGCCTGGGATACATTATGAATTCAAGGACAACCTGTGCTACATAGTGAAGCCCTTTCTCAAAAAACAAACAAAGAAAGCAAACCAAACCAAAGCAAAACAACAATGGCTAAGGTCAGAGCCAGCCTGGACTATACTGTGAGTTCAAGGCCAGCCTGGACTAAATAGAGAGGCCTTTTCTCATAAAAACAAAACAAAACAAACTCAGTATATTTAGGTTTTTCTCTTCCTGGGACAGGGTGTTGTACTACCAAGATGTACCCCCAGTCCATTATTTTCTCCTCCCAGTGCTGGGAACTGAACCCAGGGCCTCTGTACTGAGCCACGTCCCCAGCCATGTTCTGTTTTTGTTCTGTCTTGCTCTGTAGTCCAAGCTGGCCTTGAACTCACCATGTAGCCCACGCTTGTACTGAGCTCAAAGGGGTTCCTCCAGCCTCAGCCTCCTGAGCACTGGGATTACAGGTGGGCATTGCCAGGCCCAGCAGGGCTTCCTATCTTGCTGGCTCAGCAGGTCCCACAGGTTGCTAGGTGACTCACCCCTTCTCCACAAGTGGCCTTTGTTCTGGAAAGGATAGGGGTACATAGGGACACAGCATCTCTGCATTCAGTTCATCTACTAGGCAGATATGCTGTGTGACACACCTGACTCTGGGACCTGGGTCTGTGCCTGTAAACACACAGGGAGTCCTGTGCACAACAGCACTCTTGTGGGTCTGACAGGGTGTGGGAAGGGTGCCCACAGTGTGAGCAGAGGGGCTGTGAGAGGCAGGCAGCACTTCAAGAGCACAAGAGCAAGGTGCCCCAAAGGAGGGAGGCGGCTTCCCAGCCAGTGGGCCACGAGGCAAGGAAGCAGGGCACTGAGAGGTGGGAGGGCACCTGACGATAGCTTGTCGTTAGTTCCCAGGATGGGCTTCTCTGGCCCGGCTGGAAGAGCCAGACCATGATGATGGTGATGGTAGTGACTTCTTAATCCTCAGTGGCTTCCCCATCCTAACCCCAAGAAGCTGCACACGCTCCACGGCCATTCAGGCAGGCCAGGGGTAGCAAATGGCAGGTGGGCATGGAGCCGTGGCTTTATTTCATCCTCTCTGCAGCAGGAAGGACATCTTTAAGGCTCCAAGTCTTGCTCTGGAGAAATATGGAGAGAGCACTTCAGCCTGAGGTCACTCATGGCCTGCGTAGTGTGGCTCTTGTTACTCTGTGTGTGTGAGCATAGCACACGGCTGGCTGTGTGGGTGCCCACCCCAGGGTCTAGGCCCCGTGCTGCCTTCCCATCGTGCTCTGCGATCTTAGCTCTGCCTGAAGTGGAGCAAAGATTCTGGCCAGGAGCCCAGATGCCTGTACTACTCCTCGCTGTCACTTAGTGACTATGGAGATGCTCCTTTAGCTTTCCCGCTGGGAGAGGTGACTCAGCCAGCAGTCACCCCCATCAGGTTACTTTACAAGACAGCTGGGCTTCAGGCTCCTGCAGTTAAAAAGTCCAAAAAGCCTGGTCCTGGGATGCTCATGAGAAATGGCAGCCTTCCTTGCATCGTACAGCTGAGGAGCTAGGAACTGCAAGCTGCTAACAATTTCCAGAGAACTTGCACCTGCCCTACAAGCCTCCTCCTCACCCCCCAAAATGTCAAGAATTTCGTTCTGAGGCAGAGCTTCAAAACAAATTACCAACGTGACAAGCCAAGACCTGCCTGTAGGGAGGCTGGGAAAGTCTCTCCACCCATCCCTGCCCCTAGGCCCCCAAGGGTGTGGAAGGTAGTGGGGAGGGGAAAAGGAGGGTGAAAACTCCCTAATTGAGGCCCCAGCTAGCTCACAGCCTTGTCTCTCAAGTCCCATTCCCACCCCAGCTTGCTTCCTCCCAGTTTCACACTCCTTGAACTCAGAGGTTTCATCCTGAGGCTGTAGGCTTAGTCACAGCAAACAGAGACAGCACTAAAATCAACAAAACAAGAAAGGAAGCAGCATAGGTGAAGTGGAAAAGAAAACTTGGAAACCACAATGAAGGTGTGTGGGCTGGGCTGCATGGAGCCGTGCCTCTCCCACAGCGCAGACCCTGTGAGTCCCCCAGAACCAGGGCAGCTAAGCGGTCTCAGGCCAAAGACGTGAGCATGGACTGCCAGCAGGGGGCGCGATGCTAACCTTTTGGAGGTGTAAAAGCCAGTGGGTGGGAGTCAGGGGTGGGAATTGCGCCCCTCTGAGGGTTCTGCTCAGTTGCTTCAGCTAGTAAGACACTAACTGGGGCCTGGGTAGTGGGTGGGGTGCGGGAACAAACGGGCTGCAACACGAGTGAGAAGCACCTGGCTCTCTGCCCTGGCCTTCTGCTTGCCTAGGACTCACGGACTTGGCGCCTCCGGTTCCTGGGGATGCCCAGGACGTCCCCACACCACCCACAGGCAGAGTCGGCCTCCTTGAAGAACTATCTCTTCCACTCAGGGTAGAGGGCACCTGGTTTTCTCAACGTGCATTTATTGCGCATTTGCTGAGTTCCTAGTGAGGGAGGAATCATTTAGAAATCAGATGCTACCACCCACAATGGGCCCAGCCGGCCAGGGCTGCCTCAGTAGGTAGCCTCCCCAAGATCCTGTCACGCCTGGATCTCCCTTTGCTCAGTGAACCTGAGCCAGATGCCTTTGATTGAGCTGGCTATTACATGATGCCTGGGGCAGCCCAGTCCCTAGATGCAACGGACCACTGGGGGTTCAAGTTCAGAGGGCGGGAGGCTGAAATAGAAGGGCCAGGAGACTGGATGTACCTGGCTGGAGACAGGGGAACCGCCTGGGCCTGACTCTTGCTTCTGTGGAATGAGCGTGCAATATTCTATCCCGGCCCTCTAGCTTGGTCTTGGCAGCAGCTGAGGGTGGTCAGAGCAGAGGTGGGTGGTAATGTAAATTAATGCAACCAATATGGAAATCAATTATTCAGGTTTCTTAAAAAGCTAAAATTAGAATTAGCGTTTGATCCAGCTGTACAACTCCTTGGTATACACCTGGAGGAATTAAAGTCAGCTTATCAGAGGAATATGCATACCTGAGTTTACTGCAGTATAAGATGCAGAATCAGCCTGGGTGCCCATCAGTAGATGAGTGAATAAAGAAAATGTGATGTGTATACACATTTGAGTATTATTCAGCCATAAAAACAAACAAAATTTTGTCATTTGCAAAAAAAAAAATGAGTGGATCTAGAGATTATCATGCTGAGCAAAATAAGCTGGACTCAGAAAAACAAGAGCACATGTCTTCTCTAATATGTTGAATCTAAAAAAAGATGACAAGAAAGTAGCAGCAAGACAATTATACAGAGGAAGAGAAAAAGAGGGGTGGGTGTAGGGTGGGTATCAGGAAGCACTGTGTTCTATGCATGCATAAACCTGCCAAAATGAAACTGATTAGCCTGCACAACTAACATGAACTCAAAAATGTGGGAAAAATTTTGCTGCATTGAGCTTCTCATTTAAAATGTTTTATTGTGCCAACGCCTGCAATCCTAGCACTTCAAAAGCAGGAGGTTCGCTATGAGTTCAAGCCTGCCTGGGCTCCATAGTAAGTTTAAGGCCAGCCTGAACTATATAATGAGATCCCATCTCAAAAAGAAAAGCAGAAATCAAACAAAAACTACAAAATAATAAATACCTTATTGTGGAAAGATTTTAAAATTGATTTAGGTAGAAATCAAAGGATACAACACTTGGGAGGCTGAAGCAGGAGGCTCCTTGCAAGTTCGAGACCAGCCTGGGTTACAAAGTGAGCTCAAGGCTAGAGAGACCGTGTCTCAAAAAGACAAATAATAGTAATAAAAAGGATAGACCTAGAAGGCAATAGACAGATGAGAGGAACTTGGCAATGGAGGGACCAGCTGTCACCTTTGAACACACTAACTGGTCTGTGTCACTAGGTGTGGGGCGACTTGACATTCTAGGTCTGCAGATGGGTAAATTAGAAACACAGCACACAGTGCCAGCTACAGAGAACTCTGCGCCATCGGACAACAAAAAAGAGTTGAACTGAAATAAAACCATACCACCAGAGTAAACATCCTGTGTATTCTAAGAAAAACTTAAATGGTGTTACAAGACAAATCTCAGTGCGGGACTTCCTGTAGGATCACGTTTGCTCCACAAATCAGTGACACGAGCTTATAAAGCTGGAGGACGGGGTGGTTTTTGTTCATGAGAATGTCCAACCCAACGCGCTATGTCGATCCTGATTCAAACCAACAAATCAATCAAGGAGATGTTTGGAAATTATTGGAGTGACTTTATCATTCCGTGGTTACTCACTGCATTAGGTCTGGCATTGTGATGCTGTAAGACAATGTTCCTATGTTGTAGCCATGAAGACTGCAGGCTGTGGGAAGGCAATGACAAAGTCACTGGAAATTGTTTTAAAAATACTGCAGGAAAAAGTAGGATAAATGAAACTCTGATGTCAAAAGTTGATGATTAAAGGCACAGAAACAGCATGGTGTGCCAGAGACCTCCAGTGTGCAAGGCCAGACCTCTGCATTGTGTGCAGGGAACAGTGCACCTGCGGAAATGTGGCAGCTTGTCGGGGGAGAGGTGTCACTGTGAGGGGAGAATGGGCGAGGACTGTACTCAGGGAGGATTCTGAAGAGACTGCTGGAGACGGAGAGATTTGGGATGTAGAGAAGGGGCAGAGCCAGCAGCACCAGAGTACGAAGCAGACTGAGGGCTCCTGGAGGGACGGGATCCGGCTAGAGGCATGATGGGGATGGCAGGCCTCAAGATGGGCTCAGAAAGGTGCCGGGTACAGGCTGTTAAGTGGGTTGGGTTGGAGCAGCCAAAGATAGACATACAAGAAAAAGAGGCTGGATAATTGGTCTCAAGCAGGGGAAGGAGCTGTTGGTGGGAGACAGAAATTGGGGAAACTGCTGCATCTGTGTGGCAGAAGGAGACACGAGGCTCCCTTCTGCAGCTTCTCATAACTTCCCATCACACACAGCAGGCACCCAAGAAAATGCTTTTATGTGAGGGCCCACAAAATAGTTCACTATTTAGCCCAGGCTGGTTTGCAACTTTCGATCTTCCCGCCTCAGCCTCCTGAGTGTTGGGATTACTGGTGTGCACCACCATGCCCAGCTTCTCACTTTCTTCTGTATTTATTCTTTCTTTCTTTTTTTTTTCTTTAGTGCTGGAGCTTGAACCCAGGGAGTACTGAGCTTCAGGCCTTGTTATTTTTTGAGGCAGGGTCTCATTAAATTTCTGAGACTGGCCTTGAACTTGGGATCTTCTTGCCTCAGCCTTCCAAGTAGCTGAGATTCCAGGTCCATGCCTCATGTCTAGTTACAGAATGTTTTTATTTGCTTAAAAAAGAAGAAAACAATGAACTTGTAAGCTGAGGAAAGAATTTAAATACATAACATTAATATATTTGCCTATCATCTTTTATTTTTTGAGGACACAGCCTCAGAAAGCAAAAATACCAGGTATATATATACTGAAACAGATTGAAGGTGGGATACCTATCAGATATTTGCACATTTGTACACCAGTGTTCACAGCCAACAAGGGGAAGCAACCCAAGTATCCGTGGGTGGATGTGATGGATAGATACAATGAGCCACATCAAAGGGTGGGATTTAATTCAGTCTGAAGAAGAAATGTGGCAGACTGGATCAAGTGGCACATGCCTGTAGTCCCAGCACTGAGAAGACTGAGGCAGGAAAATTGCTGTGAGTTTGAGGCCAACCTGAATTGCAGAGTGTAATCTTGTCTAAAAAAAAAAAGAAAGAAAGAAAGAAAGAAAGGAAGGAAGGAAGGAAGGAAGGAAGGAAAAAAGGAAAGAAGAAGAAAAAGAAACATTGTTGTTGTTACTGCTGGGTTGTGTGTGTGTGTGTGTGTGTGTTAAACTCTGGGTGGTCCTCACACTAAGGTATATCTCCAGTCCCTTTTTTATTTTGAGGTAGGATTTTGCTAAATTGCTCAGATGGGACTCAAATTTGCAACAGTCCTCCTGCCTCTGCCTCCCAACTGCTGGGATTACAAATGTGCACCATCCAGCCTGGTTCAAGAAGGAAATTCTGACACAGATGAGCCTTGAAGACATTATGCTAAATGAGATGAGGCCACCATAAAATAAAGAGCATGAGCCGGGCCTGGTGGAGCACACCTGTAATCCCAACATTCAGGAGGCTGAGGCAGGAGGATTGTTGGACCAACCAGGACTACAAAGTGAGCTCGAGGCCAGCCTGTACTTGCATAAGTGACCCTGTCTCAAAAAGACAAAAATAAAAAGAACAAAATAGATAAATAAAAATAAGATAAAAATAACATCAAATGACAAGTGCTGTATGATTCCCCTGCATGGAGGCTCTAGAGCTGTCAGTTTAGAGAAAGGAACAACGGTGGTTGTGGGGACTGGGGAGAGCGGTTGGGGAGTTGTTGCTAAATGAAAGTGCTCTGGAAGTTGGTGGCCCAACAGTGTGAATGTACAGTACTCACCATTTCCCAACTACGTGCTTACAGACATAAGACAGCAAACTATCTCCTGTCCAGCCAAAGAGAGAAGAATGGGGCCCAAGACTGCAGGTCTAAGGCTGAAGCCTGAACCTCCTGCTCTGGATATCACGGTCTCCCACCTGGAGACACAGAAGAGAAGTTTGCAGAACTAGAAGCAGACTGGGGTAATGTAAAATAGAAGCTATAGACACAACTGTCCCCAATGCAGATAAAGATATTCCAGATGATAAAACATAGTCTTCCATCTACTGATTATTATAGATTATTACAACCCCTCCCGCCAGCCTCTACCAGAGATCAAACCCCGGTTTCCCTCAGGACACCAGGAGAGGCTGACAGCCAGGCTACATCTCAAGTCCTACAGATCATTAATGTCAATAATTATGGACTAGCATTCTGACCACAGTGCTTTGAACCATGAGAAACTCCTTCAGGTTTTTATTTGTTTTGTTTTTGAGAAAAAGTCTTGGTATATAGTCCAGGCTGGCCACCAATTCACAGTGATCTTACTGCCTCAGCCTCCTGAGTATTGGATTACAACATGCACCACCACATCCAGCTTCCTGCAAGTCTTAAATGTGAGTTCTGTGGCTGATGGGAGCACAGCAGCTCCTCTGTGAGAAGGAATTTAGGGTGGGGGTGTAGCTCAGTGGGAGGGCACTTATCTACCACACTCAAGGCCCTGAATTCAGTTTCCAGTAACAACATACACGCGTGCACGCGCGCGCGCACACACACACACACACATGTTCACACAGGTGCAAGGAAAAAGAAGAGTTTATGTGCAACATTTAAATCACTGTTCTCCTTGTTAAGTAAAATAGATATAGACTTTAATTTTTTGTACTGTCATTAAAATTTTTGAAATGTTTTTAATTTAAAAATTTTTAACTAAAATAAGATGGCAAATTTTAAATTACAAATTTTAAATTGTTTTAAGCGCCAATTTAAAAAAAGTCAAGGAGGGGCTGGGGATTTAGCTCAGTGGCATACGCACCTGCCTTGCAAGCAGGCGGTTGTGAATTCGATTCCCGGTACCGATTAAAAAAAAAAGATAAACAAAACAAAAAAACAAAAATAAAAAAAGTCAAGGGCCCACAAAAGTCAGAACGAAGCCGCAGGATGTGGCTGAGGCAGAGTGTGAGGAAGACAAGAGGACAAAAGCCCCTGCAACGGGCTGACCCCAGTGGAGGTCAGTGCCAGCCCCGAGCTGCCCTTGCCTCTTGTTCAGGGGTGCTCTGGGGCATCCTCAAACTGGGCTGGAGCCAGAACACCTGGGGCTGACTCACCTGGATCTTGGACTGTGCCGGAGGCAGAGGAGAGAGTATCGGCCTGCCCAGCCCAGCTAGCTGGAGCCCAGCCTGCCCCTGAGGGGCCAGCTTGGGTGTGGAGGACCCTCCAGCGCCACAGGGAGAGGCTCAGGGATGGCGAAGACCCAGCTCACCCTGGATCTCCCTGTTCTTTCCACCAAGACTCCCTGGGTGGAACTCAGAGCCTGAGGGCGCTGGCAGACCACAGGCTGCCTCAGCGCTGCCCACGCAGACCTTTGGTGCAATCGCTGTTCCTGGAAAGCTGTCAATGGAGTCCCTCCCATCTTCTACCCATCTTCCTGCTCACTCACAGGGTTATTTCAAAGCTGCTCTCCTGTTGAAGAGGGCTTCACTGGAAGCATTTCCCGGGGTCTCTGCTCCCTGTCTGTCCTCAGGGGACAGCTATGCCTGGAGGGGCAGGCTGGTGCCAGGGCCTTGCCTGTCTGGAGGGACGTGGGAGGCTGTTCCCTTGGAGAGCAGTGTGAGTGGGGAGACAGGCTGAGCGGTGCTGGGCTGTCTCCCCTCTCAGGTTGAGCAGGAGAGGGCCGAGCATGTAACTTGCCCTGGGAGAGCTGAGATGGGCTCCCTGCCCACCTTAAGACCCCGTTCAGGCCCACATCCCCTGGCCAGATCAGATAGGGCACATTCCTGCCGCAAGCTGCCTGTCTCCTGGGTCTCTGGTGACGCAGACAGGAAAACATTAACCCAGCTGAATGGGCGCATGCACGACCCTGTGTATGTGTCCACACAGAGGATTTTACATGCACAACAAGACCCAGGTATGCACAATTACACACACACACACACACACACACACACACACTCACACACACTCACACACACACACACACACACACACCTATCCATGTGCTCACAGATAAAACATATGCACAGGTGCATACTCCCATCTAAACATATACAACGGCACAAATGCCTTCCACAGATGCAGATTCCTTCCTTTGTCTCCCCAGTTGCTTCTGCTGGTGGGAGGCCTTCCTGCAGGAAGCCTTCCTTGGTAGGCATGGCTTACACTACAAGGTGAAAGTCTGGACCTCAGCACTGCTTTCCGTCCCAAGTTAAGCAGCTGGCAGCAACTTTGGAGTAGACAAAGGCCACATTTAAATTCTGGTTCCTTGACTTGCAGAATTTTTGTCCTTAGCAGGGGGCCATGCCTGATCCTGTCTGCCTTAACCTGTGTTTGCTCTAGGCTGGAGGCTCATGCGAGACTCTGAGAAGCATGAGAGTTGGGGCTGGGGTGCTCGGGTCAGTCCTAGTTCTGAGTGATCTTGAGAAAGCTGCTACCTTGCTCTGTACTGAGAAGGGAATTTGGAAGGGGACGTTTACTCCAGTGAAAGCTTAGCTTCTTTTCTTTCCTTTTTTTCTTCAGTACTGGGGTTCAAGCGAGGACCTGAGGACCTGGCACTGAGCTGCCTCTCTGGTCCTTTTTATCTTTTTGAGCCACGGTCTCACTATGCAGTTCAGGCTGCCCTTGAGCTCACTTTGTAGCCCAGGCTGGCCTGGAACTTACAGTGATCCTCCTGTGTGCCACCATACCTGGCCCTGTTTAAATTTTGAGACAGAGTGTCACTAATCACTGAGCTGCTAGCTGGGCTAAAACTTGTGATTCTCCAGCCTCAGTTTCCCAGATTGTTGAAACTGTGAGTGTCTGCCACCATACCCAGCTAGTTTTCAAGCATACTGGGGGTTGAACCTAGGTTATTTATCCTGAGTGACATTCCCAGCCCTATGTTTAAAATTTAAGACAGGGCCGGGGGTTTAGCTCAGCGGCACAAGTGCCTGCATGGCAAGTGTGAGGTTGTGAGTTTGATCCCTGGTACCAAAAAAACAAAAAAACAAACAAAAAAAAAGATTAAAAAAAAACTCTTTACTAGGTCACTGAATTTTCCAGGCTGGGTTTGAATTTGTAATCTTCCTGCCTCAGCCTCCCAGAGTGCTGGAACTATACGCTTATGCCACCATGCGCCAGTTAGTTATTAGAATCTTAAACTATTGGGGCTGGAGATTTAGCTCAGCGGCATAAGCGCCTGCCTTGCAAGCAGGCAGTCGTGAGTTTGATCCCTGGTAACGATAAAAATGAAAAAGACCAAAAAAAAAAAGAATCTTAAGCTATTTCTGTTTCTTGATTTAATTTTTAAAAATATTTATTTGCATTTTTATTACTAATTGTATTTCAACCAATTGTGTGTGCCCTGTGCTGTTCATAAGAGAACAGTCAGATATGCTTAAAACCAGAGATATTCTAAATGTCCACCAGTAAGAGCATCCCACAGTGTGAAAGATCCATCAGGTGGGCTCCTGGACATCCATACAGATTAGGTGGATGTGGGCTTATTGGCACAGAATGGAAAAAGTGCGGTATAAAATGTTACGTGGCCTCAGCAGCATAGAGACTTAGAAAGGTGGCGTCTCAAAATAAAAAATATTGGGCTGGGGATTTAGCCCAGTGGCATAAGCACCTGCCTTGCAAGCAGGCGGTCATGAATTTGATCCCCGGTACTGATGAAAAAAAAAAAAAAAAAATATATATATATATAGTGGGCTGGCAATGTTGTTCAGTGTAAAGGCCCTGGGTTCAATACCCAATATGAAGAAAAGTTACATATAAAATATCATTCCATTTATTGTTGACAATGGGGGTAGGATATATATATATATATATATATATAAATATATATATATATATATATAAAATATATATATATATATATAACTAGAAGCGGGACTGGGGATTTAGCTCAGTGGCATAAGTGCCTGCCTTGCAAATGCAGAGTCATGAGTTCGATTCCCGGTACAAAAAAAATATTAAAAAATAGAACTAGAAGAAAGCTTATCAAAATATCAACAGTAGCTGTCATGGGAAGGTGTTGGTCTTTAGGTGCTTAAGCACTAAAAGAAAAGGATCTGAGATTTTATTTTGTGGCACAGAGAATCAAACCCAGGGTCTTGCTCATTCTAGGCTACCACTGAGAAACCACTGAGCTATGTCCCCAGCCTGGACTCAATTTGTCTTTTATTTTGGCACCCAGAGGTTGACCCCAGAGCCTTTGCAATGAGCAATACTTACTAGACCCTTTTTATTTTGGAAAAGAGCTTCATCAAATTGCTAAGCTGCGTAGATGGGGTTCAAACTTGTCACTCTTCTGTCTAAGCCTCCCTGATTCTGGTTGCTATGCCCAGCTCAGACATGGATTTAAATGTTCTTTGTTTTTTCCCTTTTAAGACAGCGGTTTGTTATGTAGCCTAGGCTGGCCTTGAACTCACTGTGTAGCCCACCTGGTCTTGGACTCTCAGTGATCATTCTGGCTTCGTCTCCTGAGTGCTGTGGTTACAGGCATGCCCCATTGCATTGCTCTTTCAACTTTTAAAAGTTTTTAGCCCAGTGGTAGGCTTTTTTTTTTTAAAGGGAATAAAACAAAAAACAAAAGAAAACAAACAATGGGAATGATACTGGATTCCAAAAACAAGACAGTAGGAAACCAACTATCTATCTATCTATATATATATATATATATATATATATATATGTATATGTATGTATTTTTTTTTTTTGGTCTTTTTCCTTTTTATCGGTACCAGGGATCAAACTCATAACTGCCTGCTTGCAAGGCAGGCGCTTATGCCGCTGAGCTAAATCCCCAGCCCTTTATAAAATCTTTTTGAGACAGGGTCTCATTATACAGCTCAGGCTGGCCTTGAGCTCAATTTGTAGCCCAGGCTGGTCTTGAAATGCACAGCCATCCTCCTGCCTCAGCCTCCCAACGGCTGGGATTACAGGAGTGAGCCACCATGCCCCGCTCTTGTTCTGTCTTTTGAGACAGGGTCCCTCTGTGTAGTTCAGGCAGGATTTGAGCTCACTTATGCAGGCCAGGCTGGCCTGGCTCGTTTCAGTTCTCCTGCTTCAGTCTCCTAAGTGCTGGTATTACAGGTATACACCACTATGCCTGGTTCCAATTGTAAACTATTATGTTCACTTATTTAGCTGTGTGTTCATATTTTTTTATTTATGGTGCTGGGTATAAAGCCTATGGCCTGACACATGCTAGGCACATGCTGTACCACTGAGTTATACCCCAGCCCAAAGCTCAACAATTTCTATTTTCTAAAAAGTTTTTCAAGTACCACATTGATTAGAAAATAAATAAATAAATAGTCTTAACAATTTTTAAATGAAGGGCCAAATGCTTAAGGATTGTCTTAGTTACTTTTCTCTTGTTGCTGAGACAAAATACCTGACACCCAAACTTAAAAGGAGAAAGGTTTATTTAGCTCACAGTCTGTAGAGGTTTCAGTCCATAATTGGCTGGCTCCAAGGCAAGTGGCTTGGCAGAGGGACATCGCAGAGAAGTAGTTCATGATGGCAGAAGACAGCAAAAGCAAGCTAAGGAAGGAAGGAATAAGCCTCTTTTATGCCCTTTTTATTTTATCCTGACTCCTGGGATTAGGGCGATGCCAATCCAATCAGTGGACTGATCCAGTAATCACCCAGCCTTAACTCCAGCACCTTTAATACAAGCACCCTTAATCTTAGCATTGAGCCATGAACTGATCACAAACTCTGATTCAGCTACCTTTGCAAGAGCCCCATCTAAAAGTACATGAGGCTTTGGAGCAATAGCTAGACACAAACCATAACATGAATGTATCAGTATTTGCAAGATTTGTACTGTAGCGCCACAGTGCTTCACATTCATTTGAGCCAGTTTATCATGTCCACCAAGTCGGGTTTTGACCTGATAGTCAGTTGCTAGCTTCACAGACCTTTTTCTGCATGCACTCTGGTTGCCAAAAGTAGCTCATTCATATCCTCCAACCCTGTTTCATGGATAAACAGGGAAACAGAGGCTGAGCTGGAGCTGTAGGGTGAATTCAGTGTCCAGCTAGGATTTCAACCCAGATCAGGCACACAGGAGGGTCTTTAGGGTGGCTTAGAGTGGATGTCGCTAGCTTTAGCAGATAAAAACAGGCTGCCCAGTTAAATACCATTTCCAGGGGCTGGGGAGTGCTGCTCAGTTGGAACATGTCTGAGGCCAGGAGTTTGACCACCAATGCCACGAAAAAAATCGAGGAGGAAAGGAATAATTTTTTAGTATAAGTATGTCCCAAATATTGTTTCTTTGAAAGTCAAATTCATCTGTCTCCCCGGTCCTGGAGATTAAACCCACCGTCTAGTTACTGAGCTACATTGCTAACCCTTTTTAGTTTTTATTTTTGGGTCTTGCTAAACTGCTAAATTGCTCAGCCTCTGTTTGCACTTTAGATCCTCTTGCTCCAGTTTCTCAGAATGCTGGGACTGCAGGAGTGTGCTATTCCCTGACAAATTCCTTATAATTCCGACCACTCACTTCCGCTCTTGTGGCTCTGTTAGCTACCTATTCTCTCCTCACAGCTGACCTTTTTCTCTACCCTATTTCTCATTTCTCTTTTTCAGGCAGTACTGGAAATTGAGCCCAGGGAGCACTAAGGTACATCCCCAGCCCTTCTAATTTTTAAAAAAATCTGAGACAGAAGCCAGGCATGGTGGCACACGCCTGAAATTCTAACACTCAGGAGGCTGAAGCAGGAGGATTGCTGAGAGTTTGAGGCCATTCTGGGCTACAAAGTGAGTTCAAGGCCAGTTTGAACTGCACAGCAAAACCCTGTCTCGAAACAAAACAACAATAAAAAAATTTGAGACAGGGGCTGGGGATTTAGCTCAGCGGCATAAGTGCCTGCCTTGCAAGCAGGCATGAGTTCGATCCCTGGTACCGGTAAAAATACAAAAAAAAAAAAAAAAAAAAAAAAAAATTTGAGACAGGAAATGGAAACAAAGCTCTTGTAAATGGGAAGGAGAGGAGGGGTTGAAGGGAGCACAGGGAAAATGGAAAAAAAAAAAACAGAATCAAGTTATACCATGTACAGGTACAAATTCTCTGTAATGAATATGATCAGTATCTAAAATTACAAATAGGGGCTGGGGATTTAGCTCAGCGGCATAAGCACCTGCCTTGCAAGCAGGCAGTCGTGAGTTCGATCCCTGGTACCGATAAAAAGGAAAAAGACAAAAATAAATAAATAAATAAAATTACAAATAAAATCTGATTTTAAAAATTTGAGGGATTTAGCTCAGTGGTGTAAGTGTCTGCCTGGCAAGCACACAATCGTGAGTTTAATCCCTGCTACCAGGAAAAAAAAATTTGAGATGGGATCTCACGAAATTGCCCAGGGTGCCTCCTGATTAGCTGGGGTTACAGGCATGGGCCACCATGCCCAGCTCCTCCAAGTGGCCTTGCCCCCTTGGCCTCTGTGTTTTTAGACCCCCAGCCCCAGTTCACATTGGCAGCTCTCAGCAATACCTGCCTAGCTGCCCAGCACCCAACTCTGGGACCACAGGGGCCATCTGCCTTCCACCAGGCTTTGGCAGTCCGAGTGTCTGGGTTTTCATTTCCTCCACTGGCTGCTTCTCATTTCTCTTCCAGTTCTCCAGAATCCTGACCCTGGCCCATGGATTCCCAGGATGAATGCTCAGGGCCAAGAGTTCCTGGTCCTTTCCCAACCTGGGCATCTTCCAGAGCCAGGCTCATCTGTGTCCCCAGCTGTTGGATGCCCAGGGCTCAGGGGCCTGGGTGGTAGCCTTCACTCTACTCTTCACTGGGAACCTTTGGTGGCTCCTTGCCCCTTAGGATAAAGTCAGAAACAGATGGACCCTCAGGTAACCCCACTGACTTCAGCTCTCTTTAGGCCATTCCTGAATAGACTAGAACAGTTACAGCCCTGCTGGCCTCCGAAGCTTCAGTTGTCACTGGTCTCCTTCTCTGGCTCATCTGGGAGGACTCTGGTCCAGTGCTACTTCTTCTGTAGGACGCTGTCCCCTCCAGACTGGGTTACTCCTTCCATCTTGTCTTTGACTATCCTCGGTTCCCTTTCGCTTGCTGGAACTCTTTGCCATCCCTGGCCCCAGCATGGATTCTAGTTGCCCCTCACCAGCCTGACACCAGCTCACTCTAACTCTGCCCAAGATCAAACCTGATTTGAGATCCCAGCTCTCTCTCTTTTTTTTTTAATTGGTACTGGGGATTGAATTCATGACCACGCACTTGCAAGGCAGGCGCTTATGCCGCTGAGCTAAATCCCCAGGCCCCCCAGCTCCCTTTTGACCTTCCCTCATCCTTGACCCTGATAGCAAACCTAGGACAGGACTAAAGGCCAGTGTCTCCTCTTACAGTGTGCATTCCTCTCCAAAGGAAGGGACACAGTATTCCAAGCCTCCTTGAGATCTACAGAGGGGCCTGAGTGGCAGAACCTCAGATTTCTGGGGTTCAGGGGAGTTCATCCCCAAGGAAGGTTTCTGACCAGGAAGCCCAGGCAGCCTACTCCTACTTCTTCCTGCAGTGACCTATGGGCAGGTTGGGATGGGCTGTATTGTAGCAAGGACTGGGCTATGCAGGTTGCAGGCCTGGCCCGGTCTTTGGCACCCTCTAGAGGACAGTTTCATTCTCAGATTAGAGTGTCAGGCAAGTGACTCCTATAGTCTCTCCCAGGAAGGGACTGTCAGCATAGGAAGATTCCTGGACGACTGCCCACTGCCCGCCACTCCACTGGCAGGTGTCGTTATAGTCTGCGTGTCAGCAAAGATTCTTTCATGTCACAGCACTGCATCATCAGCTCAAACCCCCAACTTCCCACCCTGTCCTTCCAGGTCTAGCCAGGCCCTGTTGCTGGTCTTGGCTCCCCCCTGAGTTCCCACAGTCATAAGTGGGAGCCTCCCACTGGCTCGACTTTGGTTTCTTTGCAGAGGCCTTGGCTTTCCCAGGGAAGCGATTTCCTCAGGGGAGGACCTATGTTTCCTCCTGTTCTCTTGGGCTAGGATTTCCTTGCATATATGGCTTTTGTGTCCTATGTCCTCTCAGACCTGGGGCCCCTGGAGAACAGGCCTGAGTCTCTTGTCCCTGAGGACTGACCTGGGATCTCCTCTTCTACCCTCTACCTGGTTATTGATCTCCAGAAATTTCTACCTCTTCATAGGTCTTCCCGTAGCTGAGCTCAGGGGTCTTTGTACCCTTCATGAGTCTGAAGGCCTGGAGTGGTCACCTCAGGCTCTGGCATTACAGACAGGCCCGACCTTTGGCTTAGAGGACTGAGTCCCAGAGCGTCCACCAGGAATTCCACCTCTTACCTCGGGAGGGTTGCCTCAGAGCTCTGGTTCCACAGTGCTGCTGGCAGAAGGAGGATGCTATTTTGGGCAGTGAGCCTGGACTTGTCTCAAGTGGCAATGGCCAAACCCCTGCCCTACTGACTTCTCCCCTGGAAGAGCTCTAACCCTCCCCTCTCCACTGGAGAGGGCTTCAGAAGAGGCAGGCTTTAGGTTGGGGACACAGCTGGGCATGCAGCTTGAGCCAGGGCTGGAGGAACAAGATCAAGACCTGCTTTAACCGAGGAGCTCCCCAGACAGAGCCCAGAAGAAACAGAAGGGTATTCAGCAGGGTGAGTGGGTTTCCAGGCAGGTTAGGGACAGGGTGGCTCCTCAGGGCACAAATTGAGAAGAGTTATGCCCTTCAGACCATACAGGGAAGAGGAGATTGTGGAACTGTTTGGGAGAAGAGCATCAGCTGGTGTTAAAGGCTTGGTTTTCTGTTCTAGCTCAATCATGTGTTGCTGTGACACAGGCAAAGCCCATCCTCTCTCTGTGCTTCAGTTTCCTTACCCAGAGGCTGCTGCTGTGAGGACCAGGTGCCTGGGTGGAGTGGAGGTTAGGAGAATGTACTGAAGGGACTCTCAGTAGAGCACGGGGGTACTGCTCACTAGCTGAGGAAATGATTAATTGGCAAAGTGCAGCTCCATGTCTTGAACGCCAGTGGCTCAAGCCCCTGGTGTTCCGGTACTGGGACTCTGTGCGCTTAGCACCCTAGGCCCTTAGCATCTCTGCTCCCCAGCTCTAAGCCTCCCCAGCAGCTCCTTGGTACCCAAGGCTAACTCTGGGCAGCTGCTTCATCTCTTCTTAGCAGCTTCTGCTAGTGTTCCAGGTTCCCCGCCAGTGCTGCTGCTCTCCGCCCGCTGCCTTGGCTTGGCTGTCCCTGGATGGCACCTGCTGGTGCTGCTCAGTGATGCTCACCCTTGATCTCCAAGGCTGGTCTCTGCTGCTGTCTGCTGCTGCGGGCCTCTGCTTTGGTTGATGCCACTCACTGCCGATTGCCACAGGCTAACACCACCACTTCCAGCCTCTGCCAGGTACTGCTGATCTCCCTCAAATTCATTTCCTGGAACTCTTCAGAACTAGCTGCTGTTAGTGTCTACGGCATTTTAAAATTTAATTTAAAATTATTTGTTTATTTATTTATTTATTTTGAGGCAGTGTCTCCCTACATAGTGCAGGCTGGCTTTGAACATGCTTATGTAGCCCAGGCTGGCCTTGAATTCATAATGATCCTCCTGCCTCAGCCTCCCCAGTGCTGGGATAACAGGCCTACCACCATGTGCAGCTCTACTGTTCTTTTTAAAGCTCCCCACTCTGCCTATAGGAGTTCAGAGTTCATACGAAAGCTTTCAAGCTGCAGAGAAATAAATTAGAGCAAATTTTCAGAACACTGGCAAGGAGCTTTATTAGACAAGGCTGCGCTACAGCACAGAGGCGGAGGGGTGAGGGGCAGGGATACCAGGGAAGCAGATGAAGTCTTCTAGACCAGTTGTACAAATGTGAGGAAGGCGGTTTATATAACAGTAACAGGCCTGTGATTGGTGCAAATCTGAGCCTGCTGATTGGTCCAAATTCTAGCCTACGGATTCAAGCCTACTGATTGGTCCAAATTCAATTATGCTGTTTGGTTCAAATGCAAGCCTGCCGCAGTGAGGGTAGCTATCTATAGTAGGTGCTAGGTGCCCAGGACAGTCCCAGCTGTACTTGGTGACAGTTGAAAAACATGGGGAGAGGCAACTACTTGATTGACAGCTGCCGAGTCTCCTCAAAAATAGCGGGGCTATAATCAGGTTTGCCTCTGCTTTCCAGGAATATTCGGGAGGTTTAACGGTGTTAACCGTAGCCTACGGGGGCCCCGGGATTTGGAGGACGGTATAACGGGCCCAGATCCTCCCCAAGCCCTGCCGGTCAGGGGCAGTTTCTTCAGAGAGGGGGCAGCCACGCCTGGATGTGAGCACTGACTCCTGCCGGTGTGGCCAGGACAGTGGCTTCTTGGTTACCTCGGTGGCAGGAGGAGAGTGTCGCCCCAGTCCACCCTCAGGAGACCTGAAGGGATGGCAGCTGTCAGTTGAGCCAGCCCCTTACCCTGTCACAGCTAAAGGCAAGACTCAGGCTATTTCTCTTGTTTCAGGGTGGGAGGAGAAAGCCATCACTAGACCTCCAGGACCAAGGCAGAAGGAGGCGAGTCTGAGAAGGCTGGCTGCTGGTTTGCTGACTGCCTTCTGCCCTGGGGGCTGGGGCTGGGGCTGGGTAGCGAGTTTCTGTGCCCATGGCTGAGGATGTGCCTTCGTGTTGCAGTCAGAGGGAACTGGGCTAGGGCACAAGGACTCACAGAATGAGGGAACCTGAAGCGTTATTCTCAAGACGTCAGTTTCTGAAAAAAATAAAGCACCCAAGGGGAAGTTTTAGGAAAGTGAGAGGGGGCTGGCCATGGCGGTGCATGCCTGTAATCTGGGAGGCTGAGGAAGGAGGATCACCGGGAGTTGGAGGCCAGCCAGTCGGCTGCATAGTGAGAACTTGTCTCAAAAAAAAAAAAAAAAAAAGGAAACCGAAGGGAAGGCTTTGTGCCAAGGAGGGGCACAGGCTAAGTGGATTTTCCAGGCCTCATCCTGTGTGGGTGTGGGTGTGGGTGTGGTTTCTGCAAAGCTAGTTTAAGTTAGCAGCGAGAGGAACTGAGGTTGGACTAAAGTGGCAGTGGCGATGGTGCAGGCTGCAGAAGGCACAGGCAGGCAGGCGGAGTCGCGGTAGCCTCGCCCCATCAGCCAAGCCTTCATGTTAAGAGCAGTAGTGCTGGCACTTGGCACTAAAGAAGTGGTGTTGGGTTGCAGTTTAGGCACTCAGTGTGAGAGTCAGCAGCCACAGAGGGGAGGCTGTGGGTGTTGCACCATCCAAATCTGGGTGGGTTGCAGGTTTGGGAAGGGCAGGAGGACCATTGAAGGGCCCTTCCAGAGGTCAGGACTCTTGAGGCCAGCAGGGTGGATGGGCGGGACCCTAGGGCCTCTCCCCATTGGCTGAGGTCACCCAGTCCGCACTGCCCTCCCATGCAGTTCGGCTGGTTGATGGAGGCTCACTAATAGGAGCTGCCCCGTGGCTTGGGGGTGTGCTGGTGGTGGTGGTCGTGAAGTCTCATGAGAATATGGGGGCCAAGTTCTATGTCCCCTATGCTTAGTGACCTCTCTTTGGCTTCACAGTATTTAAAAGTCTAAAAGACAAAATATGGCTCAAGCAAGCAGGCCGAAGTGGTAAGCTCCCCATCACTTTTCCCCACCTCAGTCCTGTCCTCTGGTCAGCCCTCTCAGCGCCTTCTCTGCCCGCCCTCAGTCTCTCCTTTGTGGCAGCTGCTCCCCTGACTCCCCTCTTTTCAACCCACCTGGTAGCCTACAAGGTCCCAGAAGGAGGGCATCTCCCACCAGTTTCTCCTGGCCCCATAGTGCAGCCAATCACGAGGAAGGGTGGGACCTGAGGGCGGGGCTCTAGGGATGGACGAGGGTCGGGAAGGCAGTGGATCTGAAGGTTCCTGTGCAGGTGGCGCTCACCTGCGCTAGCCTCCTCCCCTCCCGGCCTCTCAAGCTCAGCTCTTTGCACTGGCAAAGCCCTCACTATGCAGGCTGCTGTACCTCTCCACTTGCCCCTGCCCAAGGCTCCTCCTGACTCAGCCACACCATACCCTTTGCTTCTTAACTTTTTTTTAGTACAGGGCCTTCATGCTGAGCTATATCCGTGGTTGTTTTTCTTTCCATCCTTTTTCTTTTCTCCTTCCTTCCTTCCTTGTTTTCTTTCTTTCTTCCTTTCTGGGTCTGGGGATTGAACTCAGTGCCTTTGCACTAGATCACATCACTTCTCTCTTTAAATTTTTTTTTTTTAATTTTGAAATAGATTCTTGCTAAGTTGTTAAATTGCTCAGGCTGGGCTTGAACTTATGATCCTCCTGCCTCAGCCTCCCCAGAGTGCTGGGATTACAGGTGTGCACCACCGTGCCCAGCTCAACTTCCTTTGCTTTCTGGGGAGGTGCTCAGAGTCCTGTGACCAGGCCTTCTGCCTGTAGTGCTCTTTGCAGTTACCACATGACTTCTCCTGCATGTCCTTTGTGTGCTTCCCACTGCACCGGCTCAGTGAGGCTGACCCTGACTACCCTAGGTGAGATTAGTCCCGGCCAGCACTCCCATGTGTGCCCTACTTTTCCCACATCAGCTTCTAACACACACAGGCACTTGCTGCTTACCTTTCATAGCAGCCAGCTCTGTGTGCAGGGATGCTTGCCTGTTTCTGCACTCTCGTACAGACAGAATGAATGGTTCCCTCTCTGTGCTGATTGCTGTCTTCAGCCCACACCTTCCTTCTGGGTTTTAGCCTCTGCTTCCAAACACCTACCCTGCCCTAGAGACAACTGAGATCCCTGTTGAAAACCACCTCTTCCTGCTACCTCACCTATCCTGGGCACGAGGAGGTACACAGGGAAGGCTGCTGGATTACCTATTAACTCAGCCTTGAGTTGAAGGGCCGATGATGGCAGATGGACTTGAGTCTCTTTTCTGTCCTTGGGCTTGGGCTGCTGCTTCAGGTCCACCCGCAGCTCCAAGATGGGCTCCTCACCTGTGCCAAAGAAGTTACAAGCAATTCTGCAGAAGGAGATGGTGCGAGAATTCTTGGCTGAGTTCATGAGCACGTATGTCATGATGGTGAGTAGGTTAGTGACATGGGGCGGGTGGGGTGCAGTTCCTGAGCTCTCCCCACTGCTGACTCTATGGATCCATTGCTCTTTCTGCTTCTGAGCTGGGATCCTCAGAAATGAGTAGAGGAATGTAAGGAGAGAGGCCTTTGTCACCACCTTCTATTTGGGGAGGGAAGTACTGGGACTGAGCCCAGGTCTTGGCGCTGAGTTACATCCCCAGCCAGGCTGTTGTGGTTTTTATTTTGCAGCAGGGTCTTGCTAGGTCACACAGCCTGGGCTTCTACTTGCAGTGCTCCTGCCTTAGCCTCCCACAGATGTGTGCCACCACCCCCAACATTGCACCAAGTCTTTTTGTAGCAGAGCGTGGAGTATTTTCCTGACCCTCTCAACCTTCAGAACTTGTGCCCATGGAAAGGTTCAAAACACGCCAGGATAGGTCAGAGCTGTGGGCTTGAGTGTCAGTAGTCATGCCTGGGAATGGCAAGAAGAAAAACCAGGAAGAAAGCGGTTGATAAAAAGCTTTGAGAATTAACCCTGAGGGCAGTGGGGAGACCCTGAAGTTATCAAGTAGGGGAGTGACAGGGTCGGACTTGCATCTTAGAAGTCACCATGGTTGCAATGCAGAGGGTAAGGAGGACAGGCAAGGGGATGGAGCCAGTTAAGAGGCTGTTGTCATAAGGAAGCATTGAGCCATAAGCCACAGGTAATGGGGTGGGGATGGAACAGACAGCGTGTGATAGAAGAGTTGTAGAAGATTAACAAGGAGACCACAGGCATGAAAAGTGGGGTAAATGCCGGTGGGCTATGCCGTTTCAGGCCAAAGGTGATGTTCATTTGAATGTGACCATCTGAAATGCCAGAGGGAAAATTCAGGACATAAATACAGGGCTCTTGAGTTCAACAGAGTTGCAGTGGTACTTGGAAGGCAGAGGCAGGGGTATTACCCTGAGTTTGAGGCCAGCCTCGGCTACGTAGTGAGTTCAAGTCCGGCTTAAACTATATAGTGAGACCCTGTGTCAAGAAACAAAATCAAATTGAGAGACAGAGAGACAGAGACAGAGAGAGATTAAATTGAAAGGAGAGTGGTAACGTTTAGTATCATTAGGATATGAGTAGCAGTTATAAAAACTGTCCAGAAAAAATGACTGTGTGTTGGAGAAACACTAGACACTGGCATCTTATTTTGACCCTGAGCCTGTCAGCAGCAGTTTTCCTGGGGCAGGTCTGTCCCTGGCTGTCATGCCCATCTTCTCAGCACGTGAGTATCCGGAAGCCAGTGGTTCAGGGGCTTTGAATTTCCCCTCTGCCATCTTCCATCTGTGTGATCATCCACAAGCCTTTAACCTTTCAGAGCATAGCTCCCTTCTTGGTAACCTGGAGCTCTGGCACTGAGCTAGAAGCAGAGTGTGAAGAAGGCCTTGTGCCGGCATCCAGGGCACCCGTGTTGGCCCCTCGTTATTACCACAAATGTTCTCAGTACTCTCTCTTCCTAAACCCTGCCCCTAGCCTTCATCCCTTCCTTGCTCTTGTTTCTGAACTGTAAGAAAACCGGCAAGGTTCTGTCTCTTCTTAAATCTCAAATAAGGTAATTTATCTTTGACCAGACATTCCATTCTCGGGAAGGCTGTTACACTTTGGAACCTCAGAGGCAGGCGAGTGCCTCTTTGGGGAGCTCTTGAGGAAAGCAGAGATTGGCATCCTGGCTTGGCACCTGCCCACAGCTGCCTTCTTCTTTTAATCTGGATAATTATTGAACACATACTGCGTAGCAAGCACGAGGATACTATGCCCCTTACGTGCAGCATCTTCTCAAATCATTACACTGGCCCCCGAATCTAATCTAGGTGTGGTGGCTGAGGCAGGAGGGTTGCTGTGAGTTTGAGGCCAGCCTAGGCTGCATAGTGAGACTTCATTTTAAAAACAAAAATCACAAAACCAGCCTCATTTTACAGATGGGGAAACTGAGGCCCGTGATACTAAGTCACTTGCCCAAGGTCACACTTTAAATTATGACGAAATCTAGTCCAGTTGTATCACAGTGTTGCCCTTTCATCACTTTCTTCTGTCCCTTAGTTTAGCGATGACAAGTTTTTTGTTGTTTTTGATTCATTTTTCCAGTGATCCTGGGGCTCAAATCCAGGGCCTTGAGTGCTCTGTCACAGAGCTGCACCCACAGCCCCAAGTTGGCAAGTTTTCTAAGATGGTAGCTTGTTGACTCTTCTAAGCTGGGGAAAGGTCTTTGCTTCCAGTTCAAGACCCATCTCTGGGCCTCAGTTTCCCCATCTATAAGTGACTGCGAAAACATTTGCTACTCAGGTTTGCTGTGGGGCTGAAGGGAAATAATGCCTGTGATGAACGTGGTGACATTTAGGTTCATGTAGGACATGAATTATGTTATTGTTTGTTTAGTTGCCAGGCCTGTGCCAAGAAGTAGGAGCTTTTCAATTCACAGGAAGTTCAGTGAATCACCAGGGTAAAGGTTTTGTTACCCCAAAAGGCTAGTGTGACCTTGGACCCCATTTATTGTAGCCAAGATGAGGGAAATGATTGTTCTGCTCTACAACTCCAGGGTTGTTGTTCTCGGACCTGGCTTCCGGGCTGTTTGTTGGCTGCATTCGGTGACGGGGGTGGAGGGGCTGGAGCCTTCCAGCCCTAGAGTCTGTGTCCAGGGCCCAGTGGGATCTGCTTATGTGGGTACACGTTGGCCACAGGGCAAGGATTGCCAGCTCATACCACGGCCGAGAATCAGTGCAGGGTGGAGCCTGGCCAATGGCAAAGCACACATCTGTGGAAGGGTGTGGCTGATGCTCCCAGCTGGCCGTGGCCACGGAGGGAGGAATGCAGGCTAGCAGTGCCCAAGCTTCTCACTTTTCAAGAGGAACCGAATCTTCACACCATCAAAGCCACATTCTCCAAACCTGTGCTGGGGTGGATTAGTGTGGGCCAGAAGACTGTGTAGGGTTCATCTAGTCGTTCAATATCTTTAGTGTATGGCTTTGACATGGGAAACAGGAATGGAATGGGGTTACAGCTCCACCTGCCTGTCAGCCTGGCCCCTCCGCCCACTCTGTTGGTTAATGTTTTCCCCTACTGCGTCTTCTCCTGCACCTAAGCAGCCCATCTCTGGGCCCTCCTGCACCTGTCCTGGATCTTGCTTGGCTGCCTATTCTCTGCTTCCCCCGAAGTCGCGCATGTTTCTCAGACTTCTTCAAAGCTGCTCTGTTCTCTGTCCATCATTTTTAAAATCAGCAAATAGCTTGATCTCTTCCTTGTCAGAGAAATCATCAGGTGGGCTCTGTTAGTCCACCTCCTCGCCTTCTCGTCAGTCCCACCGCCTGTCATCTGTCTGTACTTCCATATGTCTCTCTCTTCACCTAGGCCCCCACTTCCTGGGTGACCCCTCCACTTCTGCTTAGTCCCCCCGCCCAGTCCTTTCACATATGTTGCTGTGTCCTTTCTATCTCCTTTGTTGTCAGTCTGTGTGTCTCACAGACTATGAATTTGTTCAAGTCTCTCCATTTAAACCAGTATAACAAACTGAGCGTGGTGGGACACATATGTAGCCCTAGCTACTTGGGAGACCGAGGCAGTAGGACCACGAGTTTAAGGTTGGCCTCGATTTTTGTTTTTACTCCAGACTGAGTAATGTGCTGATGTCATCACAAGGTTGGGAAAGGCACACCTCCTGCACGCGGCATGAACACCCAATCCGTGCTCACGAACTCAAGGATCTAGCCTTGAAGTTTTTGTTTGTTTACAATGCTGGGGAACCCAGGGCTTTCACAGTGAGCTGTATCCCTAGGTCATTTTATTTTTTGAGACAGACTGACCTCAAACATTCAACCTCCTACCCCTGCCTCCTAAGTACAGGGATTACAAGTGTGTACCACCATGCTCAGTTTCCCTGACAGTATGGCCCTGTCTCAGGATAAAAACAGAAGGGGTGGGGTGGCTCAGTGCGAGCTGTGTTCACTCTCCAACACTGAAAGGCAAAGCAGGGGCCGGGGATTTAGCTCAGCAGCATAAGCGCTGTCTGGCAACGCAAGGTCCTGAGTTCCACACCTGGTACAAAAAAAAAAATAAAAGAAAAGAAAAGAAAGAGAAAAGTGAAGCAAAGCAAAGGAACGCAACGTGAAACACCCTCCCCTCCATCCCGTGAGCCCCTTGTTTATCATGTCATTATCCCCACAGGCCTTCCCAGCAAGTTCTCAAAGAGAAAAGAGTTCTGGCACCGTCAGTTCTTCCTCATGAGCCCGGAGTGTAAGAACATTTGCCTACTGTGCATGAGGACCTGGTCCAATCCCCAGTACCATAAAGAAAAGTGAACAAAATAAGCAAAACGGGCGAGGCGGTGCTCATTGTGTTACTAATGACCGCAGGCTGTCCATCCAGAAGGGAGCTTTCCAGCCTTCACGCCCTTGGCCCCATTGCCAAACGTGACTGACAGTGCTGACACTGTTTCTTCCTGGCCTTCGTGGCACGTTCTCTCTGTTCCCCCATTTGGGCACCTGCTAAGACTCACCCGTGAGCGCGGCTGCCTTCCGACCTTGGCCCTGCAAGGTCTTTCCCCCTCGAGGGGCTTCCAGTGAAGCCCTCGTCCGTGTCCATAGTTCTCCCTGTTTCCTTTCATAAACCTTGAGCAAAGCTGTCCCAGGAAGCTTCGTGTGAGTCCCACGTGTAATTTAAAGTGTCCTGTAGCCACATTATCCAAGCAAAATGCTCTAGATAAAATTAATTTGAAGTTATTATATTTAACCCATCTGTCTAAAAATATCACTTCTTTAAACTGTATTTTTCAGTACTGAGGATTGGATCTAGAGAGTGCAGGGTTCATCTTCAGTCCTTTTAATTTTTTTGAGACAGGGTTTTACTAAATTGTCTAGACTGGTCTTGAACCAGTGGCTCTCCTGTCTTACTCTCCAGAGTAGCTGGGAATATAGGTGTGTATGACCGTGCCCAGCCCAAAATATCATACCATTTCAGCACGGAATATATATATATATATATATTATTTGAAATACTAGGGATTGAAACTAGGCCCTCTGTACTGAGTTACATTCTCAGCCCATTTACTTATTTATTTACTGATCTTTTTGAGACAGGGTTATCACTTTGCAGTTCAGGCAGGCCTTGATCTCACTTTGTAGCCCGGGTTGGCCTTAAATTTGCAACAATCCTCCTGTCTCAGTTTCCCGAGTGCTGGGATTACAGGCATGAACCACCACACCTGGATAGCCCTTTTATTTATTATTTCGAGACAGGGTATTAATAAATTGCTAAATTGCCCAGGGTAGGCTTGAACTTGATTATAGGTATGTGCCTAGAATCTCAGCACACTGGAAGGCTGAGGTAGCAGGATCAAATATTTAAGTTTGGCCTGGGAAGTTTAGTGACTTTCAAGATGCTGTCACAAAAACAAAATACAAAGAAGGCACTGGTGACCTTGGATAAGTGAATCAATTTCCCTAAGCTTCAGGTTGCCCATTTTCCAAATGGGGAGAATAAAATAGTACTCCCTTGTGAAGTGCTGTTAGAAGCATCCTTCAGGCTAGCCTGGAAAGTGAGGTGCTGTGAGGGGTGCAGTCCACCCTAGCTGTCTTGAAGCCCTGTCCCTACTCACAAACTTCAAGTGGGCCTGGTGAGGACTGGGCATGAGGGCCTCTGCCTCTGGTTCTTTTTACTCTCACTGTCCAGCTCTCATTGGGCTGAGAGGTCTCTCTGGGGGAGGGGAGCAGAGGTCATAAGAGAAAGTTCCAGAGGAAGAAAGCAGGGAGGGAGGTCTTTGGGGGCAGTTTTGGGCAGGACCAGAGCCTGGGTGTGGGAAGGAGCTAGGACTAAGCTCTGAGCTCTCCTCTGAGGTTGGGGCTTCTGAGGAGGCAGCCCTCTCAGAAGCTCTCCTTTGCAGGTGTTCGGCCTTGGTTCTGTGGCCCACATGGTTCTAGGAAATAACTTGTATGGAAGCTACCTTGGTGTCAACTTGGGTTTTGGCTTTGGTGTCACCATGGGAGTGCATGTGGCAGGCAACATCTCGGGTGAGTGAACCCTGGTCCCTCCTGACTGGGTGAGGCTGGGTATCTCAGGCAGGGCAGACTGTTTCCTACCCACCCCCAGGCAGCTCCTTTTGTGAACAACCTTGAAGCTCTGACACTTCTAAAGGCTTTACTCCTGCCTGTGTCTTCTGCATACTCTTCATGGGCTCCCCTGACTCACCATTTTGACTGGTTGGGTCCATGATGGCAAATCTTTCAGTGATACAAGCAGCCCACAACTGAGCTAGGTCATCTTAGGCAAATTATCTCCCTTCTCTGCTCCTCACTTCCCTTAACGGTGAAATGGAGGTGGCGGGGAAGTTGTAAAGGTTGTGCGAGAAGGCTCTGGTCTCAGAAAACAGTCCATAATATTGACCATTATTAATTAGTTATTATTATTATTTTTCGAGACAGGGCTGTGCTATGCAGTTCAGGCTGGCCTTGAACTTGCTGTGATCCTCCTGCCTTGGCCCTCCAAGTGCAGGAATTACAGGCGTGTGCCACCACATCCACACTATTATTGTTGCTGGCGGTATCATCCATTTTGTTGCTTCTGTTCTCCGCAGCATGACACACCTCTCTCTTCCCACAGGGGCCCACATGAATGCAGCTGTGACCTTCGCCAACTGTGCTCTACGCCGCTTGCCCTGGAAGAAGTTCCCTGTGTACGTGCTGGGTCAGTTCCTGGGCTCCTTCATGGCTGCTGGCACCATCTACGGCCTCTTCTACAGTGAGTGGCCTACCCTGGCTGGCGCCTCTGGCTTTAGCCCCTCTCTGAAACATGAGCAGACCAGGTGCTGGTGCAGTGGTCTGGAAACTCTAGAAGAGACCTCCAGCCTGTAGTCCCGCGCCTGGCATTAGCCAGGGGCTGAGCTCAGTGTGTTTCCACAGTGGCTATTCAGCAGTTCTCCGGCGGACATTTGACAGTGACAGGCCCCACAGCCACTGCTGGCATTTTCGCCACCTACCTACCTGGCTACATGACATTATGGTGTGGCTTCCTGAATGAGGTCAGTGCCCTTCTGCCCGAGCCCGCCCCTCCTCCGTGATAAAGCGGACAGTAACTCAGGATGGGGACTTTACTGACAGGTGATTCAGCCAGTATGCTGGGATTTGGGGCATGAGCCTGGTGGGCTGCTAGAGTGTATGCTTCTCAGGTGGTGCTGACAGGGATGCTCCAGCTGTGTCTCTGTGCCATCACGGACAAGGAGAACAACGCAGCACTGCCGGGCACCCAGGCCCTGGTGATTGGCATCCTTGTCGTCATCATCGGGGTGTCCTTGGGCATGAACACGGGATATGCGATCAACCCGTCTCGGGACCTGCCTCCTCGCTTCTTCACCTTCCTTGCCGGCTGGGGCAAAGAGGTGTTCAGGTACTGCTCCTGCTGGGCCCCATTTCTGCGAGTTGCCTAAGAGTCCCCTGTACCCAGAGGGGTCAGGGGCTGTCAGGGCAGCCCAGGAGAGTCCTGCTCCATGATGTTCCCTGAGACCAGAACAGGTACAGGTTTTGCTTCAGAACCTTCAAACCTATGTTCCTGAGTCAGGCTGAGGCTCCCTGGGGCTGCAGGTGAGGGCATTCTCCGGAGTAGGGTGAGGGTGGACCCTCTGCTCACCCTATCTTGGCCTGGGAAGGAAGTGAGTGCCATCCTGGGGATTGGCCTCCTCCTCAGGACTCTGCCTCTTTCTTGCTTTGCCAGTAACAAGTGGTGGTGGGTGCCAATTGTGGCACCACTCCTGGGTGCCTACCTAGGTGGCGTCATCTACGTGGTCTTCATTAGCACCCCGCGAAAACGCCAGCGACTGGAGAACTCCGAAGACCACAGGATAACTGTATTGCCCAAGGCCAACCTGGGCACAAGCTCTTCTCTTGCTCCTCCCTCTGCAACCCCCACCCCACCCTTAGGTGGCTCCATGCCCCTCGAGCACTTCTAAGAAGTTCACCCCCACCCTCCCCAGTAAGAAAGCCTTGTTTCACAACAGCGCTCCAGGGGCCTTCCTGTGGCTGGACTCCCCCACTAGGTTCTCCCAGGAGCTTCCTGGTTAAGCCTTCGCTCCAGGTGGGAGTACGGGGCTGAGAGACCTCAATTCCTTCCATCCCTGAGAGCTGGGGAGGCTGGGTGAGTGACCTGTGGTCTGAGTGCAGGACAAAGGATGCCAGACACAGAATGTTGGACTTTGAGGCAGAGGGGAGGGAGGGGACAGTTTGGGGAAAAATCAGAGCTTGGTGCAGGGGCCAACTCTGGGGATGCCTCAAAGGTACCCTGGAATAAGACTTTGCATGCTCCTGGGTTTACTCTTTCTCTGGCCCTGGCTAGTTCTTGTTATATAAGGCAGGGCTGAAGGGTATAGAGCAGAATTTCTCAAGCTTTTTTTGTTTTGGTTAGAGCTCTCCTCAGCAGCCTTTTAGATACATTTTTTCTTCATATTTTAATACCATCTGTATATCGTACGTTTCTGTGCTTTGTATAGAAAAATAATTGTACATAAAAAGTTAAGATGTTTTCATCCTGTTCCAAGAGTCAGTGTTTACTTGGGATGTCTGACACAGGTGGAAGTGGGCAGGGCGTGCCTGCCTCCTGCTTCCTGACCCAGGGCTCTCCCTGGTGGAGGAAGGCCATAGTCAGAAAGGAAGAAACAAATGGAAAAACCCTTCCAACAGGTGCAGAGACAAGAAAGTCTCGACATAGGGCTCAAGGGAAGCAGGCACCGAAGCTGGGTGGCAGAGGGGATTCAGGACCTGCTGCGGTGGGACCGAGCAGGAAGCATCCTGCATTCTGCAGTTCAGAAAGTGGCATCAACACGTCTCCTGTCGTCACTCATACAACCAGCTGTTCCACACTCACTGACAGCTCTGTTAGCCTGGGTACTGGGGGTGCCTATGGGGACTGGCAATTAGGAGGAAGGAGCTAAGATGGGGAGAGAAGGACCCATGGGGACCATAGGACTTGGAGTGGGGTGCATAGCCAGCCTCTGGCGGAGGTTAGAGACGGCCTTCCTAGAAGATGTGGCAGAGTGGGCATGAGGGAAGTCCTTTCCAGGAGTAAGAGCATCCTTTACAGTTTGCCAGGGCAGGGGCTGAGGAAATGTCTTTCTCAGATGTTTCTGTAGTTACCAAGACAAACAGCAGCTCCCCACAACTTAAAGCGGGAGGGGCTCACTGGGCTCATGGTTACAGTCGGTTACAGTCGGTTACAGTCCGTGGTCATGGTCGGCTCGCTCCAAGGCAAAAAACACGGCAGAAGGGTGGGATGGAGGAAAGCGGTTCCCTCCGCACCCTCAGGAACCTGCCTCCTCTAGCCAGAATCTACTGGTTAGGTACAGCAGTCCCTTGATCCAGTCACGTGTTAAAGCCCCACTGCTGAACATATGACGCCTTTGGGGGGAGCATTCCAGGCTTCCTGTTGAAGGTGAGGGACATAGTATGATGATTTAGAAGCTCCTTTGATCAGGCCAGGAGATGGGGGATGTGGGCCTAAAGAAAAAGTGATGTTCCAGGCTGTACACCTGTGATCCCAGTACTTGGGAGGCTGAGGCAGGAGGATTGTCATGAGTTCAAAGCCAGCCTGAGCTACATAGTAAGACCCTGTCTAAAAAATAACAAATGTAATGAGAACCAACCATGAGGAGGAGTCACCCAAATGGCAGGACAAGGGCTTGGTTTGGATGAAGGAGTGAGTGAGGAATCAGAGATGGCTTCATTTCTGGCTTGTGTGTGGGCAGAACACAGGCATGGAACTCATTTGGAGTGGAAGATGGTAAGCTGGGTCACAGACGCGTTGAGTTTTAGCAGTCGCTGGACTTGTGGGCGTGGGGTGTGAGAAGGGTGTGATTTGGGGCAAGTTACTCAGACTCCCTGGGTCTCAGGTGGTAGTAAAATGGGAATAAGGCTACCACCTGCTGTTGTATTCTGGTAAATGTAAAACGTGAGAATAGTGCCAGGCAGAGTGCATACTCATAAACACTCATAGTTAAACCTTTCATATTGTCCAGAACTCAGACAAGAACGGAGAGAAATTTGGGAAGTCTGGATATATCATACAACTGTGTTTGATAATATATAAATGTGATATGTATATGTATCTTATGTTTAAAAATGTAAAAGAAATAGCTAGAAGAGAATAGGGAGTGAGAGGCCGACAGGTAAGGAGCCTGCTGAGATCACCCAGAGTCCAGGGAAGTGGGGAGAGGCTTGAGTTTGCCTGGAGCCCATGCTGGGAGGAACCAAGCCAGGCGAATCGGGCTAGGGGACCAGGGCTGGGCTGCAGCTGGAGGACTCTTGCTCGCTGCACACGGCCTCCTCCTTTCTCCTGGCCTTGGTGGCCTTGTGACCATGACGTGGTGGCCTTTTTCCCTCCTGAAATTCCAGAAGATGCTGCTCAAGGCCTCGGTCATACCTCAGAGAGGTCCGTCCAGGCCAAGCTTCCAGATCCTACCTTCTTCTGTCCCCTCACTGAACACTTTGACTTCCTGGCATCCTCATGTCTCTGGAGCAGGGAAGCCAGTAGGGTACATCTAAAATCCTTGCCCGCTGTCTCCTCCAACTCTTGGCCTGGTCCTGGTAACATCTTACAGGGTCCGGTCCCCATGTCAGGCCCTACGCACAGAGCAACCTTTCCACTGAGAGCCTACAAGGTGGCAGACACCATGTTAGCATTCAAGACATAGGCACAAGGAAGACAAAAAAGGGTCCTTGTTCTCATGGAGCTCAAATTCTATGCAAAATATCTAAGAAAGGAAAGCAGGAAGGGAGGACAGAACATGTGGGAGGTGTGAAGGGAAGGTGGCACTGAGGAAAGACCTGAGGGAGAGGAGGGAGTGGTGCGTGCAGACCCCTTGGGGGAGACAGGAGGCTGCAGGAGGAACCCTTCGGAGCCAGGAGGAGGGAGCTGGAGTGGAAAGGAGGGGCGTGGGTGAAGAGTTCAGAGAGGCAAGGGTGTGGGGGGACTGAAGCCAGGCCAGGGCTGGGGCAGGGGTGAGGGAAGCCTCTGGAGGGTACAGGAAGGAAGGAAGGGGCGAGGCTGGGCATCATAGCACCTCGAGAGTCCTCGTTCTTGGCTTTGTATTCTTGTGTACATGCTCCTCCGCACACTTGCTCTCCTGGTCCCAGCAGACACAGCCTGGCCATGTGGCCTAAACTGTACTCCTCCCGTCTGGGCCTTGAACCAGGTTTCCAGGCCTCCTGACCCACTCTCCACCCTGTCCCCTCTTCAAGGCTTCAGTGGAGGTGGAAACTGAACCGGCCAGGACCGGCTCTTGCCTTAGGCCAGGTCCCTGTGGAGAAGGTGCTGGGCACCTTGGGGGGGCCCTGGGTGAGTAGAGGCTGAGGCACAGAAGCTGGAAATGCAAAGCTGCTCAGGGCCAGGGGCACACAGGCACACACATGAAGCCATAAAGCTAGGACTAGGCCTCTGGGTCCTCCAGGGACGCAACCAACCCCCCTTGGCTGTTAGGAGTTTTCAGATGCAGATTGCCATAGGCTCTTTCAACAACCCTGCCAGGGCCACAGAGAAGGCTTCTGTCCCCATCTGGCCAGCTCCTTACACTTGCCCTGGCCCCTGGTTCCTGCGGGAAGACAAACCTTGTGGCTATGGGAGGCAGTGTTTGGGTGGCAGGGGGCATGTGGAAGAACTATGTCGGGCCCGCTTAGCCCCTCAGTTCTCCGGTAGTCTCTGACCTGGGAAGAACTTGCCTCACCTGGCAGGTCCTCCAGAGGAGTCACCAGAAGCCTTTCCTTCCCTCCACTCTGAGCCCAGTTCCCAGGCACCTGTTGCACACAGGAGACTGGAACCCTGCTCCTCAGGGACATGGCTGGTGCTTCACTTAGAGGGAACTGCAGGAGCAAAGGCACAGGGTTAGGCAGGGCTGCTCTGCAGGCAGGAGGCCAGGCAAGATGTGGCCAGAGGCCCCGTCCTCAGCTCCTCCGCCCCGAAGGACGAAATGACCAGGGCCTGGCCTTATACCTCTTTCACCACCCTCCTGATGCCATCTCACTCGTCTTTAAATAAACCACAGCTCCCCAGATTAGAGCTCTAGACCAGTCTGGTCTCCAAATTGCAGACTCCCATGAGCAACGCCTACTGGACAGATTTTCTCCCCCAAGCCCGCTCCTCCCACACTCTCTCCTATCTCAGTAAATGGCAAATTCAGTCTTCCAACACTCAGGCCAGAAACTTTGAAATCATCCCTGACTCCTCTCTTTCTCCTGCTCACATCCTACATCCCAGCTGTCAGCAAATCTTCTACGTGTTATCTACAAATGTAGCCAGGATCTAGTGACTTTTTTTTTTTTTTTTTAACTCAGAGCCTCCTGCAAACGAGGAAAGGGCTCTACCACTGAGGCACATTCCCAGTTCCTCTACAATCCCGTCACCTGTCACCACCCCTCCATTGCCATCTTGGTTCAGGTCACCGTTGTCTCTCAGAGAATAGCAGTGGTCTGACTGGTCTCCCAGGCTCTTACCCACTCCTCCCTGCAGTCTAGCCTCAATTCAGAGGCCAGGATGATTCTTTGACCAGTGAGCGAGATCGTACCATTGGCTCCTCGGCCCTACACCTTCCAGGCCTACAGGACCTCCGATTCCTTTTCAGCTTTGCTCCGACAGCACACAGCCCAACAGCCTTGCTGCAGAGCCTTTGGGGCTGCTCCCTCTGCTTGGAATGGTCTTTTTTTGTTTTTGAAGTCTTCTGTTGGATGAAAGCCTGTCTTGTGTTTCCTACTGTGGCTATATCCTGTATATATACCAACAGTAGAGAGAACAGTATTGGAAATAAAAATGTGACAAAAAGTACTGGTTCTACTGTTATAAAGCTTAAAGAGAGCTTTTCTGCCTCTCAGCGTTCCGTTTTGGGGATACACACTGCACCCTAGTGGCCGCTTCAGAAAAAGCCCTGTCCTCTGACAGGTTCCTGGAGTCTCCCACTTGGAGATACAGTGAAGCCTGCCCTTCAGGTGTCCTCACTTACTGGGCTGCCCTGCTCTGCCCTTGGAGAGGACTTTCATATCCCTAGTGGCTGAGTGGCCGTGGACAGGGACCCAACCTCTCCAGGCTCCAGTTTCCCAGCCAGGTGTGATCACGCACCTGGGATTGCAGCAATCTGGGCAGCCAATGCAAGAGGATCACAAGCTCCAGCCCAACCTGAGCATAGCTGAAGTGACACAGTGAGGCCTTTTCTCCAAGTACTGAACGAGGCGAGCACCATGCTCAGGGTACGCTAGGTGCTTGGTAGCTGTCACCTACTGTTGGGAGTGTGGGCAGATGACCACCTCAGACCCTTCCTCGTCCCTGCTGAAGCAGGTGAGCACAACACAGGGGAGGGGACTGGACTGCACGTTCCCACCTTGTCAAGCACCTTGACTACAGCGCCGTTCCTTCCTCACCCCTCAATAACTACCCAGACGGAACGGGCATAGGCTCCGGTTTGGCTGTGCTGATTTCCGTAGCTGGTGAGACTTGTGGCTTCTCTGACCTCCCACATCATCCCACCACCCTGCCTGACAGACATGGAGACCAAGGCCACTGTGGTAGGGAAAGAGTGAGCTGAAGTGACAGCCAGCTGGGTTTCTCACACCCAGGTCTCCTTGAAGCAGGAAAGTAAGTTTCATCATGCCTGGGGCCACGGGCATCCTGGGTTACTCGATAGAACTCTCATGTGAGCTTTGCTTGAGGAAGCGGGGAGGGAATCATGTCCTTTTTCCTGAGGACTTAGCTCTTCTTAGTAGGCAACACTTAGAGGTAGGGAAATAGGAAAGGATTCCAGTCCTGATGGCACACATGGTGACCCCAGGGAATCTGTCTCTCTGTGGGCTGAGGGGGCCAGAATGGCTCGGCAAATCTGAGGATCCTTGAGCTCTAAAGGCCATGAGTCAAGTACAGTGGTGCCTGTCTGTGACCCCATCACTCTGGAGGCTGAAGCCCAAGGAACACAAGTTCAAGCTGCGTTTGGGCAATCAGAGAGACCTTGTCACAAAATATAAAAGTAAAAAAGGGCTGGGATGTAGCTCAGAGCAAAGCCCTAGATTCACGACACAGTACCACAGAATAAATTCAGAAAGGGTTGGGGGATGGTAGGCAGTGAGGAGTCAGCTGTAAGGCCAGTGTTTGGGAGGCTGAGGCGGGAGGATTGGCATGAATTGGGGGCTAGGTAGGGCTAGCGAACTCATGGGCAGCCTGGACTATGTAGCAAGATCCTCTCAAAAAAACCAAGGAGAGAAGGGAGGATGTGGAGGACAGTACAGGAACCGGGCTCAGGAGGGAGAACTCTCCCTTGAGTGTGGTATGGGTGACCAGTGAGGAAGCAGGTCTGGGAGGGTAAAGGAGCTGGCCTGGCCTGCCAATGCCCCCTTCCTTGTTAGGAAACAAGGTCTCCAAGTTTCCAGGGGTGAAAGTAGGGCCAGCACCAAGGGAGAAGCCCCCGGACCTAGATCTAAATCTACAGCATCCGCAGCCTGAGACTTCACACCTCCTGCAAGCCTGACAGTCTTCCCTGACAGGCCCAGCTAGGACACCACGTAGGGTCTCACAGACCCTGCGGGCAGGAAGCCTGCTTTTACCTCACCCTGCACAGTCTGCCTCTCCACTGCATGCCTGGCTGTGCCCTGCTGAGGAGCACCGCTGTGGTTGGACTTGCCTTGGAGTCTGAAGGATGGTACTGGTGGGTACCAGGGAGAAGCTTGAGACGCCCAGATGTGTACTGGTGCAGAGCTCAGACAAGCCAGAGGGAATTCCCAGTACCAATTTGGACTCTGGAAAGCCCTGGCCCACAATGTTAATCCCACTGAGAGTGGGGCTGGAACCACCCCTGGTTCTCCAGTGAATGTGGAGCTCTGATGCCTGCAGATTCCTTCCCAGTGTGGGGCGGAGGGGGGAATCTTCCTCTTACTCACATGCTTGTAAAAACTGTTTCTAACATGGTAGCTTAGTGAGGAACCCACTGGACCTGTGAGAAGTAGCTTTCCAAAATCTTGCTGAGGATCTGGGGTCCCCTTGGGGACCAGAGCAAGGCTGGCTTCCTGCCAACCATGGCACCCTTTCCAAGCGTCTTTCAACTCTTTGCAAAGCCCGCTCCTACTACCTTCACCTACTTCCTGGATCACATCTACAGCCTGGCAGCTGGAACTCCTGCTTCCTGCTGAGCCTGCAACCTCTTCTGTACACCCCTGCCCAAGGGGCTGCTCTGGAACAGTGGATGGACTAAAGTTCACAGCCAAATCAATGTTTTTGTACAGTTCATGAGCTAAGAATGTTTTTTTTTTTTTTTTTAAATAGTTTTAAATGGCTGGAAAGAGAGTATTTTGTAATATGCAAAAACTACAGGAGATTCTTATTCTAGTGTCCTTAAGTAAGGTGTGACTCCCTACTATTCAGATTGTTAGAACTTGCTAATTGCAACAGAAACTGTAAGTTTTGGTCTAAAATATTTACTCCAGCTTCTTAGAGAACATTGCTGAGTCCTGCTCTGGACGTTAATCTGCCAGGCCACTCTGCTTAGGGTTTGTCAGAGGCCTCCCAGACTTTGAGTCCACCTCCCTTGTCCCAACTAATCTTCCGTCAAACCCCAGCACACCTGCCTCTCGCAGCCCCAGTGCAAGCATGCAGGCATCCCCCAAGAGAGGTCTGGCTGGCACTCCCCGCTCCATTAACCAGTGTGGTGGACAGAAGATGCTTATGTATTTCCCAGACACCAAATATGATTCCCATAAATTTTGAACACTGCTGATGGTCCAAGCACTCCATATCTGCTACTCATTTAATTTTTACAAAAACTCGATAATGCAGATAAAATATCCATTGCACCAAGTGGCAAGTAACGTTGCAGGGCTAGAATCTGCAGTCAGATCTGAGGATTTAGATGCTTGACTCATGGCTTGAAGGATACAGGCTGGGCGTGGTGGCATATGGGCTTTGTGTTGTGTGTCTGGTCACTGATCCTCCATTACATGGCCCAGAGGGAGGCAGTGTTTTCTCTCCTGCTTCTTTCTAAGATTGCGTGAGGATAAAAGGGACGTTATTCCTACAAAAGTTTAGTGCTTGTTTTTGTGACTCCATGTCTCAAATCTGCTGCTGCTCTGGGGCACAAGGCTTGTTTTCAAGCACAAGGCAGTCTGGCCTCCATGCAGGTGGGCTGCCCACACATAGGGCCAAAAATAATGTAACTGTCAGGAGAGCCTGAAGGGTGCTTCTTGTGGGCTACCCGGCAGCTCTACACGGTCTAGACACTTCGAGCAGTTCAGAGCTCAGACAAGGAGAGGTAATATGGCTGCTGAGGGCCTAGGAAGAAGCAACACAGGACAGCTGTCTATGTAAGACTCTTTATCAACAAGATAGGAGTTCGGTGGCACCAGTCATTTCACAGAGGCCACAGTGTGAACCTGGCTCCGTATCTTCCACCATTACAGGGGGTGGTTAAACTGTCATTGGACAGGCTCCGTGATGTGCCATGACAAGAGCCAGGGACTCAAGGAACGGAATTCTGTAAAGCAACCTGATCCTCTCCTATGTCTAGAACTGAGAGCAACAGGAAACATGAAAGGAAGTTCAGGGGGACAGATCTGAGAGCTTCTGGCAAAAGACAGCCAAGACAGCTGGTTTAGGATGATCCATAATTCCACATATGGTGGATCAATTCAGTGTTCATTATTTCAGACTGAGAAGTTTGCTCGTGTCAGTGGAGACCATAACTAAGTGCCACAAAATCATTTTGGGTTAAAATTCTGGTTTGTCCAAATAAAGCCCAATAATTCCCCAACAGTAAAGCAATCACAGCGATGGTATGAGAAGCCTTTAGAATACAACTGGAAACCTCCTGACCACAGAATTGGAGACCTGGCCCCAGCGGAACACTTTGCACAGACAGGAGTACACAGGGGTTTCCTGACACACTCATGCTCTGGATGCATCAGGACAAGACAGCACGTGAGGCTGGGACTCTGCCAGGCAGTGAGGAGCAAGCATGATTTATCAGCTGGCGAATGAGGCTCCACTGCACCTAATCATTCTGTCATCTAAGTGCAAATTGGTCTCAGTCCTGGACATCGAAGTAGTCAATTATTGGCTCCTTAGCTATCTTCTGTAAACTACTGCTCCCAGGATTCCTGAAAAGCAAACAAAGAATAATCAATCTTTTCTTCTTTGGGAAAGACAGACACAAATTTCTAGAAAGTTAAGGCTCACATGTTTAAACATTTGTGAAGTTTTGCTAACACAGTGGGGCAAGTTGGGTATAACCATGCTTGGGAGGCTAAGGCAGGATGGTCACCTGAGTTCAAGGCCAGCCTAGTCTACATTATGAATTCAAAACCAATCTGAATTACACGGTGAGATCCTGTCTGAAAAAACCAAAAACACAAAACCAACAAAGGTTGGGATAAAGACAGCATGGCATAAACAAGCCCTGACTCCAGGAGACTGAGTCCAAGTGGAACTGTACACAGCCGTGGCACCTTCCTGACATTTCCAGAACACCGCCTGTGTGGCTAGGCAGACTACTGACCACCATCCAGGCTGTCTGCTTCTGGGATTACAGAGCTGGTCCTAGGTGCTACCTGATACTCAGGGCTCTTGGCTGACACTGTTCTGTCCAGTTACACGGCTACGACCCTCATGGTAATCTTGTAAACTGCCCTAATCACCTTTCTAGAGGTCTTGTGGAGGAAACACTGAGGAGGTACTAGCAATATTACAGACAGCTAAATTATGTGGAAGTATGGTAGTCAGATAGGACTGGGCCCTTGGGGGAAATCAGTGCAAAGTATGAGACTCCATCAGGACCCTGGCTGGAGGCAAATTTGAAGATTAAAGTCACAATGGCTGGTTTAACATATATCCTAAGGGATGAATGGAGGCTTGGGATTATGGGTATCACCTTTTGCTATTTCCCATCATCTCTGCAGGGGCGGGTCATCCTCTCCCACCCACTAAGACTAGGACTAAGATTAAGACTGCTAAGATTAAAGGCAAAACTATAAATTATTGGCCTAGGTTAATGATGTCACCATGTATCCTTCCTACCACTTGGATCACCATGACCTAAGAGACTATACTTGCCATCTTATTGGTTGATCATAATTTTGACCCACGTTGTACCTGCCTCATGACTGCTCCATGAAACTTCCTTTGTGAGGTGGATTCATTGGCAACCCATTCGAGACTCCTCCTCTCTTTCAGGAGCTATTCTGATTCCTATTCTCTAATAAGTTTTCTGAACCGCCATTGTTTTTGCTTTTTTCTTGGTTCCACTGTTTCTTAGAATTCATTCTTTGACCTTGGGGAACAATGATGCATTTGACACCTAGCACTTTCTCTGTGTCACTAGGACTTCCGTGTGGAAAGCCAGAAAGATGCAGGGAGCCCTTTGAATATAGAGTGACTTTCAGCCACTCTGCCTTAGTGAGAGAGGGGCGGGCTCCCCGTCTGCTGTGGAATGAGGAGGGTGGGAGGGAGGGTGCTCTTCCCTTGCCACTGTTTGGGAAAACAACTGGCAGACTTGCTGCATGTTAGCTCAGTTTTCTCTTCTCTTTAATAAATCATTATGTTTTGTTGTAAAAATCTTCCATCCATACAGTAGACAGAACAGAACATGAAGGCACTGCTTGGCCCCTCTCTGCTGACTCTTGCCCCCATTATCACACCCATCTTCAGAGTAACTACTGGTGCCGGGAGGTGTCTGAGCTCTGGATTATTTGGTGTGAAAGACCAAATCCATTCCTGTGTCACCATCTACACTGGGGAAATTACGTCCAGTGACTGCTTTTCCCAGGATAGAACTGACACTGCAAACATCGAACTTTAGGATCCCATATCTTCAACAAATGTATCTGGTACCCCAACCAAACCATACCTATTTGGACATAGTACCCAAGGCTGACCCCAGAGAAGCTCCCAAGGCCAGTTTGACCCCTGCTGGCTTCTCTAACCAGAAGTGTCCCTTCAGAGGGCAACTGAAGAATCTTACTTGTCTGTCTGATGTCTGTGATGGGGAATTGGTGGTGGAGGCCGCGTCTGCATTTCCCTTTCAAGCATAGATGTCAGCGTGATGGGGGGACAAACAGACTTCCCTCTGGTAAGAGCCAAAACACAAAGTACTGAAAGAGGAGAACCATTTGCAGAGCTAGGCAGGCCGCTAAACTCAGTCTGGGACTTTGGCACCGTGGTGCTGCTGAGTACTCTGAAGTCACTGTCACCGCTCAGGCTTGGCCACTTGAGTTCAAGCCCCTCTCCCTTCCTCCACCTTGCCACTTTTCTTCATTGGGAAGCTCTTCCCAATCCACAGGTTCTGATGATGACTCTAGGTACTTCCTGTCCCCTCAGGGCTCCCACTACCGCCTCAGCTCCTTCTGTGGAACATACTATTCACAGGGCCTGCCAGTATTCTTTGTTTTCACTGGGCTAGGAGGCCAAAGCCAGGGGCATCAGAGAGCAGGAGACAGAGAGGCACAAGGCCAGGCGAGGTGCGCGGCCAGCCTGCTCTGGTCCCAAGGCTGCTCCTTTCAGCTGCCGAATGCCATCTCCAAGGAACAGGGCCCTGTGGGTATAATGAGGCACGTGCTTTGCTCTCTGGCCAGACCTTTACATCATGGTGAAATGGCTCTCCAAGGGGTAGATTTCTATTCTTGCGAGACTACTAAGGAAAGAACTTCTCCTGTGACACCTGATCCACCCACCTCACCGCAGTGACCACGACGTTGCGCTTTGGTTCACTGTCATAGCTCACACTCTCCAGGCCGTAAGCTTGGGCCAGGTCATGGATGATGCGGCGGTGGTCTCTGTTCATGGGAGGGAAGCAGTGGCTTTTCTTACTGCTCTTTCCCTGCATTGAAGGAAACGGTAACTGCAAACAGAATACTTACAACTGCCCTTACCACCGCAAGAACAGCTTCGTCAGTGAGAGGTGAGTGCATTTTAGTGTTACAGTGTACATGGTGCCACTAACTTACTACACGAGTCTAGAGGGACTGGGGAGGATGGGAGCTGCTGTGAGGATGGGCAGGATTAGAGACAAAGAGGAAGTGAGCTAAGATTTTGGTGGACAGTAGCGGTTCCTACTGAGGGGCTCTATAACTGGGGAATGACCATCTCGAGAGAGGACTAAATAAGCTCAAGTCCTAAAAAGCAAGAAAATCACACTTCTACATAAGTTTGGTCTGCATAGGGCTGGGGATTTAGCTCAGTGATATAAGCACCTGCCTGGCAAGCGCGAGGTCATGAGTTCGATCCCTGATACCACAAAAAAAAAAAAAAAGTCTGGTCTGCACTGAAGTGTGCAGACGTAGATACATAGACTGAGAAATACATTTGCTCAGGTTTTCTCATTGTGAGAGGAACAGCGCATTCCATTTTCTTCGTGTAAGTTTCCTGTTGGGTAGTGATAGAGAGGGGAGGGAAGGGAATGGGAAGAGAGGAGGGAAATAGTGGGGTGGCAGACCACCATCACTGGCTATGGAGCTAAGCAGCCACTGCCCTCGCTCCCAGGACTGGCTGCTTGTAACTAAACTGAAGACGTTTCGCTGAAAGCCTGCTCCTTCAACTCTAACCACATAATTTCTATCTTCCCCTAACGGTTTGCGTGACAAAGCCAGAGTGTGCTCTCCTGTCATATGCAGTTCTTTGGAGGTCTCTGCAGGTCTTCTGAGCATCCCATTCAGTTATTCATCAGTCCCTACTGAACCCTTCTTGTCTAGAGTTGTTTTTGTCTATTCTTAGGCACTGAGCTAGGATTTATATTTACACCCAGATTGTCTGCAGATGTCTTTTCTGCAGTGACTGAAGCAATTCAGGCTCCCATGAATGATATAATGCTTGAGTGCCTTGGGAAAGTCTTTAAGGAAGTTGTGACTACTTCCTTTAAGCTACTCTAGGCTGAGGGTGTTCCCAGGATTTGGTCTTTTAAAGACAGCCTTAGAAATGTTCACTTCAACCTTATTCACAGCATCCACAAGGGTCTCCATTTCCTTCTCAACGTCACTGACAAACTTCAAGTCCTTCCTGAAATGAGAAACCATCAATTAATTCATACAATTCCTGTCCATCTAGGAAGCCCTACCACCTATGTCCATAATGTGCAGACAACAGAATGTTAGGAAACCAAAAGAAGAGAAAACAGATACAACCAGAAGACCAGGGCACAGGAGAAAAATAAGAGCTGTTACTGGCCCAAGTGAGGACCGCAAGTTTAAGTTCAGAGATGCAATGTGGCCCCAAGACCCTTCAACTCAGTATAGTCTAGGTGTTGGCAGCTGCAGCCCAACCACTGGGGTTATCCCCTCAACGCAAAGTTCAGTTCCTCAGGAGGAATTCTGAGAAAACTAAGGAAGGGTCATTAAATATATACAATCTCATTAGTAGATAAATCTCATTTGGCTCAATCGTCAACAGAACACGTGTTGGTTACTACATCTTAAAATACTAGCCTCTCTCATAAGCCACAATTAAGAACGCAGGCAAGTGACATACCTGGCATCATCTTTCAAACTGTCACTGAATTTTGACCCTGATGAACGGACATTGAAAGGATCAGAATCGTCACTGATATCAAAGGCTTCCGCCAGCCTCCTGAAAGTAAGACGGCAGTGTGCAAACGTAAGGGAAGGGATGGGAAGGAACTTCTCTTACATAGCTGTCTTCCCTCACCTATAGGAGAGACATTCTAAGACCGCCAGAGGACGCCTGAAACCGGGGAGTTTTTCAGTATGTACACACCTACGACAAAGTTTAACATGAACTAGGTACAGTAAACAGTTAGCAGTGAGTTATCACAGATCTTAGCAGACTCAGCATGTGATTTTTCCAGGTGAGAATTCTTATCTTTTTACTTAGAAAGTGCTTTATTGCTTCTCTATGGCATATCCAAATTGCCAGCATCACTATTCTTGTACAACAGGGTGATTATTAAGTAAAATGAGGGTTACTCAACCCAGGCACTGTGATCCTGCACTAGCTGATTTAATAATCAGTGACTAACAGGTGAATAGTATGTTTAGTGTGGACAAAGAAATAATTCATGTCCTGTAAGGGATACAGTGATTTTATCACACTATTCAGAATAGGATGCAATTTATAATTTGTGAATATTTAATTTGTGGAATTTTCCACTTAATATTTTCAGATCACAGTTGAGTGAAGGCAACACAAACTATGGAAAGCAAAACTGTGGAGAAGGGGGAAAGTACTGTAGTAACATCCATAGACTACTGTGTCCTTTCAGCAAACCACTTTACTAAGGAAAGAATAATATTAATTTAAGAGAATACATAGTACAGTTTTTATGGAAGAGAAACAAAATAGATTCATATGGATCAGATCAAGATGAACTCTGGAGATTTGGATGATTCAGGGATGTGTGAGATCACTGGGAATAGTTAACAAGGTTAATTTAATATATTTGGGAGGCTGAGGCAGGAGGCCCCTGCCCTTCTGAACCCTGTGAGTTCACGGTCAGCCTGTGTTACATAGTCCAAGGCCAGCCTGAACTACATACATAGCAGGACCCTGCCTCAATCTCTCTATCCCCCAAAAAGAATAATGAACAGAAGGTTGGGAGGGTAGCTCATGCCTATATTTCAGGGCGTAAAGCACACAGGCAGGAAGAATGCAAGTTCAAGCCCAGACTGGGCTACCAAGTGAGTGCAAGACTAGCCTGAATATATAGTGAGAACTTCTCTCAAAAAATCCCAATCTAGCCAGGTGTAATGGTGACTGCCTATAAACCTGTAATCCCAGCACTCCAGAGCCTCAGGCAGGAGGATCACTCTGAGTTTCGGTAAGCCTGGTCTAGTAGTGAGTGAGTTTAAAGCCAGCCTATTCTACATAACAAGACCCTGTCTCAAAAAACAGACAAACAGCCTGCCAGGGAGAACCAGAAAGGAGCCCCACACTCCCAACCAGCCAGAGTGTGGGCTGGGAGAGAACCTCCATCCTCAAGCGACTGACTGGAGGAACACAGGCTGAGATGGTAACAACTGAAGTAAAGACAGCCTAATGCTGTATGGTTTGAAGACTTTGCAAGCCTAAAGCCGGTGGTCTGAGCAACCATTCAGAAGATGATAATATGTGATACACTAACTACTGTGGGTTTCCAACTGTCCTACCACTGCTTTGTTTTATTGTTCTGTTTTTCCTTTTAAAATAAAAAACAAACAAACAAACAAAACTCTAAAACTGGCAAGCGCACCTGCCTCACAACTCTGGGAAGGTGATACTGTCATTACTGTCATAGATTTTTAAGAAAAGTAAATCTTAGAATACGTAACTTACCCAGGCTACACAGTTCCCTCTTATGAGCTATGACTGAAACCCAGGAAATGTGAGGCTGGAGTCTGGACAGTTCTGATTACTCTAAGGGTCTCCTAGCTACACAGAGATTACTCTAAGGGTCTCCTAGCTACACAGAGCAGGCTTCCCCTGTGAGAGGCTTTCTGTGTATTTACTACAGTTCTTAGTACCTAGGACTCAAGGCACACACTTTAGAATTGGGAACACGAGAAGTGGGTTTATTTGTTTATTTATTTATTTATTGGTACTAAATGGCAAACTCAGGACCTCATGCTTGCCAGGCAGGTGCCACCCTGCTGTGGGGAGTAGGTTTAAACAGTATTCCCCAGAGAGCTGCCATTACAGTCAGGCCAAGGGAAACCCAGGCTACACTACTGGGCACCCCAATATCTCTACACATTGACACCTGGAGAATTACTGTAGCTGATGATGGAGCTCAGTGGTACAGTGCTTGTCTAGCATGTGCACAGCCTTAGGTTTGATCCCAAGCACTAAACACAAATAAAACGCCCTGTCATAATTGCTTCAAGTCCAACTTCAAGATAAAGTAAGGCTCTACATCCTCTACACACCCTAGGAATGGTTAAAATGGAACAGACTGACGACCCCGAATGGTAAAGGTGCTAATAGCAATGGGAATTACTACCCTGCAGGAGGAGTAAGTGGTTGTTGTTGTTATTATTTCTGCACTGGGGATTACATCCAGGTATTCTGCACTGAGTTCCATTCCCAGTCCTCACTTATTTACTCATCCATCCATCCATCTATCTATTTTTTTGTTTTTGGTGCTGGGGATCGAACTCATGACCTCGCATTTGCCAAGCTATTTTTTTGTGACAGAGTCTTGCTTTGTAGTTCAGGTTGGCCTTGAACTCATGGTGATCCTTTTGCTTCAGCTTTCTGAGTGCTGGGCCCTGTTTTTGAGACAAGGTCTTGCTAAGTCACTAAGTTGCCTGGGCTAGGCTTGAACTTGTGATCCTTCTGCCTCAGTCTTCCAAAGTGCTAAGATTACAGGGATGCTACAGCACAGCTGGAAAGAAGTACAATTTGGAACAACCAGTTGGGACACTGGCAGGATCTACTAAAGTGAACATAAACATGCCCTGTTACTCAGCAATCTTACTCCTCAAGTTATATTCAGTGGAAATGAGCACACTATGTAATAAAGAAGAACACAAAGGTTCCTGGTGTGGGGATGTAGCTTAGGGATACGTCTGCCTAGCAAATATGAGTTCAGTCCCTTCAGTCAGCACTGAAAAAGAAAAAGATAACAGCATTATCTGTACAGCTCAATACTGCCAATAATGCATACATTCATAAATGGCAGAATGGATAAATTATGATACATTAATACAATAAAATGCTATGCAACAACAAAAATAAAGTACTGCCATGTACAACAAGAATGAGCGTCACAAATGCAATAAAAGAACTCAGACAAAAGTAACCCAAAGCTTATGATTTCATCATCCAGTACATAAAATTTATAAAGAGACAAAACTAATATAAAGTGTCAAGGGCAGAAGACACATTAGTATTTTTGGAACACATGAGAGGGTTCTGGGCAGAAGACACATTAGTATTTTTGGAACACATGAGAGGGTTCTGGTAATTTTCTATTTCTTTTTTTCTTTTTTATCAGTACCAGGGATCGAACTCACTACTGCCTGCTTGCAAGGCAGGCACTTATGTGGCTGAGTTAAATCCCCAGCCCAATTTTCTATTTCTTGAATTGGGTCCTGGTTACAACACTGTATTCACTTGCTGATTCCCTGGCCTGGATGCTACACTTCCATTTAAAAAAAAACATTAAACGTCTTTGAAAGCCTCTTACCCACTGCAGTCAGAAAGCCAGCCAGGCAGTAAAGAAGTGTGTGGTGGTGCAAGGTGCCTACTTCACACCCGAACAGCACAGCTCAAGTTCTGAAACACGCAGAAGTGAGCTGAGTGACTTTGGCCTTGGCCAAGTCAGTGCTGGCTGGTCACACTGCTCCTGCTGCCTGACAGCAGTGAGCCCAGGGCAGGTGCCCAGTGCAGGAGGGCTGCCCCCTCTCACTAAGGACAGTGCTCGAGGACAAGCAGACAGCACGCAGCTGGAACCACTCACCTTTTCCTTTCCAAGGCTGAGCACTCTTCATCACACTCCAGCCTGACAAGCAAATAAAAAACAGTCAGGGGACAGGCCAGCAAGACAGGTGGGCAATCTGAGCACACAGCTGGCCAGGCCAACCTACTCTGGGGTTTCACTAGCACCCACAGTCCTGGGAATCTCATTTTATGGAGCTTCTTGCTCCCCAGCTACAACTCCGACAGCCCCAGCATCCATCTTAGATACAGGCACCACTTGGTTCTCTGTTCTTCTGTTGGCTGGACCGCTTACAACTAGGTCTCTCTTTCCCTACCGCCTGTCTCATATAAGGCTTGGAAAACCTCTTCTGCTCTTAGCCTTATCCTGAGGAGGACTCACTGGGGTCAGGGTGGGTGCAGTTCCAATGTTGAAGACTGAGTATATACGGTGTCAGGCCATACTGGGGGGACATGAATGAATGGACCTTGCCTTCTGGAAACTAGAAGAAACAAAGCATCTATACACATTTTAAAATCACCTGGCTTGCTGAACTTCTTTCTTGGTAATTAACTTGCTGATCTCCACTGAATCACCAAGCTGCATGTCTGTTATTTTAGAGGCCATAGAAATAGCAGCTATTCTGAAATACAGAAAAGAGGAGAAGCATTGCAATTTCATAAGAACCTCTCCACGTGAGGGGTCTGGAAGACCTCTTTCATACCAACCCACTACAAGAAAGCTGGTGTGGTTCTGGGGGCCTGTCACAGGTTTATGGTACATAAGTCCTTAATCAGGTTGCACGCAGCTACTCAGGAAGTTGTGAGGTAATTCAGCCCCTCATTAGCCCCTTCAGCCCAGCACTCAGGAGGTATTGAACACAGGCAATCTGACATCTGGGTATCCCTGGCACACCTCCACATCTATCAGAGAGAGGCACACAGGTCACCCTACACGTTTCCACCGCTGTGTGCTCAGACCCTGTATGATCACACAGGCTCTAAGACTTCAGAAGGCTGCACAGAAAATTCAGTGAGAAGCCCACTCTGGGGAGGGGGCACAGGACTCAGCCTTGGCTGTGCCACTAGAAGTGTGGGGATAGCAAAGCAACTCACTTCACATCAGGTATAAGACCAAAGGGTGAGAATGACAGAGACGGGGAGAAGAAGGAAAATGAAAAAGTTCTCTTTCAAATTAGGAGTCAGGGAAACAAAGGCACATAAGACAACATTTTTTCTTGAATCAGCGAAGGTTGATTAAAAATACAAAAAGTGAACCTTCCAACCTTCAGAAAAGACGCACGAATTTTCTAATAAATGTGAGTTCCCTTCACCTAGACCCACCAATTTAGCATTTCTACAGCACTAACCTCTGGTAAGTACTGGATGCTTCAGAGCAAATCACCATTTCTTTTCTTCGTCCACATTCACACTGTAGTTCTACCTAAGACAAGGTTAACACAGACTCACTCTGAGCAAATGAGAATCATGTGCGTGAGCAGTTTTCGCTTTTAAAGCCTCTCTCTGTAAGGTGTTGTGGCTCATGCAGGTAATTCTAGCACTCAGGAGGCTGAGGTAGGGTATTTCTCAACTTTGAAGTAAAACCCTGTCTCAAAGCAAAGCAAAGCAAAGAAAAGCAAACAAACAAAAACAAAAAACAACTTCTCAAATCAAATCAGACCAGGGCAGAGAACACAGTCAGTGAGTACCAATCCCGAAGACGAAGGAAGCTAACTACACATGCAAATTCACGACACAGTAGTTGATACACAATCGGGAGGGACATGTTCAGTTCAGAATGCCCTTTTCTAGAAACTACTACTATTTTAAATTTGGGCTGAAGGGCAGCACAGAATTAAGTTTATTTCACTGAGGCAGAAGTGGACCCTGGCTCCCGCCAACTGCGGCCTAGTCACTCTCACATGATCTCTCCTTTCAGATCCTCGGAGCGGTCTTGGGTGAGTCCCCAGACCATTTACACACTTTGAGAGCACCCTCTTCAGCATGGAGCCACTCTTCTGTGTTTCCTCAATCACAATTATCATCTGAGGAATATTTCCAACAAATGATAGGAACTGTGTTTCTCTTGTACACTAGCCCCGCCTCGGAACCTTATACAATATCCCGCCCAAACGGATATGTGGAGCAGACAATCAAAAGTGTCTTGAGAATGTGTTCTGCGCGAGACAAACGGGTTAGGTGGCAACAGGTACCTGCCAAAATAACAGGCTGATGATTTATTCCACCTTTCTCTTGCTAGTGACCCCTGGTTAAGATACTTGCCCAGGTCCTGCTGCAGTCAGTCCTGGACTCACTAGCAGGTTGAGAGTGATCGATGCTCTAGAGGGAGTCTAGAATACCCACCTTGGCTTTGCAAGCAGTCACGGGGCAGGGTGAACTGGGGTGGCAGGGTGCCATACATGGGTGGCCACAGTCAGCTCTGGGGGTGCTACAGGGCTGCTTGCAGGGCTCATCCACAAGGCATTCTCCTTTGTGACAGAGTCTCTGACACTTGTGCATCCCGCACGGTAGCATGGCACTGCAGGGTAATCCGCAAGAGATATCAACCAGGTGACAGGGGATGTTGCTTCGTAACTAGGAGAAGACAGAAGGAGCCAAATTCTCATCTCTGTATGGACTCTGGGGTGAGTTTTAATTTTCCCTTAGAACATTTCAAAACTTACAACTGTTACAAAACTTTTAAAAAGTTCTTTTTATCTGAAAACGATTAGATTGATTTTAAAGTCCATAAGGTTAGATTCATATGAAAACAAGTATGAATCTTTTTAAATAATACTTGCTATGATCCAAAAAGACTTGTAGCAAACAAGTGTGACTTGGGAAAAACTTTCCAAGGTGGCAAGAAATAAATAAAGGACACAAGTAACTACAAGTACTTAAAAAACTGCTCTAATTAGCTGGGAAGATACGTGAACTTCTTCCTCCTTTCCAGGCTGCTAAGACACTCACTGGACAGAAAACCCACACACGTGCTTACGGGGGAGGTCCTACTGGCCTTGAGTTCAGACCCCGTTAGCAGGGCTGTTTTAGGTGTTCAACCTCCTCCCATCGCCCAACTCATGGTCTCGTGACTTCAGGTAGCCCCACTCATCTCTATTTTTTCTGGAGAAACCTACTTCCAAATTTAACCATTGCAATAAAAAACTATTGGAATTTTACTTCTAGGAGATCAGAGGTTACTTTTACACACTGTATTCATTCAAATCCTTTTAAGAAGTCTCGAAATGAGGATTATTCTTTACTCCAGTTACATAAAACTTCTGCTCTGGAAGAGACCTCCAAAGTCTAGGACACAGACACTTCTAATCACTTTGGAGTCTGTATTTTGATGGGCTGCAGTTCCTAACCCTGAAACACTTAACCCATGCTGGTACCAGGGCCCTTTGGGTAACTTTTGCTCCTGCTCTGCCCTCTGTCATCTGCCTCCACTTTCTCTGCCTATCTTCTCTCTATCCTTTAGGCTGTTATTTCCTACAAGATGCCCTCCTTTGGTAGGAACCCATTCTATCCCCTCAGTGCCTGGTATTCCCACGTTACTGTACTCATAACTGCCTGTTTGCCTGTCTGCCTCCCACCACCAAGAGGAGGCTTGGGAAGGGCAGGGGTTATACCAGTATTGCCAACTTCTGAGTCACCCCGAACCTAGCCTGTTACCCAGCATTATAGTAGGCACTCATTTAAGGTTTGCTGAATAAAGTTTAAGACAACAACAAAAAAATGATACATGAATGTTTTAGAATGGACAAACTCACAGGAGATGAGATTTTTTAGAGGAGGAATTAACATGAAGGACTATGACTTGAGAACCACTCACAGGAAATAAGTGGAGAAAAATGTGTCCATCAAGATAAGAATCCTGAAAGCATGTTGTTACAGATGTCAAGAGAATTTCCAGAAATGTTGGCCAACATGTTATGAAGTAAAAAGAACAGGTTACAAAACAGTACAATCTTAGCCAGGGCAGGGGAAAGTACGTATCAACACATGCCTGACAGGTAACACGCCAGGGTGTTACTGCATTTCCTTCCTGGGCTCGGGATTGCAGCTCAGTGGCGAAGCACTTGCTAGCATGCACAAGGCTCTGGCTCAATTCCCAGCATCCTCCCCCACCAAAAAACGCACATTTCTTTCTTAGTAGCAGAATTGCATCTTCTCAATTATCTAGAGTAATTACGCATTTCTAAAATTAAAACTTCAAGTGTTTAAAAAGTCTAGAGAAGACAATGCTGAACATGGGTTAAAGGTTAAGAATGAAGGTGAAGCCAGGTCTGGTGGTGCAGGGCTGGAGACTGATGTAGGAGAGTCACTGAGAGCGATAGCCAATCTGGGAGTTCAAGACCAGCTTGAACTACACAGTGAGACATCGTCTTTAAATAAAAGGAAAAAAAAAAAAAAAAAAAAAAAAAAGACTAAGGATGAAAGTCTTTCAGGGTACCAGCAATAGGAGGTCCAGGGAGACTGGAGGCAGGCACTTGGCCAGGGTAGGCCTAGACAGAAGACGGCAGTTGGCAGAGAGCCTATCATACTTCTGGACGCCCTCATGGAAATACCTTTCCTAGGCCAAGAACCTCTCTCCACGCCGGTAACATGGATGTGTTCTCAAGGCCAATGGGCTGAATCTCAGATTTGCAAAGTGGTAAAACAGACAGAAAGTGTTACCCACTGTATACATTCATGTCTGTGACATTCTGGGTAGCACTGCAGAAGTGGGACAGACAACAAGTCCCTGGCTGTTGAGGCCTCGCGTGGAAGGGTGAATGGCACTAGGGGCTGAAGGCATGTGTGAGTGTGATCTCTCGCCCCGTTTCCCTCCTCGGTGCTGGGCTCTGATCCTAGGGCCTTCACACTAAGCTTTATCCTTGGCCCTTTTTAACTTAATTTTTTTTGAGACTGGGTCTTGCTAAGTTGCCCAGAGTGGACTTGCAATTCTCCTGCCTCAGGCTCTCAGTGCTCCTGTGCACCACCACGCCTGGCTTGCTCCAGTTCCATTAATGTGACAGTTGTTATGTGTGGTACAAATGCTTTCGATAAACTCACAGAGTTACAGATTTAAAAAGTAAATTTTGCTGTAAGCAAATTTTACCTTAAAAATGAAAAAGCACTCAGCATCACAAGTTTGAGGTCAACTTGGGCTACATAGTGAGACTGTGTCTCAAGAAAAAAAAACTGGCAGTAGAAAACTTCTACTTGTTGGAGTATGTTTACTTTCAGAAGCAATGAGGTAACAACTCTTGGATAAGTAAATCATAAATCTCTGGCTGGAACAATATTACCTAAGAGAGAAAACTTACCTCATGCTTGCCCATGCACCACTTCTGAGTCAGAAAAGTACAAGGGGGACATTTCTCCTCACTGTGACAAGAATGATACACTGCCAAAAGAGAAAAGTAACATTAGGAATAACTTCTAAATGAAGTCATGTGAACTACACACGTGTTATAGATGGCACATAACTTAAAATCTCAGAACTGAGAAACATTTTTTCTAAATGGTCACAGGAGCTGGGTGTGGTGGCACAGGCCTGTAATCCTAGCACTTAGGAGGCTGAGGCAGGAAGATCGCTGTGAGTTTAGAGGCCATCCTGAGCTACACAGTTTGAGGCCAGCCTGCATTACATAACAAGATCCTGCTTCAAAAAACAAAAACAAAAAACAACGCCCTCCCGCAACCAACCAACCAACCAAAGAAACTATAAAACAAAACCTGTAATATTGACAAGGTGAGAAATTAAAAAGATAACCAAGAAAAACGGTGGTTAACTGTTTTACATTTATTTTTTAAAGAGAAAGTGTAAAACAAAATTTCAAAACAAGAAAATAAGAGGGTAACAATGATTAATGTATTGCATATTGTTATCTTGTTATCTTTAGTTACTCAGAGTATAAGATACAGACATTTAATTGTCTAAACAATATTAGCACAAATCTTTCTTTTCAATGAACAGAAATTAACAGTGTAACTATTGCCATGGTTTATGTCAGTGGCCCCCAAGCTTCATGCAATTATGAATGCAACCAAATCCAGCGTTTGTGATTGGTTTGTTGTTTAGCCTTTGGACTGGTGGTGTGAATGTTTCATCCACCCAGGGGTGGAGCCAGGATTCAAAATATTGGTGGGAAGAAGGTGTGTCTTTCTCTCTTGCTAGTTTGTGCCTTGCTGTTTACGGTGGCCATAACAGTGGCCCCCTAATGCCCCCTGCCTTGCAGGGTGCTGAGTATAGATGGAAACCTCCAAAATTGTAAGAAATAAACCTTTCCTTCCTTCATTTTGGGTGTCAGGTATTTTGTTGCAACAATGAGTAAAAACTAACCAAGACAACTATCTTGCATATATGTATTTTTTTTTTTTTTGCTTTTCCTTCTTTTCTCCTTTCCTCTATCAGTTTCTCTTACTTTTTGAATAATTTATTTCCATTTTATAATATCTAGGCACACTTTGGGTCTTAGTAACTCAGCTTCTCACACTAGGGAGACAATATGATGTTTGCACACATGCATCTGGTTTATTTCACTTGAGTATGGTCTTGAGTTGTATCCATTTACCTATAAAAGTCTCCAGCTTATCCTTCTTTATGGCTAGGTAGTATTCCATTATATAAAAAGGCCATATTTTTTTATCCATTGTTTGGTGGATGGGCATTTGGGTTGTTTCCCAGATCTAGCTATTACAAATTGTGCTGCTATAAATGTTGGTTGCATATATATCACTTTGGTATGATGTTTTTAATTCTTTTGGAAAGACAAGCAGAAGGGGAATACTGGGTTTGAACGGGATCTCCAGTCCTAGTTTTTTGAGGAATTTCTACACTGAGGTATACAGTGGTTGTACCATTCTATATTCCCACCAACAGTGGAGAAGGGTTCCTTTTTTTTCCCACAGCCCTGCCTACAATTGTTATAATCATTAAGATTATAATCAGTAGGATCAGTAGGATTTTTATCCTAGATATCTATTTATACATGGAAAAAGACCCTGAAAAATGTCTGTAATTTTTAGAAGAAGACATGCAGCCAGGTGTGGCACACACCTGTGATTCCAGCTCTCCAGGTTGAGGCAGGAAGATCACAGCAAGTTTGAGGTCTACCTAGGCTACATAGTGAGTTCAAGGCCAGCCTGAAGTACAAAGCCAGATACTGTCTCCACACACGCACACACACACACACACACACACACACACACACACACACACACACGAAGATGTAATGTGATTCAATCTCAACCTCTTGATTTTATCTGTTACCTTTTTTTTCCGGTACCAGGAATTGAACTCATGACCTTGTATTTACCAGGCAGGTACAATACTGCTGAGCTACATGCCCGGCCCTCTCTATTATCTTTATTCTTTATTTTTATTTAATAAACATATATTGCTTCTGTAACAATAATTTTTTTTTTTTAATTTAAGAGGAAAAAGAGAAAAACACAGAACAAAACAAAGCGGTGTAAGGGTACACGTAATACAGAACTACAAAAAAAAAAAAAAAAAAAAAACATAACAGTAAGAAATCACCTGTTCTGTAACAATAATTAAAAAATCAAGTTACTACTGCTACTTTTTTTTTTTTTGGTGCTGGGATTGAACTCATGACCTCGCGCTTGTCAGGCAGGCACTTCACAGCTGAACTAAATCCCCAGCCCAAATTACTTTTAATTTTGTACAAAGATGCTCAACTTGGAAATATGCACCAAAGCCATGAAGAAAGCAGTCCCTGAAGGACAAGATTAGCTGGAGCTCCTTGCAGTCTTCTGGGTGTCCCTGACACCCACAAGGACAACACTGGAGGGCACCGTGAGCGCCTGCTGGCGTCCAGACAAGTTTCACAGAAGCCAGGGAGTGAGGGCCAACTCAGCCCCACCTCTGAGCAAGAGCAATGGACACAGCATGTACACGGTGCGAGGTGCACAGCAGGACAAGACTTACCTGGATGCTCACACTCGTGGATTCTGGCGCAGGTCTGACTGCACTCGGGGGGCCTAGTGCCACAGGGAACTGGAGGGTAGATCACTGATGCCCCACAGTGACAAGTTAATTCATCAAAACCTGATGGGAGAGGAAGCAAAACAAAATCTCTTGTGAGCTAGGGATGTGCATGCGCATAACTTTGTACTTTTATTTATTTTTTATTTCTTGGTGCCGGGGATTGAACTCGTAATCTCAAGTTTGCCAAGCAGGTGCTTATGCCGCTAAATAAAGCCCTGGCTCTGTTTATACTTTTAGAGAATGTGGTTGGGGTGGGCTATTTTTTCAAAAATAGACATATTTTATTAATCTTATTTATTTATTTATTTATTTTTTTGTGTGTGTGTCTTTTTCCTTTTTATCGGTACCGGGGATTGAACTCATGACTGCCTGCTTGCAAGGCAGGCGCTTATGTTGCTGAGCTAAATCCCCAGCCCCTTAATCTTTTATTTGACTAAAACTGAGCTGATGGGAAATATACAGAAAGAGATACAGTAGTCTATATCACTCTGAGATTGACAACTTCCCAATACTTTTCCCAAGATATTTCTGATTACACTGGAAGTTATATGAAGGACTAAATTTTTAGTATTACAGGACAAAATTGCCAATATTTCAAAGATCTGTATAACTCAGTGGCTATTTCCTTTTCATTTTTGTGATACTGGGAATTGAATACAGAGCCTTTGTACTGAACTATAGTCTCAGACCTTTTTATGTTTCATTTTGAGATTCAGGCAGGGCTTGGATGTATCCCACTCAGTTCAGCCCCTCAGGATGCTGTGATTGTAGGTATGTGCTCATGCCCAGCTGAAAATTTGTTTTCTAATGATCAATGTATACCACTTTAAAATCTGCATGGGTAAAAGAGCTATTCAAAATACAAAAGAGAACAATGCACTTTAACAAGACAAAGAGAGCAAATGCTGACTCATGTCCTTTATGAAATGAGGTTGAATTCTGGCACAACAACAAAGAAGAATAACAATAATTATTTGACAAAGTTTTTCTTCCTTTTGTTTTTGAGACAGGGCCCCACTATGTAGTTCAGGCTGGCCTTGATCCTCATTATGTAGCCCAGGCTGGTCTTGAACTTGCAGCTTTCTTTCTGCCTCAGCCTTCCCACCTTTCTCTACTCTTGGTGGGAATATAGAATGGTACAACCACTGTACACCTCAGTGTAGAGATTCCTGAAAAAGTGCTGGGACCACAGGCATGTACCACCATGCCTGGATCTATATAGAAAAGTTTAATAAATATTCCTCCCACTTATAACTAGCTATCCATGGGAGGTTAACTTTTTACATGCTTCAACTATACTGTAACAGATTGAACGCAGAAGCAGATATGAAATTCAGCTATCTTCTATTAAACCAGACATTTGATATTTTAATTTTTGAAATGTGGGTTAGCCAGGCATGGTGGCATATACTTGTAATTCTCACACTCTGGTAGGCTAAGGCTGTAGGATCACATGTTTGAGTTCAACCTACGCAACTTAGGAAGACTCTGCTTCAAAATAAAAATGGAAAAAAAAAAAACCAAACAAAAAAAACGGGCTGGAGATACATCTCAGTGCAAAGGCCCTGGGTTCAATCCTCAGTACCACAATGAAAAAACATAGCAATATGTGTTAACAGGTATATTACTATTATTTTAACATGGAATAATAAATTTTTTTTGTTTTTTGTTTCTTTTTGTGGGTCCTGGGGATCAAACTCAAATAAACTGTTTTTGACTTTTCTCAGTTTTAACTTCTAATAAGGTAGAAATATAAAGAACTCTTTGGGTTCCCCAATAAGCATTTTTTTGTGAGACAGGGTCTCACTACATAGTTAAGGATAGCTCTGAACTCACTATATAGCTCAAGCTGGCCTTGAACTCAGCAATCCTATTGCCTCAGCCTCCCAAGTGCTGGGATTACAGACGTGTGCCACCACACTCAGCTTTCAATAATTTTTAAGAATACAAATGAGTTCCAAGACCCAAAAGTTTATTGTGTAATAACATTGCTGACAGACTGTCAGTGAAGTAACAATAAAGGCAGATAGCAGAAAATGATGCCGTCTCAGGCTACTGCTCACACTTCAAACTGTGTAGATTCAGAGGCCAGCATAGCACTAAGGACACCTTAGAAACCTCTCAACATACCTGAAACACTAAGGCTCACTTCAGCAATCCATATCAACCTAAGCAAACCAATCTCTCAAATATCCCGAAATTTGCTGGGCATGGTGGTGCACTCCTGTAATTGCAATCGGGAGGCTGAGGCAGGCAGATCAAGTTTGAGACCAGGCTACAAAGTGAGCCCAGGGCCAGCCTGAACTGCCTAACAAGATCATGTCTCATAGGGACTGGGGATTTAGCTCAGCGGCATAAGCGCCTGCCTTGCAAGCAGGCAGTCGTGAGTTCAATCCCTGGTACCGATTAAGAAAAAAAAAAAAGATCCTGTCTCACAAAGACAAACAACAAACAAACAAAACCCTAAATTTCTTAAAATGTCTTTATGTCCATTTACCAATTCCCCATGGTAAATGTAATCATTATACATTCCTAACACTTACTAATAAACATTTGAAAAAAATAGACATTTGACTTTCTAGAAAACCCTGTATTAAAGTATACAGTGAAGACACTCACTGGCTTGCCAGCATGTCTGGCAGTTCCCTCGATGACAAGGTTCTTCGCATCTGTGAAGACCACAGCGGAGTTTCCTCCCACAAATCAAAGGACACTTGTGCTCTTTATCCTGAAAGGAGAAATCTTCACGTGTTGACAAAATGGCCTCCACTGTGTATTTTCCATAAACAAAACCAAGAACAACAACAAAGCTCAACATATTCAAAAATCAAATGGTGCCTGAGAATAGCTGCCAAATACCCAGGGGAGCACTGGGGACATTAATCGTGAGCTGACTGCTTCCCAAGCCAGATGTTACACGTGTCATACGGGACTCACTACGCTGGTCTCTGCTTTTGTACCTCTCTGAAATTTTTGATCATCAGAAGTTTTTAGGTCTTTGAATAGTGACTTAATCTTGACATAAAGCACAATTTCATCAATCTTCACCTTATCAATATAAACAATTTTGAAATAATTTTGTATTTTATATACAACTCATATATGTATGTATAACCTAGTTACTGGTATTGTATACCTTGTTTGTAGACATGTGTATATTTATATATACTCAAATATATTATCTATCCATTTAATCATCTATAGAGTCCACCAAGAAAATGCATACATACTTAAGGAAAAGAAAAACAATATGGTGCTTTCTCAACAGATGATGTTACCCTATAGGATGTTGCATCCCACAACACTCCAAGCCCTTAGAGAAGAAACTGACAGTGTGTTTGCAGCAATCTTAGTGACCAAGTTACCCAAGCAGCAGTTTACCATACTAATAAATGTCTGGAAGCTACCACTTTGAGTACCTCTTATAATAGTACAGTACAGCCCAAAGGTAACATTAATCTCAATACATGTAGAATTAAAACAGTTATACAAGCTGGGCATGTTGGCACATGCCTGTAATCCCAGCACTTGGGAGGCTGAGGCAGGAAGATTACTGAGTTCTAGGCCAGCCTGAACTGCAAAGTGAAACCTGGTCTCAAAAAGACAAAAATAGGCTCTAGTGGCCCAGGACAGAGCCACTGGCGTTTACTGGGCCACGCACCATGCTGAGACCGGGGGCCCCGGGAAACCAAAGAACCCGCCCCCCACTGCCTGTTTTGTTTTGTTGAACTTCAATCTACATAAAAGTATGGACAGCTATTTTGAAGAGAACGAGAGACATTACAACAGCCATTAGTGACTTCTCTATTGTCTGATTTTGAAGATCTAAATGCCTTCCTCATTCTATTCGGATCAGTTTTATACTATGCTGTTTTGTATGAATTCTCTGTATGCAAAGACATGGACAACTATTTGGAAGAAAACAAGAGACAATATGATAGTGAAGATCTCAGGTCGTCTAGCTTTGAAATTTATATCTCTTATATTGCTTTCTTACGTCCTATTTTATTGTGTTTAATTTTACCCTCTTTAAAATAAAAATTAAAAAAAAAATAAATAATAAAATAAAATATTTATACAAGTTTTTCTTTTCCTGAAGTGTGTATACTTGTTTTTGGCAGACTCTACTGTGTATCTCTCTAAATATATACATAAATAAATATTTCAAATAAATGAAACCTGCTCCCTTAAAAAATATAATACTTGGCTGGGTGTAGTGACCCACTCCAGTCACCTTAGCTCCTCTGGAATCTGAGACAGGAGGACTGCAAATTCTAAACCAGCCGGAAAACTTATCAAGTCTCCCCTCAAAATCTGAACAAGGGCTGGGGATGTAGCACAGTGTTAGAGCGCCTGCCTCGCATGTACAAGGCCTCAGGATAGAAAATGACGACCACAAAACCCTATCACACTCATTTTGGCTACCGATCTAGCCCAAAGCACACAGGAAACCCAAAGCTCAAGATGCTACACCTATGCCAGCCTGTGCTGGGATAACACACAGCTCCTGTAGAAGACTGTGTGTCTGTCCATTTAGCGGCCCAGCGTCTGGGGTCTGTGTCCTTGTGTCTTCGCCCTCCTTTTCCTCCAGGCTGCCACTGGGTGTCCTGGCCAACTTCTTGGTACAGCTGATGACCAAAGACAGCCTGTCTCTCTGCTGAGTGGATGCAGGGGCTGTAAATGCTCTGTGACTGCCACTCAGGGACATGTGTAATTGATTTCTGAACCTGCGCCACGTTTCAGAAGGCACAGGCGTCCAGAGCCAGGTCTGGGAAATGGAAGCTGGTGATACTTACTGACAGCCCACTTACCACACAGCATATTTCATTACATTTATGCCGTCCACACAACCGTTTCTTATTACACCGCTTGTCACACATAAATGTAGCATCTGCCAAGGCCAATTAAAAAGGAAAAAACCATGGAAAGGGTAAGATGGAGTACTATTCAGTAATAAAAATGAAGTGCTGACATAATGGGACAATATGATGAACTCTGAAAACATGCTAAATGAAGGGAGCAGAAAAAAACCCCTGCATGACTCCATTTTTCTTCTTTTTGGGGGGCACAGGAGGGTACAGGGATCGAACTCATGACCTTGTATTTGTCAAGCAGGTGCTTACACCACTGAACTAAATCCCTGGCTCATGATTCCATTTACATGTAATACTCTGAGAAGAAAAAGTCACAGAGACAGAAAGCCACAGCTGCACGGGGCAGGTGTTGAAAGAATGGTTGTAAGCACAGGATTTCCTTCCGGGGCAAGGCAAATGTTTTGGTACTGGATGGAGGTGATCACTGAACAACACAGTGAATGTACTAAACAGCAGTGAACCATACAGGCTTTTTTTTTTTTTTTTTTTTTTTTAATCGGAACCAGGGATTGAACTCACGACCACACACTTGCAAGGCAGGCATTTATACCGCTGAGCTAAATCCCCAGCCCCAAACCATACAGTTTTAAGAGGTTAACGTTATGTAACTCTTACCTCAAAAAAACCAACAGCAGGCTAGGGCGCTTTTTAAATGTATGGGTGAAATTATACTTAAAATTTGTTTCAAAGTACATCCACAAAAATGAGCAGTAGGGAGCAAGGAGGCTAAATGTTGACAGCTGATGAAGCGCGACAGGTTTGTGAGGTTCACTCTAAGAGTCTTTCACACAATTTATTTTTTACCATAAAGTGTTAAAAAGTGCCAGGTGTGGTGGCACAGGTCTGTAATCTCAGCATCCTGCGAAGCTGAGGCAGACAGATCTCAGGTTTGAGTAAGCTGGTACAATTAGTAACATCCCATCTCAAAACATAGAAAAGTAGGTTAGGATGTAGCTCAGTGTAAACAAGACAACGTGATAGCTATCAAGAAAGCGATAGAAGCAGAATAGAGTGGGAAATCAGAATCAAGAACTGAGGAAGGCCTCAAAGTTAAAAAGGGTCTAGGGGCCTGGTGATATAGCTCAGTGGCAGGGTTCTTGCCCAGCATGTGCAAGGTCCTGGGTTCATCTCTAGTATTGTAAAAAACAAAAACAAAAACAAACTAAATTCCCCAAAACACAAGTCTGCTGGCTGTTTCAGGTACCTAGCAGTCCTAAAAGACTTAAGGGGAGTCAGGCGTGGTGGTGCAACCTGATATCCTAGCACTTGGGAAGCTGAGGCAGGATGGTCACCGCAAGTCCACAATCAGCCTGGACTATATAGAGAGTTCAGGGTCAGCCTGAGCTACAAAGCGAGACCCTGTCCCAAGAAACCAAAACAATAACAACAAAAACCTTAAGGAGATCAAGTATCAAAGTCAGTGAGTAAAAAGTTGTATTATTTGCTCCTGACCACATTTTAATATGAAAATTTCAAACATATCAAAAAGATGAAACTTTTACAGTGAATACTTATATACCCATCACAAAGATTCTATCATTGACATGCTTACTTTTTAAAAATATATCTACCAATTTTCCTACTTATTAGTTTTTAAAATATATTTTAAAGTAAGCTGTAGATATGAGTACACTTAGTCCCAACTTATTAGCAATTGATTAACTAGAATTCAATTTATAATTTCTTTCTTTTTTTAGGCAGGGTCTTACTATATAGTACAAGATTGGCCTTGAACTCACATATTCCAGGCTGCTCCCTTTGTCTCAGCCTCCCAAATGCTGGAATTACAGATGTGTATAATTTTTTACCTTTTGAGGGAAAAGTTATACAATGTAATGTCCCAATTTTCATTGTATCTTTGCTAAATTTTGAGAAATACACAACTCAGTCCTCTATTAAGCTTCAGAACATTATTTTCATCCCAGAAAATGTATTCATTCTCTTTTTAGGTCTTACCTTCACTTTTGAGACTGGTACAGGGAAGCTCCTATGGAAAAAGAAACAGAAACTGTAACTGTTTCAAGGATTACTGAACACCCCTCACAGGGCCATGCTAAATGTGACAAAGTTCACCTGCCTACAGCAGCCAGATCACACCCCCATGCCCCACTCACAGTGGAACCCAGACTCACTGAGGCTTCATGGAGGTACCCCTGAACAGTCTTTGCACTGACTGACCCCCAGGCCCAGCCAGTAGGACTCGCGGAGTCTGAGTGGAAAGAAGGGCTGCTAAAGGCGTACAAAGCAAAGAGGAACAATCACTGGCAGTCACAAACAGAAACAGCCCTCAAAAGCAGATGGAAAACTGAGAATAAACCAGGCACTGCAGATGTGCCAAACCCCAGCAGGAGGGCAGAGGCAGGATGACTGCAAGTTCAAGGCCCACCTGGCCTGCCTATCTATCTATCTATCTATCTATCTATCTATCTATCTATCTATCTATCTATCTATCTTGGGGGATTGGGGATCAAACTCATGACCTTACACTTGCCAGGCAGGCACTTAAGCCGCTGAGCTAAATCCCCAGCCCCCAACCTGGGCAATTTAGCAAGACCCTGTCTCAACGAACAATTAAACCAAGCAAAAGGGCGGGAGATACAGCACAATGTGAGGGCTCTGGGTTGAGTCTCCAGTACCCCTCTCCCCACTAAACAGGTTAAGGCAGGTATGGTGGCATATACCTAGATTAGCTACTCAGGAGGCTGATGCAGGAGGACTTTAAGTTTAAAACCAGAGTAGGCAATTTAGTAAGCCCCTGACTCAAAGAAAATGGGGACGGGAGCTGGGATACAGCTCAGTGCTTTCTGGGTTCAACCTGCAGTAGCACAAAAACAACAGAAGTAATCATCTGGTGCCATTCCATGTACAGGTAAACCTCTGTGCACACTCAAGAGCAACCAATATCGCATTACCCAGCAGGCTTTTGGCTTCTACTGCGGGGCTGCTGTGCAGGGAGCAAATCAGCTCTCCTCGGTACTGAAAGAGGCTGGATGGCTGCCCGGCATCTGCATCTGAATTTGCTTTGATGGCATTTACATGTTGCCCGGTACTTAGAAATTAGCAAATAATAAACTTACTCTCAATTATTAAGAATGCCCTGATGTTACAAAGCAGCTATTAGAGCTGATAACAAATGTGAATGGGGCTGAGAAATAAACTGAAGGTTCTTGACTTATTTAAATTTTAAAATGAGTTTCCTGAGACAGATGATATGGAAAAGCTCCCTATGTGCTTTTTAGCTACAAAATACACTTGGCTCATGGAACTGCTCTCAATGCAAACACTGCACTGCACAGAGAAATTGTATGCTGGTTTTATGGGTAAGGCAGGATTCTCTAAATACTCAAAATGAATTGCCAAAAAACTTCACTACATCATTTGTTACTAAGAGGTAGTAAGATAAAACATATATTTCTCAAAGACTCCCTGCCAAAGTAATAAAAAGAACAGTCTTTGAAACTTTAAGAAAACTCAATTCAGTGAAAAAACTCATTTTATTTCAAAAAGCATTTCATGAAAAAAAAATCTGTGTTCATGTAGAATCTGGCTGAACAGTGAGGTGCTGATTACCACCTTTTTCTTGAGACAGGGTCTCACTGTGCAGTCCAGGCTGCCTCGAACTTGCAGCAATCCTCTTGTTTCAGTCTCCCAAGTGCTGGGCTTACAGGCCTGTGCCATTACACCTGATAATGATCATCAGCTTGTCAAAAGAGGTTTAACAGAATTTGCATTTATAGTTAAATACCTTCAAGAATTATAGAAAAGACTTATTTGCAAAAACTGAATTTACAGTTTTTCAAGGAAACACTGCCAAGAGGTCCACTATTACAATGTCTGAGGAACAGTGATAAGAAAGCAGAGAACGGGATTATTGGAAAGCAATTATTTTCACCTCTCAGGTGCTTGTAACTCTTGCTCGCAAGGGTCACAAAGAGCAGCTCTGAGCAGAAACTGAACTGATGATTACTAATTCTCACAGCTTTTTTTGTTTTTTGGTCCTGGAAATTAAGCCTACAACCTCACGCCATACGAAGGACATGCTCTGCATCAAGCTGAACCCCAGGCTTCTCATGGTCATTAACATTTTTGCAGAGGCTCGCAATTTGTGTATCTCACTGCCGGGGGGCTTGAACCACCCGCGTACACACACACGAATGTTCCATAGGAAGCTCTTCATTAGTAGTAAAAAGACCATAAAAGTGATTAGATCCATTTGTACCAATAGTACACAAGCCACCGAAAGGGGCAGTTAAACAAGCACAGTGGTTCAAGTTAGTGGGAACATGTTAATTGCTATTTATGAAGTAAAAAGTGGTCCCATAACAACATTCAAAATTTCTACTCATCATGCATACAGATTACTTTCAGGAGCACAAAAACAAAACAAAACAAACCCACAAATGCCTATACAACTTGTAATAGTTTTACCTTTCTTTTTTGCTGATATCCTAAGGCTTACCTAGTAAGCTAGTTTTCAATTTTTGGAATATACCTTCAGAATCAATTGTAAGTCTGCTGTTGGGCTGGCCTTCACTATTTCTAACAAACAGAATCAATTGTTTAGAATTCTGTCCCTATCCTAGCCTATGTTCTATTAGGACAGTGCTGACATGCGCTGAAATGTCCAGAAGTAGGTCAAGGGCAGACAACTCATCATTTTGTAAATTCCATCCAAAGACTTCTACAGGAACATGTCCTGCCTCTTCTGGTTACACACTCAGAACTGGATACATGGCCTAACTCCAAAATGCCCTTTTATAACACAAAATTCAATCAGAACTACCCAGGACAGAAAGCAGAAACTGACAAAACAATTTCCCAAAGAGAGGCTGGCTTTTATAGTTGGCTCTAAAAGGTACCTGCAAGCCTAGTGGACCATCATGCCTGCCAGGAGTACGATTATTTGCCTATGACCTTGGGTCCCTGGATAATTTAATACAGTTGTTTTTTTTTTTTTTGGTGCCAAGGATCGAACTCACGACCTTGTGCTTGCCAGGCAGGCGTTTATGCCACTGAGCTAAATCCCCAGCCCTGTAATTTAATACAATTTCAGAGCAAGGTGGCTAATTGGATAATCTTACGGTGAGGGCTTCAAGTCTCACGTATATCAGTAGGCCTCTGAGAAACTGTAGACTAACATAGGTCATGCCAGAGACCCAACACACTCAACAGAGACTTGGGTTGGACTTCCCTAGGTGGCAATATTCCAAGCATAACGATACTGAGAAAAGAAACAAGCACACTGCCAATACTGGCATTGAGACTGACGTCCTGATTCCATGGGGAGAAGAAAACTGAGGTTCTGTATATGGTACTTTCCCAGACTCTGTCTTCTTCCCTTGGCTGATTTTAATCTGTATCTTTGCCTTGTAATAAAACTGTAGCTATGAATCCAACAGCTTTCAGTGAGTCTTACTAAATTAAGTCTTGATGGTGGGTGGTCTTTAGGACCAATGATTCTGCAGCTGGCATCAGAAGTGGGTAGTCGGGCAGACTGCTCTAAGTTAGCAGCTGTCCAGTCTCTTACAGCAGGTGTTGGAAGTGAAGCCAGTCTGGTGGACTATGTCTTTTTAACTTCTTAGTAGGCTACCTCCTTGCAACAGGCCTACTGTTGCTCTTTTCACATTTATATTTAGTAATGCTATTTGTATACCTGCCTTAATCCCACTATGAATTTTTGAGCCTTGAATTCTAGAATTTCCATATCTACCCTACAATTACCTTGTAGTAGGTTTGGGTTAGTCTACATTGAGTGGAGTCATTGAATCACACACATTACGACAAGAATAAAACTGAGCTTACCTTTCCTTTCCTCCCATAATCACCATTTTAAAAGCACTGATGAAAACAACTCTAGCTTTGTTTAGGATTTACCTTTGTTCTGAAAGAACATCTGCAGGAAATAACTGATGTGCGAGAGCATGGTCCACAGTCTCCTTCATGGCAGAGCTTTTCGCAGGTGTGAATAAAATCTTTAATAAAAATGAAAAAAGCTGGGAATGAGAATTGCAACTACTCATTTTCATACTGCCAAATTCACAAGTCACACCGGTCTTCTACTCTACTCCCTGAAACACCAGAATCAGAGTGCAGGAAAGAATGCAGTCAGCTCTGCCTCCCCTATCTTCCCTTCATCCGGTGGGCTAAGGCCTTTGCAGATACGGATGGCGCACAGTGTGGACCAGTGGAATTGCTCCAATGGGCACACTGCTTCACCTGGGCCAAACCGTCTTCTGAGTTCTCTTACGCTCCAGACCAGACTGAAGTCTTCTTAAAACGTTAAGACTTAACTTAGACTAGACTTAAAATCTTAAAATGGATGACACTGCTGAAGTGCTGTTGACCCTGAAAGCATCTAGAGATTCAGTTCTATGAATGTCTGGCAAGGGCGGCCCACAGTTACTAGAGGAGATTTTGGACAAGTCCTCCTTCAAGGGCACCTTGGAACAGTCTCTTTCTCATGGCTACTGTTTCCGAGAGATATTCTTTCCATTCTTTAATTTCCAGATTCATTGCATCTTTGATTCTAAAGTCTCTCCTGATGCTAGCATGTAGTTGGACTTTCATTGTATTCTGACATAGGATTTTGCTAAACCGTCCAGGCTGGTCTCAAACTTGCAATCCTCTTGCCTAGCCTCCCAAGGAGCAGGGATTACAAGTATGTGCCACTGCATCCAGCTGTTTTGTTTTTTTATTTAGTCTGAAAAGTATCTTCTTTTATTTAAGCCAGTCACATTCTGTATTATTACTGAATAGCTGGGTCTGTGTCTAAAAGTTTTAGTTTTCTATGTTTTGGTCTTTTTGAGACCGGGTCTCACTATACAGTTTAGGCTGGACTTAAGTTCACTTTATAGCCGAGGCTGGTTCTATCTATACCTTGTCTTGCTAATCTAATCCTCTTTCACTGCTGTCTTTTGCACTAAGTCAATGTTTTCTACATAGTAACATGTTTCTATCCCTGGTTGCTCTGAGGCTATGATCATGTTATCAGAATGGATTCTGGATTTAAATCAGTGAAGAAGCTTTATTCCTGTATAACTGTATTCTTTATATCCTGTATAACTATATGTTGTTACAAACCAAACATTGATTCCATCCCATCTCCTTTGTGCTGTCATCATTAAATATATTTCTAGGCATATATCAAATATAATATGTATCGCATATGTTATAGGCCCAACAATATAGTTACATACAGTTAATTATATACAATTTATACAGTTGCTTTTAAAGTGGATTGGGAAAAAAGAAACATGCATGTCTAGTCTTTTATAATTATAGTTATCTTCAGTAGTAGTCCTTTTTCACACAATTTGAATTTCCAAGTTTTTTAGCCCACAGAACTTCTTTTAGTATTTACTGTACAACAAATCTGTCTGCTAACAATTAATTTCCTGGTTTTATCAAAGTTTTGAAAGACAGTTTCCCTGGATGAGATTCTTGGTGGCATTTTTCCAGCACTTTAATACGTCATCTGTGACAGTTAATTGTAATTTCAACTAGAGTGGACTAAGAAATGCCTAGCACATTAACAGGAGACAGTTCTGGCTGTGTCTGGATGACTGAGGCACAGGCTGAAAACAGGGAAGACACCCCAGAAGTGGGTGGCACGACAGGAGTAGAGCCTGGACGGACAGATGTGGAGAGAAGTCTTCCCTTCTGCTTCCTCCTGGGAGCAGCTCCTGTCTTCTGGAAACATGTGTCCAGGTCCTCTTGGCTTCAATGTACTCCTCAGTCTCCTGACACAGACCCTCTGGCTTTCCAACCAGTGTCTGCAGTGACCTCCAAGTCTCAGACTTTTGACATTCTTCCACCCCAATTCAGCAGGCAGCCATTTTAAGCCTACTTAGTATATCCTTTATATATCAGGAGGCTGAGGCAGGAGGATTGTGAGTTTCATGTCAGCCTAGGGTACATAGTGAGTTCAAGGCCGGTCTGAACTAAATAATGAATCCCTCTCTCAAAAAGCCAAAAAAGTGTGCTGTTTTTCTGAAGCTCTGTTTACTTTTTCTCTGTCCTTGGGTTTACATATTTTACATTAGTCTCTCTTCACATTCATTAATCATTTCTTCTAAACACTTGATCTTTGCTAATCTAACATCTACTTACTTTCACAGGTACATTTCCGTTGCCTTTCATCCTTCTGTTTCTTTGCATAGCTCATTCTTTTCCCCTTAGAAGACATTTTAGCACAGCAATTCTGGATATGCTTCTCCTCACCGTACCTTGCTCTTGTTGTGTAACTGTTGCCTTGTTTGTTCTGTAGTTTGGCTAAACAACCCGTAGTACCAGGCTGTTGTTACTGCTCTTTGACAGCCAAGCCTTGGAAGTATACACACATGCTGAGATGACAGTAGTTTTGTTTTTGTTTTTTATTAGCACAGTTCATGTTTGCAGTACATAACGATTATATTCCTTTTGGGGAGTTGGTATATTACATCGTTTTTTCCCCCTCAAGACAAGGTCCTAGGCTGGACTCAAACTCATGGTGGTACTCCTGCCTCAACCTCCTGAGTGCTAGGGTCCCAGGCATGTACCACCATGCCTGGTGGTGCATGTGCATCTTAATTCTTGTTTCATCCCCTTTCCCTTCCTCCATCCCTCTGAGAAAGCTTTATCTCCCTACTTCTTCTTACCTATCTTTTATTTTGCTCTTTGAGTTCTCATACAGAAGAAACCAGGTGATACTTAAGCTTGGATGTGGATTTATTTTACTTACCATTATGGTCTCAGGGTGCATGTTTTCCTACAATGACTCAATTTATCTCCGTACTGATTTCCATAGTGATTTTACTAGCTTACATTCTAACAGACAACAAAGAAGGGTTCCTCTTCCCCCAACAATCTTGCAGCATTTGTTACTGTTTGGTTTCTTGATGACAGGCATTCTCTCTGGGGTAAGATGGAACCTTAGTGTTGTTTTAATCTGCATTTCCCTAAAAGCCAGCGATGCCAAACACTTTTTAAGTATTTATTTGTCCTTCTTCTGAGAAGTGCCCATTCATTTCAGCTGTCCACTTTTTGGGGGGTCTTTCACTTTGTGTATGTGTGTGTTTCCCATATATTCTGTGTATTAGTGCTTTCAGAAATATCTGGCAGGGGCTGGGGGTTTAGCTCAGCGGCATAAGCGCCTGCCTTGCAAGCAGGCAGTCATGAGTTCGATTCCCGGTACCGATAAAAAGGAAAAAGGCAGGGGCTGGGGATTTAGCTCAGCGGCATAAGCGCCTGCCTTGCAAGCAGGCAGTCGTGAGTTCGGTCCCCAGTACTGATAAAAAGGAAAAAGACAAAAAAAAAAAAAAAACAAAAAACATAAAAAAAAAAAAAAAAGAAATATCTGGCAAAAAATTTTGAATTCCATTATCCCTCTGCTAAACTGTGTGCGTCATTTGGGATTGTGCTCATTAACTCCTAGCTCTAATGTTTCCAGCAATGTTGTCACAGAAATACTCAGCAGAGTGATCCATGAAGGTCTGGACAAGAAGAGTCTTTGTCCCTAGCCCAGTAGAGCTCCTGTTAGCTGTCTCCTTCCTTGGTTCTTCTCTCTAGTGAAGCTCTGGCCTTTCCTTTGGCTTACTGCTTTTTATTAAGAGGTGCTATTATTTTCTTTTTAAATGAGTTTATTTTATCGGTACATATTTGCAGTCCACAGACTTCACCATCATCTTGGGGAGTGGTTACCTGTACACTCCACAGCTGGTTTCCCTTGTCATCCCCTCCCTCCTCCAATCCCCTATCCCACTTTTCATCCTTGTTACGGTACATAATGTTCACATTCATTGAGGTTATCGGGTTCCTGTATGTGGTATGCCTCTATTCTACTTCCTCTCCTCCTCACTCCTCAAGCCCTTTCCCTTGCAAAGGTGCTATTCTTATTTCCTAAGGGGTCCTCAGCCCCCACACAATTTCAAAACGGTCAGTTAGTTAACTTGGGGAGTACTCTGGAGAGCTCTTCCCATGGACTGCCTCCACCCCTGAGAAAAATACGCAGAGTTCTAGGCAGAGTTCTAGGTGGGCCGGTAGCCTCTGGGGTCTTGCGGTTCCTCGGTCTTCCTGGAGGTGGAAGCTCTATGAGAGTTGCGGTGAGGATCACGTGGATTCAGTGTTCTGCTGCAAAGCTCTGTTCTACAGGTGAGGGCCTGGTGGAGGACAAGAGCCTCGAACTTCCCCATTGCATTCCCCAGAAATTCAGCCTTTTTAATTTGACATTGGAGGGATAAGACATGTTAGCAGTCTGTCCCTCTCAGTGAGATATGACAGTCACTGCCTGGGAGCCAAGGGGAGAGAGTCACATCTTCCTGGCCACAGTCACCATTGTGTGTGTGGCCGAAATGGGGACTGAAGCTGGGGTGCTCTGTGCTGAGCTACATACTGACCCTTTATTTTTAATTTTGAGACAGGGTTTCACCAAGTTGCTAAGTTGCCTGCCTCAGCTTCCCAGACTTCTGGAACTATAGGCAGAACCACCATGCCTATTTTATATTCATTTTGAGTGGAGCTTTTGTCAAGCTGAAGGGAAGAGGGAATAAATGGGGTGCAGCTCAAATGCCATAGACTCTTGCTACTCTCAGTAGATTTTCTTTTTTCTTTTTTTTTTTTTTTTTGGTCTTTTTCGTTTTTATCGGTACCAGGGATCGAACTCACAACTGCCTGCTTGCAAGGCAGGTGCTTATGCCGCTGAGCTAAATCCCCAGCCCCTCAGTAGATTTTAATAAATACCTCTTTATTTGATGTAGGACAATTTCCAGAAATGTTTTTGGTATCTTTGAGATAGAGTCTTGCTATGTAGTCCAGACTGGCTTTGAACTCACTTTGTAGCCTAGGCTGTCCTTAAACTTGTAGCAATCCTCCTGCCTCAGCTTCCTGAGTGCTGGGGTACAGGCGTGTACCACCACACTCAGCTCAGAAACTTTAGTTTTCTGTAGCCTTGCTTATTTTGTTAGGGAGTGGATCCATAGGGAGCCCCTTATGCTACCATCTTGAATATGGAACTGCACCTATCATCTCTTATACCGAAGCTGTATCTCTGACATAAAGATTTCCTATTGGCTGAGATACTAAAAGACCTAAAAGCTTTCTACAAATAGGCTAGGTCTGGATAAGTTGAATCAGTACTACTTCCAGCCACAGACTTATCCTTATCTTTCTTGTAAGCTCTTCAGTCCAACTCAACTTAAGACTTGTACACAAAGCTAGACATAGTGGCCCATGCCTGTAATTTTACTACTCTGGAAGGCTAAGACAGGAGATTGGAAGTTTTATCCCAGACTGGGCAATTTAGCAACTTAGAACTGGTCTTGAACTATAAGATAATAGAGATCTGGGAATATAATGTCAGTATAAAGGCCCTAGATTCAAGCTCCATATCAAATCAAACGAACAAACAACAGAAACATTTTACTTTTTTTTTTGTCTCTTTGAGACAGGGTCTTGTTGTACAGTTCAGGCAGGCCTTGAGCTCACATTGTAGCCCAAGCTGGTCTCAAACTCACAACGATCCTCCAGCCTCAGCCTCCCGAGTGTTGGGATTACAGGCATGTGCCACCATGCCTGGCAAAAACATTTTACATATTAAAAACCTGCTGGGTATACGATAGGCAAAGTGGTCTAATACTGAGGTACACTTTAGCCCCAACCAAAATTCATTGATGTTTGCTTTTGTTTTTCCCTTTTGTGGTGTTTGGGAACAAACTCAGGCCTTGTGCATGTGAGGCATGTGCTTTACCACTGAGCTATACACTTTTAGACCATTTCCAAAATTTTTAATAGTGTCTATGATATTAACCTGCTCTGCCAGCTCTTTTTGCACACTAAAGATGGATAAAATTTGCACTTTCAAAAAGAACCCTGAGTAAAATATAAACACATTTTAAAATTTATTCACAAAGTTGGATATTCCCAAAAGAATTTAAATTTTTAAGAAACTAGAAAAATACTAACTAAAGAATAGCTACAAGATATATGATTAACTGAAAAAAGCAAACTGGATTAAAATATACAAGGTACAGCTACATTTAGGAAAATGTAAAAATTAGATATTTTAGTGTGATATACAGGCATATAGATATATAGAAGATTACCTAGGAAGTTCTCCATCCATCAACATTGCTTCCAGTGGCAAAGGAAGAGATGCATGGAAGTAGCTCAATTTTCTTCTGTGTATTTCCATACTGGTTAAAGTTTTTAATAATGATATTGTATTACATTCTCATAAAACCATTTTTTAAATTAAGTAAAAAAATTTCAAAATTCAAGAAAAATAAAAAATCAGTCTGCCTAGGGGCTGAGAGTGCAGCTTAGTGGCAGAGAACTGGCTTAGCCTCTCTGAGGCCCTGAGCTCTAACCCTAGCTCTGAAGAAAAAAAGAAAAGAACAACCAAATAAAACATTGCTGAGGTAAAGTGATTATTTTATAACTCCTTAATCTGGTCACCCGAAGCCCTGTTTTCAATAGTTACTCCTCTTCTCTTGAGCAAGTCTCTGCATTATTCATTTTACATTGCTTTTTTCTTTTGTTTTCAGTAGACTAAGCCTTGAGGTAGGGAGGCATTTTACATATGAAATTCTTACATGACTGACACACATCCACCATCCTTCATGATTTACAAGTCATCTGATTTCCATTTCATATATAAATTTCATAGCAGGCAGAGAACTAAGAGAAAACTGTTTTTTTTTCCTAATGCAGCTGGAAGTTGAGCTAAAATATAAGGGAGAGGCTGGGCGTGGTGGCACATGCCTGTAACCACCACTTGGGAGGCTGAGGCAAGAAGACAGCTATAAATCTAAAGTCAGCTTGAGCTGTACAGTGAGTTTAAGATCAACCTGAACTATACAGCAAGACTGTCTCAAAAACAAAACAAAACACAAACAACAACAACAACAAAGACACAGAGAGAGAGCATTTCTTCCCTCTATATAATTTTGAAATCAGACTGAGAAAAAGAAGTAGGGTTCTCTAGTCATTCCTGCTGGTATGGAGAAAAAAAAAATTGAAATTTCTCCTTTCAATACAGTGGAAACCAAACTAAAGAGCCCAGTTTTCCCTAAGAAGCATGATTAATTACAGAAATACCTTTCCTATTCCTATTAGAGCCTAAGTTGCCTCTAAACTCACTAGAAAGTGAAGTTGTCAGGCTGGGAATTTAGCTCAGTGGCATAAGCACCTGCCTTGCAAGCAGGCGCTCGTGAGTTCGATCCCTGGTACCGATAAAAAAAGTGAGGTTGTCAAGTCATTGCAAAACTGTCCATGTATGTCCCCAAAGACTAAGTTAGAAGGACTCTGTTAAACTCAAACTATATCTAATTCCAACCAACTTTTTCCTTATCCTTGTATGTAAGTAATTAGAAACCACTATTAAGAAAAAAGGGAATTACTAAAAGTGGGCAGGCAGGCACGCTAAAAATACTGACAAGAAAATAAAAATATCAAACGATACAAACTGCCTACGGGTACGGGGCGACTAGCTAGAGAAACGGTAGCAGGCCCTGAAGCAATCATTGTGTTAAGTTTAATGCAGTACCAAGTTCATGAAAATAATGACTGAGCCAATAAGAGGAAAGAAATTCAGAAACCTGTTTAGAGAAGAGAATATAAATTCTAGAAAAGTCTTCATCTAAACTGTTGCTCAAAAGGTGTTAGCTCAGCTATATGGGAAATGGTTAGAAAGAATGATATTCTTTGGTCTCGAAGGCTGAAATATCATTGTAGTCCTTAAAACATCTCATCCAATTAGTTTAGCATGTTCTAATCACAGGAAAAAGCATTTAAACACTTGCTGAACTCTGGATTAGTAAAAGAAAATATGATGTTTTTTGTAGAGTAGGTTGCTGAAAGAAATCATAATCTCCGAAGTAGTGTCTCAGCATAGCTGTTCACAGTTGGCAATAAAATACCTGAACTGGAGAGATCACCTGGGCTAATAAATATTTCATATGTATATCTGGATGAAGATTTTTCCTAAGTACCTACACAAATCTGGTCATAACAGAAGAACCTGTGATCTCATCACCTCTTCACTTTGCCAAAGCATTATTGCTGCCAAACAGCTATTTAAAGGAATACTTTAAAGCCAGCTTCATCCCAACCAGTTACCTGAGGAACCACAAGGCAGAGGCTTGCCACACACTTTTCCGCATGAAGGGACAGGATCCATGCATGTTCTCCGACCGGAACTTCCTAGTTCTAGCAACTGGCTGAGAGGAGTTTGGCCACACGGGCAAAAGCGTACCAGATAGGGGAGCCGTGGGCAAGGCTGGCAGGGCTGAGGGTGGCACACTTGAGAACATGTATGGTTCCCACACTTCAAGTCCCTATAAAGAAAAACAACAGACTATCAAACAACTGTTGCATAAAACACAGCTTTATTCTAACTGAAGAAAATGTAAGACCTTACTTGCCACATATCTTTAAACAGCTGAAGTCCCCAAATCCATCAGACTTTCCCGTGTCTGTTCCACATAAAACATCTCGGGGTGTGCTGCCACAGTAGCATACTTGAAATTGACACAATTCCAAAATCAACAGATTAGTAACTTGTACGTGTTCTTAAATATTCCTAACACTCTATAAGAAGATACAAAATGTAGCTGGGTAAGGTGTCACATGCTTATAATCTCAGCACTCTGGGAGGCTGAGGCAGGAGGAGTACCAGGTTTAAATCTAGCTGGGCAACTTAATGACTGAGTGACAGCCTGTCTCAAAATAAAAAAATAAAATAAAATAAAAAAAAAAATAAAAATGGGCAGGTCAGCGAGAAGGTTCTGGGTTCAATCCCCTGTGTTGAAAAGAGGGAAGAGAAAAAATAAAGAGAACACAACATGCTTTGCACTGAAATGCTGATCAGATTTGATGCAGAAATGAATGCAGGTCTAAGATCCAACTCAGAGCTTAATACAGTAATAAATACAAAAGGCCTTGTTAAACTGCCAGTACCCATAGTACCACTGCAGCACATCATGAGAGCAGCATTCACATGACACAACCATTAAAATGCATAGAGCCTACCCTCTGGTTCATAATGCCACGGTGGAATACCATGGGTTCTGAGGCTCCCTGGGAGATGTCACAGGGATGGGCTGACACCTGGACCCTATCCTCACATCACACAAGCAGCATAGGTTAGATGCTTTTACGGAGTTCACGCAAAATGGATACGGAAACGTCTTTGCTACTAAAAGTATTTAAATTATCATAGCAGCATATAATCCTTCATTATTTGTATGCTATTGTTAAATCTGAAGTAATCATATTTGAGTAGTCACATGGAGCAAAAAGTTTCAAATACTTTGGGTGGGCTGGGGGTATAGCTCAGTGGTAGAGTGCTTGCCTACCATCCAATCACCAGTATTGCAAAACAAAATAAAACCTAATTGGATGCAATAAGCACTTATCAGATAAATTAATACAGATATAGGAGAAAATTAGTATTTGTGAAATCAATAAATTGATAAACAACTTCTAGCAACTAGGACCTTCCATGAACAGGCTTTTCTTTGCTAAATTTCTGCTCATACAGGACACAGCCTATTTTCAGAGGTAATATTATCAGTTAAGGGTAAGAAAATTATGTCAATAAAACAAAATGGAGCCTTTGGTCAATTAGGAAATAATCTGAGTGTAATACCAAAAAAATTTTGTTGTACTTAGGCACAAGGTGGTGACAGAAGGGTTTGAGTCCCAGCTGGGTGGATACTGCTAGGGAACCAACGACAGTCTGGAGGAAGGGCTCTGTTGCCCACCTTATGTTTGCTCAGCACTTTATCCACACATGAATGAGTACCTGCAAGGAAGGCTTATTAAATCTCTACAAAAGGCTGAAAGGCTAGAAGAAGTACCATTTGAGAAGACAACTATGCATGGCCAAAATACTTCGGAGATATTTGCCATTTACAGAAAACTGAAAAAAGGGCCGGGGATGAAACTCACTGCAGAGGTCCTAGGTTCAATCCCCAGCATTAAAAAAAAAAAGGAAGAAAGAAAAAAACAAAAGAAACACACATACTTTTATCTATTCCCCCCACACCCCCGAATATTTCAGTTTTCTGGCTTGGGGTTCCTGTGAATATGTACCCCTGGAAAGTCTCTTTATCACTTATGCGCACAGGTCATAAGATACACAGATTGACTTAAAAAAAAAAAAAAAACACCAAACTTGTCTAAAGTTGTTGTTGTGCCATTATACACACCTGCCAGCAATGTATGAAAATTCCAGTTGTTTTCATTTTGCCACCATTTGGTCATTATTTTTATTTTAGCTATCCTATTAAGGGTAGACAGGTACCTCACTCTGGGTTTGGACTTTTCCCCCTTCTCTTTGATCCTCCTTTCTCACTGTGGATTTTTAAAAAATAGTTTTACTGCAATATAATTTATGTAGCTCCAGAAAAGCCCACCAGGACTGCCAGCTGGTGTGCACACACTTACCCTGATTCAGTAGGACCCGGCAAGGCTGGCACGGACCCCCGTGGCACAGCTCGGCACAGTGGTGCTGACCACAGTTCAAAATATTCTCACATGGGTTAGAACAGTGGACGGAGACAGCCTGACCACAGCGAACTGTGTGCCTGTGAAGAAAGTAGATGTAAAGACGACATCAGTCAGGAGACTGAGGCAGGAGGATCTTTGTGAGTTCAGGACCAGCCTGTGCTATAAACTGAGCTCAAGTCTAGCCTGACTGCATAGCAAGACTCTATCTCAAAAAGACCAAAAAAAAAAAAAAAAAAAAAAAAAAAAAAAAAAAAAAAAGACATCAGGCCAAACGATTCTGCTGCACAGCTAAACCAATACTGAAGGCCAAATTCTTTTCTTAAAATCTACTAACTCTTTTGATACTGTTGCCCCCTCCATGTTTTTGAGATGGGGTCTTGCTATGTAGTCAGGCTGGCCTTGAACTCATCATAATGACCTGCCTGCCTCTGCCTCCTGAGTGCTGGGATTACAGGTTGTGCCACCACAACCAGCCCTTGCCTGACTTTTTTCCTGTATCTCCTTCCCCCAATTTTTATATCCTTCATTACTCTCTCCTTCATTTTCTTTCCTCTCCTTTATTGCTTTCATATCCTAAGTTTTCTGATCAATGCGATACTGAAGGCTATTCCTGTGAATTTGTTCTATGTGATTTCATCTGAATCCCATGAAGCAGCATGTGGGAGGGAAGAAAGACCGGAGATGAAGGCTAGAAGATCCAGACTGTTGTCCTAGTTTTGCCTACAGTTTCCCCCTTGTGGACTGGGAGGAAAGGTATCCAGCTTAGACACAGACTGAAAACAAAATAAGCTTCTCCTGGGACTCAGCATGCTGGCACTTTATGTTGCTATGTTACTAGATCTCACTTTGATTCACAGTGCAGAAATCACTCTAGTTTTGTTCTAATAAACATGTTAATTTTGCAGATTTATGGGCTTTTAGACCATGTCTTTGATCTCTTTCTAGGATTTAATACTTAAAGTCTACTCTCCTGCAAGAAGACTTTTATTCCATCCTTTAATCCTATTGCAATAATTTATTTTATTTTAAAAGTTGGATGTAGTGGCACCCCCCCAGTAACCTAGCTGAGGCAAGAAGATCATGACTTTGAAGCCAGTATGGTCAAAATAACAAGATTCATCTTAAAACAGACCCTGTTTCAATGATAATTAAGTGAAATAAAGTAAAAATAAAAAGTCATTGTTCAAAGCCAAGTCCTTCCTGCAAGCTGGTGCCATGTGACACCAGCCCTTTCCTTTGAGCCAGCGCCATTTGCAGACCATGGGGGAGAACAAGAAGCCAACAAAAAGCCAAGACCTCCCTGCAAGTTGGTGCCATATGCAGGCCACAAGGAGGAGAACCAGATGCCAGCCCCTTCCGGCATGTGGGCTGAGAGACAAGAAGAGTCAACATCCCCTCCACTTCCAGGGACTGGCTGATCTGGAGAAACACAGGCTGAGAGGAAAGCTACCAAGGTGAAACACAGCTTAACGCTTGTAGTGTTTAGTGTTTCACTGACTTTGTAGCCTAAAGCTGGTGGTCTGATCATCTATTCAGAGGCTAACAATAAGCAATGTAGTGTGTATGGGGAGCTCCTTGTGAAGGTGGTAGTCACTGTTAATAGGGATTATCTTGTTATCTTGTTTTGAAGTCCTGGATCATTCTCATTGTTTTGTTTGGTAGGGTTTTATTCTGTTTTATCTTGTTTGATTTTATTGTATCTGATGGTAGGAGCAGTTATTTCAAAGACAACAAGTTATACTATGGTAGCCATTTTAGATTTACTGTTATCTTGCTTTAAAGTCCTATATTGCATTCATTGTTTTGTTTTTATTGGCTCTATTCTGTTTTGCTTGATTTTACTATGTCTGAAGGTACAGACAGCTATTTTGAAGACAAGATGCATTATGGTAACCATTGTTGACTTCCTATGATCTTGTTTTGAAATCCTGCGTCATGCTGTTTTGTTTTGATTGGCTTTACTCTGTTTTATTCTGCTTGGTTTTATTCTCTTTAAAGTAAAAATTACAGAACAAGGTCACTGTTCTAATACATAGATGACTAATGTACAGATGATCAACATAATGGCTATCATCAGCCTATTATACAACCATATGCCTAGCATCATGTTTAACATCAACCTCTTGAGATAGACACTATTATTTAATTTTTTTTTTAATTGTCTTTTTTGAGATGGGGTCTCGCTATGCAGTTCAGGCTGGCCTTGAGCTCATTTTGCAGCCCAGGCTGGCCTTGAACTCACAACGATCCTCCCACCTCAGCCTCCCAAGTGCTAGGATTACAGGCGTAAGCCACCACGCCTGGCTTATTATTTAGTTTTATGATAAGAAGAATAAAGCTCACAAAACTGTTCAACTTGCCCAGGATCAACAAGTTATGCAGTAGACCCCACATCTGATCTTCTGACCAGAGTGACTGCATGTGTCTCACAGGCCACACTGCTACAAAAGCACATCCCTGAGTATGTGCATGGTCTCATTTAGTCTCAGAGTCTAGCAATCATTTTAAGCTCTTCCTGAGCCTTTGAGGTACTCCACAGCTATCAGTAGGGCTTACACTGAAGATGCGGGAGAACTTGCATTATAATAGGGCGCAATTACTGGGCTTATTTATTCTTCCGTGCAACAATATTTACTGAGAAATCTAGATGCCAGCAGAACACTATGCTGGGCACAGAGAAAACTGTACCTGCCTCCTGGACCTTATTAAGCCTAGGCTCACCTCCTGGTTTTGCTATCCATTAGAAGATTAAGAAAATTCTTGTCACTTTGGAATTTCACTGAATGGGTAATTTTACAATCTCACTGTGCATACAACTTCTCAATCAACTATAATGTTGTGAAACAGGACTAGTGGCATAAATAAATGCAGAACAGTCCCACAATTGGCCCTCCATGTCAGTTTTATACCCACAGATTCAACCAAGAGCAGATACTTTTTAAAAAAATTATATCCAGCTGAACATGTAAAGACTTCTTTCTTGCGATTATTCCCTAAACAACATAACTGAATGACTATTTACATGATATTTACATGTATTAGGTAATACGAGCAATGTAGAGATGATTTAAAGTACACAGGAGGATACGTGCAGGTTATATGCAAACACTAAACCATTTTGTGGAAGGGACTAAGCACCCAGGCGCCTGGAACCAACCCACTGTCACAGGATCATTTTATTACACTTACTACTTGTCTATATCTACTAATTAATTTTTGCTTTGAAAATTCACAAGTAAATCATGCATGTGGAAACTGAAGTCTTCTTTAGAGTACAATTTTAACTTTACCTGGTTCGTCCACATTCACATGTCTTAGTCATAAACGCAGGGCAGGGTGGGCAGGGTCCAGGATGGCAGAGACTGAAAAACAGAAAAGCTACAGTGAATAAATCATACCATCTATCCAAACCAAAACAAAGCTGCCTCAACTGGGTCTTACATGTTTTAGTATTTCTCTAAAGCTCAGCACTTAGCAAAACCCTATTTCAAAATAAAAAAATCAAAAAAGGGCTACAGATGTACCTAAATGTGATAGCCTTAGGTTCAATCCCCAGTACCACAAAAACAAATAAATGTAGGGTTAAAAGCTTCAGCCCAGTTGGACATGGAGGTGCAAGCCTGTGTTCACAGCACTTCGGAGCTTGGAGGCTGAGGCATGAGGACTGCCATGAGTGCAAGGCCAGGCCAGGCTACGTAATGACATAGTTCAGGCCAGATTGAACTATACAGCAACACTGTGTCAAAAAAAAACAAAAAAAACTAAGTTGCAGCCTGTGCGGACAACTTCCCAAGGGTCTGTTTCTAAATAATAACTTGATTAAGGAAGGGAGGGAGGTTGGTGCTGTGATTCAGCGCATCAGTCCAAGGCCTTTCAAAAAGAGAACAATCAATCAGGCCAGGTCTGGTGGTGCACACCTACAATCCCAGCACACTGAGGCTGAGACATGGAATCCAAGTTTCAGGACCGGCCTGGTCTATGTAAGTAAGGCCCCATCTAAAAAAGAAAAACAAATATTCAAAGTAATGAAACTATTTAGGACATCATAGGACATTTAACCAGAAAACTAAAGCCCAAGTCAAAAGACTGGTTTTATTTGGGACTGATAACATTTTCAAATATGACACTGGCCTACTGGCAGCCGTCTGTGGGGGAGAAAAAAGTCTGGCATTCAGGTGATGGTGGAAGGCCCAAGAGTCCTACAGGAGATCAGATTCCATGCCAACAGAACCGAAATCTACTAGGCCTGCCCAGCTAGTGAGGCAGTGGCCAGCCAGTGGGGGTACATCAGGAACAGTGAGGAGACACGGTAGGGCATGGTGGTAAGCAACTGAGGGAGCCAGGGAAGGGGGCGGGTCTATTCAGGTCTCTGAGCAGAATGCTCTTTACAGGAACTGTATTAATGAAGCCAGGAGGAGAAAACCTTACAGAATAGAATTTGTAAATTCAAATAAACAACGCCCTCTGCAGAGCAGACAACCAGGCAACCATACAATACTGTCTTTCTTTCTTTTTTTTTAGTACTGGATTGAACCTGCCACCCCACGCTTGCTAGGCAGGTGTTTATGCTCCTGAGCTAAATCTCCAGCCCCCCTCCCCCCCCAACTACTTTAAAAATATGTTTGGGAACTTCTACAATTTTTTTTTGTAGAGGGAATTTTAAGAGATGGCAAGTTATAATCCCTTGGAAATTAAAAGGGAACCTGAGGCAAATCTAAATCCCTTGGGTGACAGAATTTTATGCAATCCCTCCCCTCTAAAAAACCATAGCACAGGTGCCTATAATGTAGTCTGACCGAGACAATGATAATGATTATGATACTAAGGACTAATGCAAAGTCTCGGCACTGAGCAATAGTCCCAGCCCTTTTTATTTTGTATTTTGAGACATGGTCTCATAAGTCGCTAAGGCTGTCCAGGCCTTCCTGCTTGAACTAACTTGCAGCCTTCCTGCTTGAGCTTCCTATGATGCTGAGCTTCCAGGTAGGCACCACCATGTCCAGCTTGGGATTCTTAACTTTATATGTGACCCTGAATCCAGCTCTATTAACTCTTAAAACTGAACACGAAACAATATTGGAACAAGAGCTTGTTTTTTTTTTTGTCCCTCTTTTGACAAAAAGTCTCTGAGATATACATTTAGGCACATCTCTTTAAAGGTGAGTGTCATTATTCAACAGTTATTTATATTTCACATGTTCAACCGTTCCAGGTAAATCAATCAATCAGTCTATCTATCTATCTATCTGTCTATCTATCTATCTTTGTTTATATTTCATATGGCAAGGTTCAAGCACTCCAGGTAAATCAATCAATCAGTGTATCTATATATCTGTCTATCTATCTATCTATCTATCTATCTATCTATCTATCTATCTGTCCGTCTTTGAAGCAGGGTCTCACTATAAAGTGCAGGCCAGAAGCCCTGAACTTTGCTGGCCTCAAACCTATAGTGATCCTCTTGCTTCACCCTCCTAGGTGATGGGATTATAGACCTGAGCCACCATGCCTGGCACAAATAATACAATTTAAATAATTTTAAATGATGGATAAACGGTGGGGCAGGTTTGGGTAACTCCCTGAGAATTTCTGTAACTTCGGAATTCAACCCGAGTTTCTTAGCCTCTTACACAATGGTCTGCAATGCTGGCTACATATAGAACCTTCTCTGTGAGGACAGGGCACTAGGGACTGGAACCGCTGCCCTCACTGGCTACATCTCCAGCCCTACATACAGAACCTTCTCTGTGAGGCCAGGGCACTAGGATTGGACCCGCAGCTCTCACTGGGCTCCATATCCACCCTACATATAGAACCTTCTCTGTGAGGCCAGGGCACTGGGGATTGGATCTGCAGCCCTCACTGGGCTCCATTTCCAGCCCTTGTTTTTTAGGACAGAGTCTCACTATTTTGTTAAGTTGCCTAGGAACTTGCAATCTTCCTGCCTCAGCCTCCCAGTGTGCAATGATTACAAGCATGTCCCATCACATGTGGCTATACCTGAAGAGTTTTACCCACTCCCACAGACTGCGATTGTTTTATCCACTGCCACTGACTGAATTGCTGAGATAGAGCCTGGATACTGATGTTTTAAAATGTTTTCTAGTTGTTTCTAATATGCAGCTAGGATTGAGAACTGGTGCTTGAGAGCATTTTATGACTTATGGATAATCCAAAATGGAGGAAGAGGCCAACTGTAGCTTCTGAGTCTTGGTATGTAGGAGACACACAAATCTTTGTCTGAGACCTGGAAAATACTATTGAGGAATGAGCTTTAGCAGGCTCTAGAGTCCTGACAGAAGTAAAAGCAGTTTCTAGGCCAAGCACAGGATTTCTAGAGACACAAAGGTCATAATGTACTCATTCCTTTAGTCAAGAGGTTTACCACCTAATCCGCATGACTTCTGATGTCATCTGGTAGTCATAAAAATGCCCAGTAGTAGGGGCCTAGGGATTTAGCTCAGCGGCATAAGTGCCTGCCTTGCAAGCGCACAGTTTTGAGTTCGATGCCTGGCACCAAAAAAAAAAAAAACAAAAAAAAAAAAAAAAAAAAAAAAAAACCCACTAGTGAAAAAGTGGTCATTTAGGAAATGGGTCCGTAAGGAAAGAGTCAACCAAAAGGAGGCAGCTGACTGCTCAGCGAGTCCAACGCCACACTCCTTAGTCCAGTCTGAAACAGCTGTGCCCATTGGCTGTTTGTTGGCACCACTACCACTTAACCTTGTAACAGGCCCAGGTCAAATATTTACCCCAGCTCCATGCAACACAAGCACTGAGATAACACTCTTGTATCTGCTTTGCTCTTGGATTGGGTAACAAAGCAAGAAATACCATTTTTTTTTTTTTGTCTTTTTCTTTTTTATTGGTACCAGGGATTGAACTCACAACTGCTTGCTTGCAAGGCAGGCACTTATGCCGCTGAGCTAAATCCCCAGCCCCTAGAAATACCATTTTTTGACCACTTGAAAGATTCTGTATCAAGATTCCTAGATGCATTCATTTAATTTTTATAAAAGAAGTAATATTATTCACATTACTATTTTATAGATGTATAAATTCATGCTTAAAGAAGTTACATAACATGCACTAGGTCATACAACTCAAACCCAAAATTTTAATCTTTGTCTGAGGTTAAAGTCTGAAGAAATTTATTTGTAACTGACCAATTATTTCTTTAGGACTATATTTCTCTTATTATTTAAAAGCAGAAATGGATACTTTCTAAAGATGGCTATATTTATTAAGAGGTAAAGGACTGACACCTTAAAAATACTGTCCGAAGAATGCTACACAACTGCCTTTCCCTCCACACCAAAGGCCGACCCATATACTCTCTTGGACTTGTCTGTCACTGGGAGATAAAATACGTAAGTCCATTTCCTTTTAAAAGCCTGCAATGTAATACAGTGAAAAGAGGGCTGTCTTTGGAAATCCTAGCCCCACCGCGGCCTAACACTGACCTAGGCAAGATGGTTGGCCATTGAGCCTCAAGTATAAAATGGAGATAATAAATACGTATCACTTGATTGTGGTAAGGATTCAACAAATTAACTCATGCAGAGTGCTGGTACAGAATAATGCTCAGTAAATGGTACTGTTATGGATTAAAAACTGGTGGTCACCCTAACACCAGCTGAACTAAACCAACATGGTGCTGAGTGTAGATGGCCCACCTGAGGAAAACTGCTAGCATAAATGGAGATGTGGAGAGGAAGAGTAGGGTGTAGTGTATTCTCCTAAGTGTCACTGTTTGGAGCTGCTGGTTCTCCTGGAGGAGCTTGCCATGGCTAGCTTCTCCTACATGAATTTGGCCATTATCATCAGAGGAGCTCGGGACCTTGTCGCTGAGAGTTTGGGGGAGCTCTGGTCCTTACACTGAGCATCACTTCCTGGCTCCAGAGGGGAAGGTATGTGCTGTTTAATCTCAAGGAGAAGCTTGTCATGCTGGCTTCCTGGCATGTACTCAACTGTTCTCATTTTCAGAGGAGCTTGGGTCCTTATTATCGCCGAGGATGGTCCTTTTCAGGGGAGCCCTGGTCCTCATCTTGAGTGTCACTTCTTGGCTCCAGTGTAGAACCCTCAACCTACTGGCACAGATCCTTTACCCGCTGGCATAGACTTCCTAGTTTTTACCGCCGACCGCTAGACCTTCCCAGTCCAGATCCGTAAAACAGACTTGCATGAGTCATTATCATGGGCTCTAGACCTCCAGCTGGATTTGTGGGAGGCACTGTCATGGGTTCCAGATTTTCATCTGGACTCGTGTAGGACACTGCTGTGGGATCCAGGCTGTCAGCTGGATTTTCTAGGTCTTAAAATGTTGTGGACAGACTTCCTGCATTTTCTTGTATTTAACTCTGGGTGAGTATCATCAAATACCATTATAAGTTCTCTGTCCTGCATGTAATTATTCTATGTGCAATCCCTGACTACAACAGGTACCACATCAAGCTCCACCCTGTACTGTCACATGCTAACCAATTAGGTGTATGTATATACCCACCAGCAAAGCATGTCCACTAGGAATCCCCAGAAGTTCAATTTCCCAACTTACAGGTTACAGGAATGTGGGCAGTCCTGACCAGGCTGTTTCCTTCTACAGACCTCACCACAACTATGTGGAATTTCATTTCTGCTCCATTCAGGATTCTTCACCTTGCCTAAAAGAGATGAGATCAATGTCAATGCTATCAATTTCAACCATATTTTTTTTTTTTTGAGACAGGGTTTCACTATGCAGTTCAAGTTAGCCTTGAACTCACTGTGTAGTCCAGGCTGGCCTTGAACTCAGTTATCGAACTGCCTCAGCCTCCTGAGTGCTGGGATTACAGGCATGTGCCACCAGGCTTGTCAACCATATTCCTGACTTTAATGAAATAGTACAGTATATAGCTAGCTAGCATGAAATTTAAGTGTGGTTTTCATTAGTTCAACAAGTGCATTATCTCACATCTTAAAACAAAAAAGTACACATAATGCTACTCATCAAAAGCTTTCAGCTAGGCATGGTGGTGCACATCTGTAATTCTAGCACTTAGGAGGCTGAGGCAGGATTTCTGTGAGTTTAAGGCCAGCCTGAACACACAGTGAGTTCAAAGTCAGCCTGAACTACATGGTGAAATCCTGTCTCAAAAAAGAAAAACTAATCAGGGATATAACTCAGCAGCACAGTGCCTGCCTGGCAAGTGTGAGGTCCTGATTTTGATTCCTGGTACCAATTAAAAAAAGAAAGAAAGAAAGAAAGAAAGAAAGAAAGAAAGAAAGAAAGAAAGAAAGAAAGAAAAGCAAAAGCAAAACAAAAAGCTTCCCCAAGCATGCTAAGTTACAAATTTCAGATTACCTAGGGAAGACAGTCATTTCACCTATGAAAATGCCATTCTGACTAATTGACACATTTAATTTAAGACAAACACCTACTAGATCAAACCCCTGGATTGAAAAGTATCTGAGATAAGGGTCAGGAAGAAATCAGGAAAGAAAACTACTGGGTTAAAGGGGAGGAGGTTTTCTGTAAGACTGAACAAACACAAATCCCCTGTATAGCAGGAACTTGCCCACTCTACAGCTGTAAATACATAAAAGGACTATAATTTTATAATAATGCTCTGCAAATCTTTACTGGGCATCTTCCTTGGACTCAGCAGAAAGAGGAATAAAATTCAAGGCCCAGGACTCCTCCTTACTCTTGAAGAATTCATCCTCACTTGGGTAATTTATACACGAAATGACAGCTATCCCCAGTAGGCCGCTGCTTGTCCTCTTTACTGTTTCTTTTAGAAACTCTGACTCGGCGTTTTCTGCCTTTTCTAAACCCCTGCTGTCCTCCTATGTGTCCAGTGGTCTTCTGAACATCTGCTTGAGGTTTCAGGCACCCCTGGACTCACCTACAGTCACAGTTTGTACCTTCCTTCTAGAACCCCTCCTTCTTCCGTGTGGGTCAGTAACACCAGCACTGTCAGAGGCAGACACCCAGAACCTACACAAACTACTGACTCCTTTTTTTCTTTTCATGTTTCTACTTAGTCACACCCCCGCCATCCTCCTTGCAGAGGGTCTCAACCCATCTTCCCTCCTATTACTCCGCTGCTTCATGCTGGCCAAACTTCCACCTCCTGACTATCACAAGTGCTGCCCTGTTGCTGCTGGGCTTTTTCTCTCAGATATAGTGCCCTGGTTTTGCCCTAGCATCCTTCAGGGGTCCTATCTCTCTTAGTCAGAATGACAGTTTTTGTTGCTGCTATTGTTTTGTCTTCTCTGTCAGGGGTCTGCCTGACACCCTCTTCTCACTCCTTACCATTGTATCTACTAGGTCCTCTCAACTGCAACTACCATCCTTAAATTCTACCCTCTTCAAATACTTCCACCTGCCCTTAAACAACTCTCTCTCTCTCTCTTCTCTCTAAGCCTAGTTCTTTTTGCTCTATTCTTTTCCCCGGTATCATATTTCATTGAGCATGGAACTATGGAGTCACATTTGGGTTCCTCCCTTTCCCAACACACAGGAATTATTCCTAACACATGGGAATTGTTACTAATGTTTATTTACCTTAGAAACTTTTACTTTTTCCTTTCTATACCACTCACTGTAGATTATTATTACTCTTCATCTGGATTATGGTAAGTTTCCAAACTGCTTAACCACCAACTCACCTCCATAAAACTGATGCCTTCAGTGGCTTCCTGCAGCCCAAAGGGCCACCTTTCCAGTCTTCTCTTACTCTCCCACCCCCATAGATCCTAGGGTCTATAAACTGATACTCCTCCTTTTTCCAAAAGATTGCAAACCTTCTTAGTTTTGAATTTCTGCTCATATCATTCTATAAATAAATAAGTCCTTCCTGCCTACCCAGTTTTCAAGCCCAGTCAAATCATACCTTTCATAAAAGCTTTCCTTAATCATTTAGCTAGCCCATCCCAAAGATCTCCCACACCACTTCACAGCTCCCAGTGCAATGTCAAGTTAACTGAGTTATAACAACTGTAAGGTCTGGAGAATCAATAAGTGGTCTATTTCTATTTTTTTCACAGTACAATAGCAAATTCTCAATAAAAACACATTAATAATCTTGAAGAATTGTGAAGGGCAAAGTCATCAGGTAAATAAAGCCATAGTTTACATTTCCACATCATTTTCTCTCTCGTACATCATTTTGACCTTTGCTGCACATTCTTATGCCTTCTTAGGGTTTCTAATCTAATTTGTCAGTGAAACCTCCAATGAGATTTTTAATTCCACAGTGGTACTTGTGCCTAAAATCCCTTTAAAATAAGGTAATCAAGTCAAGCATGGTGGTGCACTCCTGTAATCCCAGCAGTCTGGAGGCTGAGGCAGGCAGATTGTTGCAAGTTTATGACCAGCCTGGGCTACAAAGTGAGCTCAAGGCCAGCCTGAACTGTATAGTGAGACCCTGTCTCAAAAAGACAAAAATAAATAAATACTATAATAAAATAAGGTAATTATAAACCTTGATATTGTGCCACTTCCATATTGCCCACCTTCCCTTTGGCTGTTTGAGGTAAGGCCTCCCTATGTAATTCAGGCTGGCCTTTTGAACTCACTTCATATTCCAGGCTGGCCTTGAATTTGCAATGACCCTCTTGCCTCAGCCTCCCCAGTTCTACAGTTACAGATGTGTGCCACCATACGCGACTCCAATTTTTAATTGACCTCTTGTTTCAAGTTTCATGCTGCCTTTGCAACAGTACACTCAAGGAAATACAGAGATCAAGAGTTGACAGTCAAAAACTCTTGGTAAAAACTGCTATTTAAATGATGAGAAAGGAGAAATATGAACAAATTGGTTAGAAAAATAAGGAGAGCTTACAGAAAGAGAAGAGCTATTTATGTTGAGAAGGGAATGTCAAAGTGTCAATGGTCACACTGCCAAAGAGTTAAGATTTTATAAATCAGCCCTAGATGTGGTCAGGAAGGGATTACTGAAAACTTCTGAACATGGTTTCCCTAAGGAAATAGGATACAGCAAAAATGCAGCAGCATTAACAAACAGTAAGAAATAAAATATGAAAAATCAACTAGGCAGATATAGAAAGCCAAGCATTAAAAATCAGGAAGGGAAAAAAAAAAAAAAAGACAGGAAATAAACTAGCACTAGGAATGAGTATCTGGATCAAAGAAAGCTTTTTTCCTACTACATAGGAGGAAATGAGCTATTCAAAAACAGGAAGAAGTATTCTATAAAGGAGGAGGCTACTTGGATAGTTTATAGTTTTAGCTTACAGAAAATTTCTCTCTCTCTCTCTTTTTTTTTTGTCTTTTTGAGACAGGGTCTCTCTATGCAGTTCAGGCTGGTCCTGAGCTCACTTTGTAGCCCAGGCTAGTCTCAAACTTGAAACGATACTCCTGCCTCAGCCTCCCGAGTGCTGGGATTACAGGCGTGAGCCACCACGTCTGGCCTTCTCTCTTTATTACAAAGATAAACGACTTTATTTCTTGGATTAAAAAAAAAAAACACTATCTTAACTTCCACTGTTCAAATCTAGAATATCAAAACTGTTACTGTCAGGGTGAGGGGAATGCATGTTAATATGTACCTCTACTGCCTGGGTAGTTCTAGTCTTAAGTTAGGACCAAAAAGACCAGCACCTCAGCTCAGCTCAGAAGGCACGTGAGCCTGGTGCACAATGGGAAGGCCCACCTAACAAGCAACCTGTCAAAAAGTGCAAAGCTTGTGATAGATCCATGAAAATGGTCTTATCAACTCATACTTTGGAAGTCTGAATAGTAACTTCCAATAACAAGCCCAGCAGACCACTCTCTTGGACTGAGAACTGAGATACAATGTATGAAGTAAGATAGTTTGACCCAGGCATGGTGGCTTACTTCAGTAATCCCAGCACCTGGGAGGCTAAGGCAGGAGGATTTTGTGAGTTTGAGACCAGCCTGGACTATATAGTGAAACCTCTCAAGAAAAGACAGGGAAAAGAAAGAAAGAAAGAGAGAGAGAAAAACAGAAATAAGGCACTCTGTGTGTACATAAACAAACTTACCACAGAAACAAGTGTAGGTATTAGGAACATGTGCAGAAACATTCTGGCAGGCAGGACACCTCCAACCACTCTGGCCATCTGTCAAAAAAATGAGAGTAAACCAAATAAATTTTCTTTCAAAAGCACAAGGAGCTTAGTTGCAGAGTATGTACTTAGCATGCACATGGTGCTGGATTCAATCCCCAGGGTTTCCCAAAAGGAAAACACAAATAACTTGAAAATTTAGGGCTGGGGATATGGCTTGGTGGCAGAGGCTTGTCTAGTATATGCAAAGCCAGTGGTTCTATCCCCAGCACCACCGAAAAGTTTAAAAAATTTAAAAACTAATTTTAAACTTAAGTAGGACATAGTAGCCCATGCCTACAGTCTCAGCTACTTAGGAGGCTGAGATAAGAGATCAACTGAACCTATGAGTCTTCAGGACCAATTTGGGGATGTGAAGGCAGTCTGGCTGCAAAGTGTGCCCTCTATTTAGGGCTGGTTCTGCTAATCTGGCTGGCTCCGTGAGGGTCTCCTTCCTCCCTCACTGCTCCATGCGCATCCCTCTGAGGCTGTGGTTACAGAGGATGACCTTCGCCTATAGAAGGGGACCATTTCCTCAGTCAAGGGAATATGAATAGCAGCATCCCCTGCTAGAACCTCCAAATATGCTACCAGGAACAGCTTGGGCCATAAGGGGACGTCTTGTCTCAAAAAAAAAAGTCATTTTTTTAAATCTATAGAAAACCACATTATTGAAGAAACTGTAGTAATTTCAATGTTAAAATATCTCAGACATGGAAGAAACAAATTCATAATAGTGAATGCTTTGCTTAAATATGACACTTGAGATTACATTTATGAGGATTTTCAGATACCATGAATCAAGTAGATATATGGTTCATAAGATAAATTATTTAAATACATGCAAGAAAATATAAATGTTTTAAATTAGAGATCCACAATTCAATGAGAAAAGTCCCTAATAAACTACGCAGAAGATACGTGAAAGGCAAAACCAACTCTAGTGAAGGAAGGTAAATTAAATAGTTGCTTTGTATAAATTTCTAAAGCAAACTATACAATAAATACAAGGTGTTACTTGGATAAAAGCTATCATTTATAATAGTAAGGATCAATTTTATAATACCCTAAATATTTTATCATTGCTATGCTCAGGAGTTTTAAGATCAATAGCTCTCCAGAATCGGACAGACAAAAAGAAAAAAAAAAAGATCAATAGCTTAACTCTGGTCACCTGAAACATGACCAAGGCAACATATTCTCCCTGCAGATAAACTATGTAAGAAAAATTGGTTTTGTTTGTTTTTTGAGACAGGGTCTTGCTGTGCAGTTAGGCTAGTCTCACTATGGAGCTCATGCTGGCCTCTAACTTGTAGTGCTCCTCCTGCCTCAGCTTCCCTAGTGCTGGGATTGCAGGGGTTTGCTACGATACCTGGCAGAATTAGAATTAGTATTTTTAAAAGCTAGGCTTATAAGTTAAACATATCAAATAGGTGAGAATAACCGCTTAGAAATAACTGACCCGCTTGAGATGCTGGAGACCGTGCCCATTTCTTGATGCAGTTCAGGTGAAACACATGGTAACAGCTCTGACAGCTCCACACCGGCGCCGTGACTCGAACCAACTCGCAGCACACCATGCACTCATATTTTTCTGTAGTTAGCTGTTCAATTAGAGAACCTGTTTAAAAAACAAAACTGCAAGATAAACTCAAACACAGAAAACCACTCCTCACTTCAGTTAACAAAGGAGCAACAAGTCCTTAGGGAGAAAAGTCTGAAGAGAGAATTGAAAGGCTTGGGAGTAAAGTTGCTATTCAGATGGTGAGGCCAAGAAAGGGCAGGAATGTGCCGAGGCAGACTTAGGAAGGAGATATTTAGCTGGGGATTCTTATAATTCAAGAAACATCCCAAGACTCTGACCAGGAAGATACCAGGGTAGCCACGTGCCCCTGAGCACCCCGGGACACGGTAGTAAAAATCTGAATGCACCAAATCCATGAATCTGTCATGGAACTGCAGAGATCAGCTGTAAAGAAGCCTAACCTTGGACCAGTTCCAACCACCCATGGGTGACGAGATGGTTCCAGGTGTTGTCCTGAAAGTTTTTTTTCCTCCTTTAAAGTTTTTGATCATTCACTAAATAAAGATATGATTGGTACCTACCACAAATTCCACGCTAGGGTTACCAGACTAAAGGAGATGCAGTCCCTGGTTTGAGGAGTTCACCACTGCTGAGAGAGAACAGTGTGCGGCATCTCAGGAATCTTCCATGTGAAGCCAGGGGCAGTGGCACATGCCTTTAGCCCTAGCACTTGGGAGGCTAAGATATCAGGGTCACTTGGACTCAGGACTTTGAGACCAGCCTCGTCAACACAGTGAGATGCTGTGCAAACAAAACAAGACCCGATAAACCTTCCCAAGTTTGTTCCTCAAGAAACACCTTCACTCACTTTCAGATTTTTACCTCAAATCAAATGAAGCAGTCTTCTAGATTGTTATATAACCAGGTACTCTCAAGGTGGGGGGTTGTGAATATTTTTTTGAGTACATACTTTTAGCATTTAGTTTATAATACTACTATTTATTTTCAGGTCAAAATAAGTAAAAGACTAAAATAAGCTTAAATACAACATATAAAGCACTGTCCTAAAGTATTTTATATGCACTATTTAATCTTAACAGGGCTACAATATATGTACTATTTTATAGGTGAGGAAATTGAGGCTCAAAGTAAAGAGAACATTTGCCCAAGATCACATAACTAAAAATGTGAAGGTCAAATTAAACTGTACCACCAGCTAACTCAAAAGTTCACTATTACTCCATAATCCTGGCTCTCCAAGATTATTTTCTGGTCAATTTAATATAAAAAAAACACAGAACATTTTGAGATTGTTAAGTTCCACGAGCAGAGACAGGGCCACATCTACCTTGCTTAATGTAGTGTTTTTCCAATGTCTGGAACATACTGGGTGCTCAATCCAAACTTGTTGAATTGGACGTGGTGGCACATTCCTATAAACCCAGCAGTGGGGACACTGGGGCAGGCTGAGGCCCTGTAGGGCCAGCCTGGGCTACATAATGAGTTCAAGCCTGAATTGCACAGTGAGAGATCTTGTTTTAAAAAAATTTTTTTGTTGTTGAATTAAGGGATTAAGGAATAAATCAGTGATATCTACTTTGCTTTGTAACTTCTTTTCCTAAAAGTTGAAGATTTCACGAAAAGTTTCTGGAATGCCTCCTTGCCCCTAGGAAAAAAACCTGAAAAAGACATATTTTGTGTGGCTAATTAACAGGAACTCTCCCTGCTTTGGTAACAGATGAACACATCATGAATTCTATCATAAAAGTTAACTAGCTCTGTCTTAAAAGCAAGGTTGTTCTTCTCTACACAGGTTAACATCTCTGAGTAACAATAGAAGATTGCTTTGTTAAATGTTTTTTGTTTTTTGTTTTTTTTTGCAGTGCTGGGGGTCAAAATCAGAGGTTTGTGCATGCTAGGCAAATTACAACTGAGCTAAATCCCCAGTCCATTTCTCTTATTTTTCTATGTCATTTACTTCTAACACAAAGTTAAATACATACATAATACTTTTACATATAATTTTGTATATAATATTTTTATGTAGCATATAAATTTTTTTGATACTGGGATTGATCCTAGGACATTGCAAATGCTAGGCAAGTGCTTAACCACTGAGCTCTACCCACAGCCTAAATATATTTTCTACCCGTTTAATGTTGCACAAGGAAGATTCTGGTGGAGCAAGTTAAATAAGTAGCAATTCTTCAGAAAGAAGTTTGAGACAACTGGACAGAATTCTAATTGTGGCGAATTTCGTTACTGACCCTTGTAGAACAGAATTATGTTACAAGTAAATGACAGAAAAATAAGAGAGGTGGGGTGGGGATTTAGTGTGGCTGGTTGTAAAAAATTTGCCTATCATGTACAAAGCCCTGGTTTTGACTCCAGCACTGCAGAAAACAAAGAAACAAAATGAAGGTATTTAACAAAGCAACCTTCTATTGCTTTCATTTTTTAAATCTAAAGACTGTCTTCTAAATTTTAGTGTCTCTTATTCATTAAGTTTATTGCTTGTTAATAAATATTGTGGGGTTTTTTGTTTGTTTGCTTTGTCTTTCTTTTTGAGACAGAATTTCACTATGCAGTTCAGTCTAGCCTTGAACTCACTTTGTAGCCCAGGCTGACCTTGAACATACAGCAATCCTTTTGCCTCAGCCTCATAATATTGTTTTGTGTTGTTTTACAGCGCAGTTGCAGTAAAATATGACCATTCTGATGCATATACAGCACTGTGGTGACGCCTGCCAGCTTTGAAAAACCCATGAATTACTGCTAAAGGTTTTCTTTTTCACCTCTCGTATTATGTCAGCAAATTTTGTTGGCTGTACCTTCAACATATACCCAGAATCCAACCTCTGCTGTTCCTCACAATGGTCTAAGCCGTTTTCAGATCACCTGAATTACTAAAACAGCTTCCTTACTAGTCTTCCTACTTCTTCTGCCCACAACAGCCAGACAGCCTGTTAAAATGCAAATGAGATGATGGCACACCTCCACTCAGAACTTGCCAGTGGCTCTTACCCCTGAAGTCAGTAGCCACCAAGCTTGAGCCTCCATTGCCAATCCTATGCCCCTCGGTCACCAATCTGAGACCACACCAGCCTTCCCTACTCCTCAAATGGCAAGGAGGTTCCTGTCAGTCTTTGCACTTGACAGTTCTTCCACCAACAAGGCTTTTCCCTAGAAGGGCAGCGCAGCACTACCCTGCACCCTCTTCCATGTTTACTCAAGGTGTGACTGCCATGGATCATACGCCCCCCACCCCCCAATCTGTAATCCCAGCACTCTGGGGTATAAGGCAAGAGACAAGTTCAACTTGGGCAATTTAGCCACTTGGTGAGATCTTGCCTCAAAATTAAAAATAAATAAATAATAAGTAGTTGGGGATGTAGCACAGTGCTAAAGATTTGAGTTTAGTTTCCAATCCCACCCCCACTGCAAATAACCTTCTCGTGAGGCATTCCCTGGGCACACTTTGAAATTTGCAGCCCACTACCTCAGCATTCCCTACCCTTCTCCCACACGGCATTTTCCATAACAACATAAAGACTATGTGAGAGCTACTTATGTTTTACTTATTTTATCTTATTTATACACAAAATGTATATTCCTTGAGGGTAGAGATTTTTACTATAGTGGCCTGGGACATAGCAGGCACCCAATACTATTTCTTGTTTAAATGAATGACAACAAATAAACCAAAACATAAAAGGTTCTAGAAAGATCAGAGAAACAGTATGAGTCTTTCACAGACAATATTTACTCTTCCTTTCAGTTTTATCAAAACATGCCTAACATGCAAAATCTGGTAGTATCCAGAATGGCTCTCTGTTGATAAGGTGTCGAGTTTCAGATCCAAGATTCCTGTCTTGCTAGGTCACAACCCTGTCCTGACCACAGGTTCTTTTTGAATCCCTGTATACTTTCCTTGTAGGACTTCCCTATCATTTTTGTCATGACTGTGCAAACTCTATGCTTCCAGTTGACAGAAAAAAAAAAAAAAGACGAAAATTATGTGATTCCAACTATGTAAATATGAGCATTAAAAAATTTCTGTAAGAAAATAGAACAAAAAGATAAAGCTGATTATATCGAGGTGTTGGAAGTAAAAGTAAGTTATCTAACAGAGAAATTTGGTGTTACTTCATTAAAACTAATGATGGGCTGAGAACACAGCTCAGTGACATAGCACCTGCCTGGGAAGCACAAGGTCATGAGTTCGATTCCCAGTGCCAGAAAAATAAATAAAATTAAGTTAGCTGTTTTCTAAAAAAAGCTAACCCAAGCCAGATGTGGAACATGTCTACAATCTCAGTCTCTGAAAAGCCTAAGCAAGAGGATGGTAAATTTAAACCCTGCCTGGTCAATTAGCAACTTGGTGAGACCCTGTCTTTAAAATGTAAACCAAACAAACTATACAACTAAAAAAGGGCTTGACATGTAGCTCAGTGAAGGCCCTATGTTTATTTCCCACTGCGTCTTCCCTCAAAAGCTAACCCAAGCCAGCTGGGGATTTAGCTCAGTGGCATAAGTGCCTGCCTGGCAAGCACTAGATAGTGAGTTCAATCCCTGGTACAAAAAAAAAAAAAAAAAAGAATACACACACACAAACCCAAACAAACAACTAATCCAATATAAGTATGGTCAACATGTTCAAGTTACTCTTACTGATTACAAAGTATGTCATACTTGTGTATATCTAAATCTAAAGCTTGTGGCAAAACTTATGGTCTACAGAGAAAGGGTTAGAAATCAACACAGTAGGGACGGGGGTTTAGCTTAGCAGTGTATGAGCCCACCTGGCAAGTGCCAGGTTTTGATGTTGTGAATTTGATCCTTGGTACAAACAAAACAAACAGCCTCCCCCACAAAAAAACAGAAAAACTCCAGATATGCTAAATAAAATTTGATTTAAAAAAAATCAGCACGGCACTAAAGCAGCAGTTAAAAGCATGGAAAGTGACTGAAATTTTCCAATGAGATCATTATCAAATGAGAAAAACAAAGGGCTGAGATAAAACCCAAGGAAACATTACCCAGAGGAAAAACAAGTCAGGTGTGGTGGCACATGTCTGTAATCCCAGCATTCAGGAGGCTGACACAGGGGATCGTTGCAAGTTTAAGACCAGCCTGGGCTACAAAGTCAGCTCAAGGCCAGCCTGAACTGCACAGTGAGACCAAGAAGACTTGGAGTTGTCAAAGGAGTCAGAGAAAGTCACACTTCAGGAAAGACTCCTTCTGTGTCAAACTCAAAGGGAGGTCTGGGATAACAAGGATTGAAATCCATCTGTCCAATGGGTGTGGCACATAGGAAGCTGTTCATGACATTATCAATAGCTCACTGGATCAAGTAGTGATGAGAGCAGAAGACACAGAAATGAATCGAAATGTAGAGGGAGGAATAGAATGGACAACTCTTGATGAGGCTGGAGTGGAAGGAGAGCAAACTACTGGAGAAGCCATGCAGCAGGCAAGTTATCCTTGTGAGGGCAGGGTCCACTTGGGAAGAACTTCAGGCTGAGAAGTTGGAAGAGTAGATGTGAAAATGTTAGTGAAAGAAAATCTCAAAGAAATTTAAGGGTAAGCACAGAGGTCTGAGTTTGCATAGAAGGAATACAATGTTAAGAATATCTGCCTAATGGTTTCCCTTTCTCAGTGAAGTAGGAAGCAAGAAAGACTACCAAGATTTACAGAGATGAATGTTAGGAAGGTTTGAGAAAGACTGGAGAATGCCTGGAACAATCTTAGATGAAAATGGGAAGAAAAGCTGATCAATATCACCTAAGGGGAAATGAAGAATATTGAAAGCCAACTGAGGCTGGAGACCACTATTCAAAAAAGTTTACTTAAGCTGGTCATGGGAGTGCATGACTGTAATTTCAGCACTCTGAGGCTGAACCAGGAGGACTGCAAATTCAAGGCCAGCTTGAAACACAGGGAGACCCTATCTCAATTCTGAAAGTTTATTAGCTGGGCATGGTTTTGCACACCTGTAGTCTCAGCATTTGGGAGGCTGAGGCAAGAGGATCACTGTGAGTGTGAGGCCACCCTAGGCTACACAGTGAGTTCAAGGCCAGTCTGAAATACATAGTAAGATCCTGTCTCAACAAATTAAGAAAAAAATATTTTTAAACAAGGGTTGGAAATATAGCTCAGTTATAGGAAGTCCTGGGTTTAATACCCAGTACTACAAAAACAAACCCCCTACAAAGTAATAAAGAAATCTTCAGTTCAAGGCAAGTATGAACTGTTTAACAGAACTGTGTAGCTATTATGCTCTAGGAGATGTGTTAGGTAGCAAAAATTACAAAAAGAAATGAAAGATACAGCATCTGCTTTTAACTGGCTTACAGACTAGTGGAGGCAGTAACATATAAACTATGAAGAAAATTCTGAAACAGAAGCACACAAGAGATGCATACGTAAGTGATAAATCAATGCTATCTATAATGGTGAAAAAGTTTCTAAATGTGTCAGTAAACCAGCTTTTTTCTTTGGTACTAGGAACTGAACTCAGGACCTCAGGCTTGCCAGGCAGGTGCTGTGCCACTGAGCTAAAGCCCTGACCGGTAACACAGCATTGAAAGATGAAGAATTCAATAGTAAACTGAGTGGTAGGACCTCTACGAGAGGGAACTACATGGAACAGTATGAAAAGACAGAACAATCAGAACACAGGGAACCCAGTGGTGGAGACCGAGATAGCAGACTTATGGCAGAAGCCAGACTCTGCTAGGGATGAGGACCAATAAACGGAAACAGAGGAATGAGAGTTCTAAATGTTTCTGATGTAAAAAAAGAAGGAAAGAGGGGTTGGAGGGAAGGGAAAAAAAGCAGCAGCAAGAAACATCATGTACAGGTATAAATTCCCTATGATACTATCACTATGCACATCTAAAATGTGCCAATAAAATAAAAAGTTTTTAAAAAAGGTATGTGTGGTACCAGTGTTAGAGAGGATGATGTAGGCAGATTGCAAATTTAAGCCCAGTTAGTGACTTAGGGAGACCCTGTTTCAAAAGAAAAAACAAAATGGGTGGAAGATATAGTTTACACAGATTCTAGGTTCAATCCCCACTACTGCTAATTTAAAAAATAAATAAATACATGGACTGGGAATGTAGCTCAGTGCCGAGGATCTGAGTCCAGTGACCAGTAGCAATAAAACAATGTGAAATAAAATAAAATAAAATAAGATAGGCTGCTGAATGACAGTGGTGCAAGACACAAACTGGAATTAAAAAGACATGAGATAGTTAGGAACCGCTGCACTGAGCAGACAAGGTGTGGCCAACAAGATGACACCGCTGGGAAGCCCAGAGGCAGCGCGGATGTTTCCACCCTCAGTTCTGCTTTCACAACTCAAAGAAATCTTGTAATCATGTATCTCTACCCCTATACCTGCGATTCTAAAAGCCCTTACAACATCCTTATTTGAGAACAAAATCTTCATTGGTATTTGCTCATGATAGATTTAAAACAAGTCAGTGTTTACCTACCGGAAGAAGAACAACAGCAGAGAGAGAAAACCCAGGCAGATGAGGAGTTAAGACACAGATTTTTCACTGTGTACCATTTCATACTTTCTGGTTTCTAAACTGTGTAAATACATTACATAAAATTAGTATCCAAAAATTTAATTCCATCCATCTAGGTTAGTTTACCTGTATGCGTTTCCATGTTCTTTAGCACATGGTTCTGTTTGCCTCGGGGGAAAGGAGAGACCACCGGAGGATCCTGCCTCCTTACAACATTTTTCTCTTGGTCAACTCTTCTGGACGACTTGTTGATAACTGCCAAATTCTCACTGTCACGGGCAGATTGTGCTGCTCTCTCGCTAATACTGTCCTTTGGAATGGAAGCCATGTTGTTTCTGGGTCCTGTATTCACCTGTCGCTGGCCCTCCTGCTTTGGTGGATTCCTGCCTGGTCGTGGCCTGGCCCCTTCCACTTCCCAAGGAGGCCTCTTCTGTGGGCATCTCCTCTGCTCATTTCGTCGGGCTCCACCCCCATCCAGTCCTCCTTTTCTACAGGATGCATCTGAGGAGTCAGGGTGGGAAACACCCACAGGTTTGATATTCTCAGGTCCCGCATCCTCAGGTTTTGCAGTCATTTTGTTACCCCATTCACATTTGAGTTTTCCCTTAACTTTTGGTCCTCGACCATAGCTGTATACAACCTGTGCTGCTTTTTTGGGTTTTGCTCCCCTGGGATCGGCGCCAATAACTTCTTTTTCACTCTCAGAAGGACTGTGCTCTCTGAGATTTGTCCCACTTTCTGATCTTGCCATATTTTCTAAGCTAGCTACATCTGAGGTGTGGTCAGTGAGTCCCTGTGCTTTCTTGACTCTGATATGGTGCTTTTCATTCCTCAATTTTTGCCAAGGTTGACACTGAAAGCCATGGTTCTTAAAGGATTTGTTAGAAGCAGAAGACTGGAAAAAAGTCTGCTGACTCTTAGGTTTGCTTCCAGAAGGATAACTGTACTGATGAACGGCAGAGATGTCATCATAAGGGACCTGCCTGGAGAGGTGACAAGGAGGTGATGTACTGTAATTTCTTCTGCCAATTCTACTAGAGTCTAGCCTTCTTTGAGTTCCACAAGTTAGACCAGAATTTTTTCTGTCCTGGGGAATGAATTCTGCAGCATCTGTATTGAGTTTAAAAGTACCTAGGACATAGAAAATAGACATAAAGTAAGGAAATGAACATGTCACCCATGAAGTTCATGACTCTTGAGCCATATTCAAAAATCATTTTTCTAAGCACACTGTATAAATTAGGCTCTTGCCTAGCTTGACGGCACACACTTGTATTTCCAGCTATTTGACAAGTAAAGCAGGAGGATCCCAAGTTTGAGGCCAGCCTAGACAACTTAGAGAAATAAAATATCAATCACACACACACACACACACACACACACACACACACACACACACACACAAAGGCTGTTAGTAAGACCTGTGTTTCCTGTGAAGCTGACAGTCTTGGGTGCTTATGGAGGCTGTTCACCCAATATCTGGTGGTTACACCAACAGCCATTAACAACTGCTGAGTAAAAACGGTCATCTGGACCATCAGGCACTATTTATACATGTATTTACTGTTCCAAAGTCTTTACTGTCAGTAACAGTTCAGGGATATCAGTCATCGCATTCTAGTCTTTTAAAACTCTGAAGTAGTATTGTGCAATATCTAAAGAGCATACTTTGAAGTTAGCTAAAATGTTTTTTTTTTTTTTTTTTCCCTTTGAGACAGGGCTTCACTATGCAGGTCAGGTTGGCCTTGAGCTCATTTTGCAGTCCAGGCTGGTCCTGCCTCAGCCTCCCAAGTGGTACATCACCATGCCGGCTAAAATGGGTTTAAAAACTGGCCCTCCAATTTATGCTATGAGCTTAGGCACACCAATGGATCACATCCAGCCTTAGTTACTGCATTTATAAGACAATACTTACTTTAAAGGGTTATTGTGAAATTTAAGATCATATATATATCTCATAGCACAGCACACTGAGTACATAGTGCAGCATATTGAGTAGATCAGCTTCCATCTCTATTCCCTAGGGATATATTTAGCGTTCTATCATAACCTCCATAATATGCTCTAGAATCTCAAGGGCTCAAAAACTGACCATATTTCCCTTTGGCTTACTCATTTTTCTCAAGATAACTTCATTATAGTCAACTAAATCCCTGAAGATCAAGGACATAATTTGCCTAAAGACAGACAACTAGTAACGAGATAGAAAACAGCAGAGCTGGGACACAAACTAGGTCTTATTGACTCGAGCCCATACCAACACTTAGAGTCACTAAGTATATCACGTTTTTCAGACTCTGGCTTAAAATTACAACTTTTGGGCCAGATGCAGGGGCACACAGCTATAATCTCAGCACTTAGGAGGCTGAGGCAGGAGGATCCCTGTCATTTTGAGGTCAGCCTGGGCTCCACAATGAGTTCAAGGCCAGCTGGAACTACACAGCATGATCCTGTCTGAAAAAGCAAAACAAAGCAATAATAAAAACAAAACAGCCCCCAAAGTTGAAACAGAAACTAACAGTAAAGTCAGAACAATGGGAAGCATATAGAATGTACTATGAATCAGTGTATAAGTTTCAATGTATTCAGTGTAACAGTGCATGGGAACATGAGCTTCAGTCTCTTTCCATCATTTATTGTGCCTTCTTGTAAGTTATTTAGCCCCACTCCCTCAGTTCATTTCTTCTTCCTAATTTCTTTCTTTCTTTTTTCTTCCTCCCTCCTTTCCTTTGTTATTGGGAACTGAACCCATGGTCTACACACTGAACAACATCTCTAACCCTTTCTCATTTATTATTTTGTTTTGAGACGAGGTCTAAGTTGCTCACATGTGAATTCATAATCCTCCTGTCTCAGCCTCCCAGAGTGCTGGTATTACGGGTGTGCCACCACGCTAAACTCCAATGGTTTTCATTTGTGAGGGAGGCAGTAACAATTTCTTCATCAAAAAGTAGCTATGAAGACCACAGCAAGTCAGAAACACCTGCTAAGCAGTAAAGTATTACTTTATTACTACTGTTAGAACTACAGACTATCTGAAACACACATACTCAAGTACAGGTGGGCACAGTGCAGAGCCTGAGAGTTTCAGGTTTAATAATAAGGCCCAACATTTAATGGGTACTTAATACATGCCAAGCACTATTCTAAATATTTTACACATTAACCTTTAATCTTTACACATTTCTGATGAGAAATGTGAGGGGCAGAGAAATTTGCCCAAGGCCACAAAGGTATTCCAAAACAGACTCAGAATTCCAATTTGGATTGTACAGCATTTGAGACTATGCTCGTACACTACAATGACAGAGGCTAGACAGCAGGTACCACAGAATCACAATGAAGAACTAAACAAGATTATACAGGTAACCTCTCATTCAGTGCAGGATTTGTCCTGAACATTTTCACATAGACAGAGCTGGGGTGGGGGTGGCTCATAAAATGACAAGAGGATTAGATAAACTCAGAAGGCAGCAAAGGAGTTTGGAAACACGAGGTAATTCAAAGGGGTAAGTGGCCAACTGGTGCTGTGCAGTTCTCTCTTGAAGAAGTAAAGATGTAGATAGGAGGAGAAACAAAGTCAATAAAATTATCCAGAACAGCTTGGTAAAGGATGGCAAGAGCATTTCATGTTGAACACCAATGAATGGATCCTGATAGGTTTGCATTTAATCACATACAGTTTATGTTCCACTGGACACAAGGTATAGTAGACAAAGCCCTTAAGGGGGAAAGGGGAGGGAGAGGCGGTTTATTAAAGGAACTAAGATGTGTTATGTACAAGTATTAACTCCCCACAATGAATGTAATCATCATGCACTGCAAATATGTACTAATAAAAATACAAATACTTTAAACAGTCATGAGGAAGGGGAAAAGGGCATAGGAATCAGGAAACCAGACCACAGCAAAAATAAAGGAACATTTCTCATTATTTTAAGTGAAGTTATTCAGTAAATAGGATGTCTCCTCATGAAGAAGTAGAAATGATACAAGCAGCATCCAAGATCCATGATTAACAACTGGATGGCAGGTCACCCAACAAGTGAGTGGAGAAAACAAGGTTCTGGAAACCCAACTAGTAGATTATACAGCCCAGAGACAAAGATGGCAATGGGAAGTCTGTCCCTGGGGTAGTGGGGAGATTCCTCTTGCCATTTAAGGATCTCAGATTAGGGGGTGGATCCCCTCTGGGAGACTGAGGCAGAAAGATAACAAGTTCATACCCATCTAGACAATTTAACAATTTAGCAAGACCTTGCTTCAAAAATAAAAAGAGCTCAGGATGTAGCTGTGTGATTCAATCACCAGGACAGAAAGGAGGAAGTGAACTAGAGACGATGCTAAAAATGGGTGGTGAAAAAGTATCTAAAAAATGAAATAAACCTGGCGTGGTCAGGGATTACAGATTACATCTGTAATCCCAGCACTGGGGAGGCTAAGGCAAGAGAATCACCATGAGTTCTAATCCAGCCTGGGCTACATAGCGAGTTCAAGGCTAGTCCAAACTACATAGCAAGACCCTGTCTCAACAAACAAACCCAAACAAACACCACCACCCCCCAAACAAACACAAAATAGACTATATTGGTGATAGTAAAGAAACCATTGCTTTTTGAAACGTTTGGTTCATTTTTATATTTATGTAAATATGTAGTCAGATCACGAAGCAAAATTTTCCTTCTGATCGCTGCCCACAGTTTAGAAAACACGAATCTATCTTACACTCCGAAGGAAATGCAAATGGATGTTACATTAACAATCAAATGAGGTTGTCTCTAAACACAGAGACAACTCCAGGAGAGGAAGTGAGCTAACAATCACGGAATTATTTTACAGGTATTAATGTATTTACTACTGATAGGTGAGTAAACTAAGACTAGATCAGTTTATAGCAGGCTGAGGTTCTAAACTACTGGTATTCCACTCGCGGAACGGCCACCACTCCATAAAGTATAAACACACCCCATGCACAACGTGCAAAACAGATGAACAGTGAGCCCATCACCGTTGCCATCACCGTCAATGACTCGGCCGACGCCTCGGTCGGAGGTCAGTGCGACGTGCTCAAGGAAGCCCAGGATGAACCCTGGAAGGGCGGGGCACCCAGATTGACTCACGGGGCCCGGGACAAGGCCGCTGTCCTCGAAAACCCTGCTGGCGGGCTTTACCTCCCAGCCTATGATGGTGGAGCTCTCCGAATGTGCGACTCGCGTGGCTTGGCCCTTCCGAGGCACTATCCCTAACTCTAGCAAGGTCCACTCTCGCGATATAAATAGCTAGAGCCCTAGGATTTCGTCATTGATCAAACTGCCCCTCCCTGAGAAAGGCCTAGGGCCAGGAGAGTACCTGAGACCGGAGGCGCCTCCGCCATCCCGCCCCGCAGCACCTAAAGGGAGTCAGCCAGCCAGCCAAGCGTGCGCTGTCATCTGATCACGTGTCCCGGACTTCCGGCGGCGCCAAAAGAAAATTCGCATCTGCGCGCCAGGTATACAGCCGCGAAGGTTTTGCAACTGTACTGTGCGGCGCGTCAGTGACGTCAAAAAGGCGCGCCAGTGGGAAAGAGGAGACAAATAGCTGGTGATGAGTCGCTGGAAGGTGGGCAGGGAATTGTGTAATCTAACTCTCTTTTGTTTTCTCCTGTTTTCTCTTCTTTCCTTTGTCTCTGTCTTTCTCTGGCCACTACGCCCCTGGCTTTGGGCTACTTATGTATTCTTAAACTCCAAGAAGCTGGTATCTGGACTCACTTAAATAGCCCAAAGGCACGGGAGATAGGGTCCTCAAAACAAGCGATTAAGAGCTGATGCTGGGGGCTGGGGATTTAGCTCAGCGGCATAAGCATCTGTCTTGCAAGCAGGCGGTCCGAGTACCGATCCCCAGTACCAATAAAAATAAAAAAGACCAAAAAAAAAAAAAAAAAAAGAGCTAATGCTGTACATTTGCAAGGAGCTCTTGCAAATGAGAATATAGCAAGCCACATATTAATGTCGGGAGGGGTGGTGGACGCCTATATGGGGGGGGGGGCCTGAGGCATGAGGATCTCCACTAGTTCCACTAGATCTCCACTAGTTCTAGCATGGGCTAGAGGAGTTCAGGGTCAACCTGTGCTATCTGTGATAGTTTTACTAAATTACCCAGGCTGGCCTCAAACTTTTGATCCTCCTTCCTCATCTCCTAAGAACCTGGGATTACTTAAATTGCCACCATGCCCGAGGTACTGCATATTGAGGATTTTAACTTGCCTCAATCCAGTATTTCAGGGAATCCTTTAAGAATTCATTACGTTTGAAAAATTGACCCAGGGGGCTGGGGATATAGCTCAGCGGCATAAGCGCCTGCCTTGCAAGCAGGCAGTCGTGAGTTCGATCCCTGGTACCAATAAAAAAAACGAAAAAGACAAAAAAAAAAAAAAAAAAAAAAAGAAAGAAAAATTGACCTAGACCTGGCTTCTTTCCAGAATTTAGCTGCCTTAAGACCTTTGCTGCTGTTGAATTTTGTGAAAGAAACGTAAGACCTTTGCTGCTGTGGAATTTTTGTGGGAGAATTTTGTGATTCTCAGCTGACTTCTTTGGAATGCAGCATGCCTTACACTACTCAAAGTTACACGATTCTCCTTTAATTCTCTACAAAGCACAGCAAAGACCAAAGTGTAACATTTAACACGATTTAATGAAGGCTTGAAGATTACAAAGTCCAATGCAGACAGCAATTTACAACTGACACTAAAATTAACCATCTTAAGAGCCCAAACAACCTTAAGCTTTTGTCTACACCAGAAATCCTGCATCTGGCAGAGCAAGGGTTTGTCATCAGTGGAAATCTCCAGGATTTTCCCATCTCTCTATGAACCTAGAGACAAAAATATCCTTTTATATATCTCCCGATTCATCTAAGGGTTTCCCAAAGAGACTTGACAGTGAGAATACCCATTTTCTTCAGGGAGAATTCAGACTTCCATTCACAGTTATGTTCCATGGTTTAAACAAAACAATCATGATTGATGGAATATTTTCCAGGATCTGACTTACTTACTTTTAACCAATACCATAAGTTGGAGACTAAAAGTCAGTTAAAGAAGAGTTGCACCAGCCAGGTATGGTGGTGCCTTCCTGTCAGTCCAGCACTTGGGAGGTTGAGGCAGGAAGATCACTGAGAGTTAGAGGCTAGCCTAGGATACATTTCCAAACTGACAAGTGTGATTTTTTTTCCCTCTAATTACTTTCTTGGTTTCTTTTCTCTCATTGCTGGGACAAAATACCTAACACCCAAAATGAAGAAAGGAAGGGTTTACTTAGCTCACTGTTTGTGGAGGTTTCAATCCATAATTAATTTGCTCCAAGGCAGGGTGGCATGGCACCAGGCCAACACTTCAAGGCAGCAGCCAGCCAAAGTAGCTAGAGCAAGTGGCGGGGTGGTCAAGCCTCTTCCTCCATATATTGTATGCAGGCCATCCCACCTCAGGGCAGATGCAGCACTCAAAAGATCTCTGTGCCCTCCTCTTGCACAGGCTCAGGACAGGGATCCTGACTCCCTGCTAGATCTCTTAAACTTCTAAACTCAAGTTGACAGAATGTATCAACCATAACAATAATGACTGAACATTTCTTGATGGCCTTTTGGGTATCTTTTTAATTGCTTATCTATATCCAATTTTTTCTGTCAGTGGGTTTGTTTTTAGATGGGACTTACGTTGCCCAAGGTAGTCTCAAATTCCTGGGCTCATGTGATCTTATTGCCCCAGCCTCTTGGATAGCTGGGACAATAGGCATTTGGCACTATGCCTGGTTTAATTTTGTCTTATGATGAACACAAATTTTTAAAAATGAAAAGCAATAAATTCAGAAATGGTTATATTCAGAAATGATTATTTTCATAACTTGAAATGCATGGGCATAAGCATGGACATAATCTGTTCTTTCCTACACAAACAATACTTTACAAAACATGACAAAACTCATGGCAAGTAGTCAAAGCAGTGCTCAGAGGGAATTTTGTTTTGACTACATAGGGTTTCACTGTGTAGTACAGGCTTGTCTTGAACTGGCCATGTATCCCAGGTTGGCATGGGCTCACTATACATTTGTTAAAACTTATAGAATATACAGCACCAAAAATTAACCCTAATGTGAACTATGGACTTGGGTGATAATGTGTCTATGTAGGTGCAATGATTGTACCAAATACATCGTAACTGTGGTGTTGAAAGTTGCTAGTGGGAGAGATTGTGCAAAATATGGAAATTTTCTGTACTTCCTATTCACTTTGGCTGTGAAATTGTTCTTTTTTTTTTTTTCATTTTTATCGGTACCGGGGATTGAACTCACGACCGCCTGCTTGCAAGGCAGGTGCTTATGCCGCTGAGCTAAATCCCCAGCCCCTGTTCTAAAAAAATTTCAGTTTATTCAAGTTTTAATCCTTTGGCTGGGTTCTTGTCCTGAGGGCAATGAAGTCTGAGGCAACAGGATGACAGGACACAGCAAGCAGTGGGAAACAACGAGGGTGTATTACAAAGATCATGAAGGAAAGCTCCCATGCCAGGAGAGGCTCCACAAGACGGACAGCCATAGGCCATAGGCGTTTAAGTACAGGGACCTTTATGTAGTCTTTGGTGAAGATGCTGCCAGGCTTCTGAAGTCTGGAAAGTAGGCTATGATGTTTCTTTGTTCCTTGTATTCTAGACCTTTGAGGCTTCTAGAGACTTGTCCTTTGTCCGTTGTATTCTAATTTCCCATAGTTTATCCTTAGCTCATTTAAATTGTGGCCTTCAGTTTATTCACTTAATTTACTTAGTTTATTCAGTTTAACTCAGGCCTTTTTAATTTGCCTATCTTCCCCATCTCCTGGTCTCAAAATCAATAGCCTAACTTTTCGTCTTAACCCAGAAAAAGAAGAAAGCAAACTAAACTAAAGCAAACATAAATAATAGACTAGACTAGAAATTAATGATGCAGGAAAGAAAAATTAACAGTTCACTGAACAAAAGCAAAAACTGACAAACTTGTAGCTAGCTGGACTGACGAAGAAAAAGAAAAAAAAGATTACTGAAAGTAAGGATGAAGGGGGTTATTACTGTTAACCTTAAAAGAAAATAAAAAGAATCAAAAGGAAATAATACTACGAACCATATGCCAACAATTAGATTACTTTAGATGAAGTGGACAAATTCCAAGTAAGACACGAATTACTAAAATGGACTCAAGAACAAACAATGTTTGAAATGACCTGGAAAAAGTAGAAATTAAATTGGTAACCAAAAAATTTCTTACAAAGAAAAGTCTAAACCCAGATTTAATTGGTGAATTCTACCAATTGTTCAAAGAATGACCATAATCCTTCATAAACACAAGAGAAAGGAATAGTTTATAACTCATTCCAGAGATAAGAATCTCTGCCTTAGGGCAATCACTGCCTACTCCTAAATTGGAGAAGTTGATGGCAATAGTCTAGATTGTTGTCTGTGAAAAACAGGTTCAAACTGATCAGGTACTGAGGACAGTAGTTCTCAACTGTGATTACACAATAAAATCTGCCTATGTGGGGAACTTTTAAAAACCCAAATGCTCACTGTGTATCCAGATATGTCTGCGCCTGTCTATGTCTGAGTGTGTGTGTTTATGTCGGTCTACAGAGGTAGAACCCAGGCATCACTATCTGTTTTTGAGATAAAGTCTTACTGTGTAGTTTTAAGAGGTCTTTGAAGTCACTATGTAACCCAGGCTGGCACTGAACTTATAGGGATCCTCCTGCCTCAGCCTCCCAAATGCTGGGGTTACCAGTGTTTGCCGGCACACTCAGCAGCATCGGTAATTTTTTTTTTTTTTTTGTACAAGGAATCAGGGCCTCACACTTTCTAGACAGACATTGTGCCACTGAGCTATTTCATTATTTTTAAAATAATGATGTAGCCCTGTACCATTATTTTTAAAACTCTTTAGGTGATGTAACTCTATAAAAGGAAAGCTAAGATATACAGGTGATAGAAGTAAAAATGCCAAGCTTACTCCCTATTGCATCATTACAATCTCCTTCCCCAAACTCTCAGGGCTGACGATTAAAACATAAGACCACCTGCATTCAATTCTGTCTAATGTTAACCAGTGATGGGGGTCTAGTGATGGTTATAGGAATGATCAGAGGTTTTGAGGTCCCTGGGGCTTTATACCACAGGACTCAATCTTTCCACTTTCCTTAAATTCACTAGCACTAAAACAGATCAGGGCCTGGTCGTTGGACTTTGTCTTGAAACTGGAAGAACTACCAGAGTGGCAGAGTATACAGTGGATATGAGGGCACCAGAAGCAGAACTATTAGAGTATAAAGCTGAAAAGCAGGACATGAATGGAGAGGCTACAGAGGAATTATTCAAGATTCTCAGTAGCAAGTGATGGAAGATGCAATTAACTTAAGCTAGAAAACAGGGCTTATTGGCAGAATCCTCAGCCCTTAGCCTGAAAGGAAAAGGTACAGAGACAGCATTCTGGGAATCTCAGGTCAGAACTTACAGTTCAGTGCCATGAGGGTTCTTTCATTCTGTCTTTCATGCTGGCTCCTCACTACCCTTCTCTCAAGCTTCTCACGCTGACAAGAGAAAAGGCATGTTCTCTACTTTCTATTTAGAACATTTGAGGGATGAACTAATGGCAACACGCATTCTCCTATAAAAGAGTAAGGACAGGACTACTATAACTGGCATTTTCACAATAATCACATGGCTGGAATAGGGAAGCAGTTGCCTGAGAGAGAAGGCTGTTCTGAAAAAAACTAATCAACAAGGCATTACAGATAGGCAGGAGCCTAGATCATAAGCATTTTTTAATGCTCTCCAGGAGAGGTCAAGGAATTATTTAAGATTTTAAGT